AATATTTCTTTATTCCTATATCACTAGGAACGATAAATTTGAATATACAATCCAGATTTAAATTAAATTATTATTGTAAATAGAGAAAGATTTAAAATAACCTCTTTTATTAAAAAATATTAACTATTTTTATAATATTGTATATAATTAGAAACGTTTATATTAACTATTTATAGCTAAGATAAGATTAATAGACATTTGTCATTTGAAAGCCATTGACAATTAGTAATTACTATCTCGTCATACATTGCAATTACGTTCGTAGAAATTAAAAATGATTCTTTGTTATTGAGTAAAATTATTCATATTATTCAATGAATATCACATTTCAATCTTCAATATTATAATTAGAACTGTATTAAATTATACAGAGAAATGTATATATATTTGAAAAAAAGAAATTTGAAAATAATTTTTTAGTATATCAATAAGGAAGTGTGTGTATGCATGTCCTTAAGGTATTTACGTTTATGCTTCTGCAACGTGCTTAAAAGCTGCTAATTATTCATGATATCCCGCACCTTTGGAAGCTAAAGTGCGGTAATCAGTTATGGTGATTATAAAGGTAGCGAAAGCAATTCTTTAGTATATTTTATAAATATACATCGCTTCTTTCGACAACGAACTTATTTCTATTGAAAAAAAAAGAAGAAACAATAGTTATGAATTAAATTAGTGATACACACCCACTATATTGAAATTATATCACAATCAAAAAACATCGGACTCAACAGGGAAGCACTTAAAGTGCATAATGTATTAAAACTGATGAGAAATTTATTGGACGGTTACTATATATTGTTCTCACGATGTAACACATTCCTTAAAAAAAAGCTGACCAATGTAATTTTCTATAAATTTCTGAGAATTTGATAATGTGTGGCAATTTTTTGTGCCAAAAAATATAAATAAATTTAATTAATACAGGATTTGCTAAACGATATAATAAAAATAAGATTTTTTTTTTTTAGTTAGTTGCAGCATCCCAATTAACTGCTAACAAAATCTAATTATTTGTCAATTCGAATCATAAAAAGTGTATAAAAATTTTAATTTGACGGAAATCTATTCATATTCATAATTTTTTTTTTTATGAGTCAAGGAGAGCCTGTATGACAATTAACACTTGGAGCATCACTTATTTTCAAAACGTCAGTACCATAAAGCATTTATTAACTTTACCCTAGACTTTCTCTATGTCTGCTAAACGGATTCCCATCTATTTTTAGTAAGAGGTATATACTATGCAGAGAGATGAAAACTGTTTAAAGCATGTTTTACAGAAATACATGAGATAAATACCTACAGCAAAGTCACATTAAATCAATTTGTCAAAACAAAATACACGCGAGAGCAAAAACCAATTATTTTAATTTTATGGAAAATATAATAATTAATAAAGTAGAAATAAATCATATTTTTCATATGTTCAGAGCATTCAAGAAATTTGATTCAAACTATAAACTTTGTACGAGTTCAAATGAAATTTAATATTTACTTTCTTTAATCAGAATTTTATAAATTGATATTTGAAGATAAAGTTTATTATTTGTAATATTATATTCATATCAAACTTTTATTGATAATAAAATTCGTATTTATATATATGAAATAGAGAACAGAATAACAAAACAAAAGTTTAAAAAAAGAAAATTTTAAATCTAAATTTGAGGAAACTTAAATTCGTACATATAAAAATTTAAGACTGGACTTTCAAATTTAACTAAATGCGACATATATGTGCGAATTCTCTGACGCTGCATTCGCGCCATGTGTAAAAAGGATTTAATTACTGCTTCGAAGCGATTTCTTTTTTTTTTCTTTTCTCCTGTACATATAATATATAAAACTTTCTTGATACGCTCATTTTTGTTTCGTCTCCCATATATCTCAACATTTTCGATGACCCTGACGAATATTTGCGCAACCCAGGATACCGGTTTACTCATATATGCCATATATGTATACACAAAATTCTTTTCAATTACTCCCTAAATACAAATTAGCGTCATTTTTGGCTCATTGATTTATTTACATCCCATTGACTTTTAATAACTTTTACAATTAGTAAAAATCAATATAAAGCATTGTATATAGCTCGATTAAATAATTTATCATCGCAAAATAATATTTAAATAATATAACGAAGCGACTGCTTTTTATAAATAATCAAAAAATTGATTATTTTTGAAACAATATTTCAGACAGAATATTAACTTTTGAAAAAAGAGAGAAAGAAAGAAAGAGAGAAAAATCTTGTCTTGGAAGCATTAAAAATGCGAGTTTCCGTCAGAAAACTCTTATGGAAAAATATATATCTAGTATTTCAGTGAGTTATCACGTGACATCGACTCTCTTGAAATTGCGATGATTCGCATAACGAATAACGAAACCTTAACGCGCACCCAAAACAGTGCATTCTCTTTTACCTATATCAACGTTTATATTTATATATATATATGTATATAGTATGTCTTCCTTTAAATAAATCCTTACGCATATAGAAGGACCGTTATGTTATGACTTCGACGGGGGCACATTACCATATTTCTCATAAAGTATAAATCTTTTCGAACGCTTTTCAATTGAGACGATATCAGGCCCTATAATCCTCTCTGTATATGCCTTTTTACCCCCAACAAGATATCGATTGTTCCCTATAAACCGAATTCAAAATTAAATTTATTAAATATTTATTATTTTTGATGTCATTCATTTTTAAATTATCATTTTCTTTTTCATTACATTGTTGAATAATTTTTATAGCAAAAACAATTTATTATAAACATGAATGAATTTTTTTTTCTTTATTATTAATAGTTCTTTTAATAATAAAGATGACTTAATTCATCCTTTTTTCTGCATAATTGAATTCATTGAGAAAATCATCTTCTTCATATATAATAATCATAATCGACTCTTAAAAATATCGAAAGCGTCAAGAAATTGAAACACGTATATATATGATATTTAATGACTCTTCTTTTAAAGGGTTTTAAATTTGTAATATTATATATATACGGTTATCGAATCGAAATACCAATTACCTAATTGGACGACGATAATTAAATTCAGACAGAAATGCTCAACTGGATTATTAATCTTCTCCACCATGGAAAAGTTCTCTCTCAGAGACTAAAAAGACATTTACTCTACACGTCATATATGCTTTCAGTGCAAACTTTAAAATTCATATATTCACGTTATTTTTATTTCAGCCGTCAAATAATATTATTTCTTAATTTTTATGAGAGATCAACACACTAGTTTTTTACTCTATAATACAATAATAGTATTATATAATTTTTTTTTTAAATTCATTATTATATATTTCCAAAGAAAATGATTAATATAATGAATTATAAAAAAAAATTATTTATGAATTTTGTTAAACAAAGAAATTTATCGAAATAATAATTATGTAAAGAGAGGAAAAATAGATAATGACTCATCTTATTTACAAATTTTTGCGGTTCATGACAGATAACCTACATTACGAAAAAAAAATCAAGGAAGACGTTTTTTAAGACAATTTCACCAAAAAGGATTGAACAATAGAAAATGTAAGAAACTAATTTGAAATTATAATAATATATTGATAATAATAGAATTAATCAATCGTTGTATTTTAAAAGAAAGGTTTTCATAACGAATTCTAAGAATAAAGAGAAGATTTTTATTTAACGTCCAAGACCAAAAGTTAATTATAACAAATTAATGTAGTAACAAGTGATATTTGAACTAGTAAAATATTTATTAAAATATCAGAAAACCCATTTTATGTAAAATTCCATTAAGATAATTTAATTAAAAGTTTATAATTATAATAAAATCAAAATTTTTCTCAATTTTACAATTTCATTTAAATTAATATAAAGTGATTTACAAATTTAAATATGAATTTCAGATGTTTTTTGAATTAAAGTCAAGACTGCTGTCTTGTGAGCGTGGCGTATAATAACTATAATTTTGTATTCTCTCATAATTGACGGTCGTGCACGTGTTATTTTTTTTGGGGGGGGGAGGGGGTTTATTTTTTGACCAAAGGAATTGAAAAAGAAGAAGAAAACTTGTAATGTAGTTAAGTAATCCCTTTAATTGATCGATGGTGTTAATCGAGGGCGTTACTCATTGCGATTATGTCAAGAATGCAACACACAGGTCGTTTATATTTGTAAACTGATATGTACGCATGCAAACTGCATCATGGTTGCAGCTGCTAATAAAGTCATTAACTATATAACTCGCGGTGTAGACTCCACACACCAGAAAAAAAAACGTTATGGAATTTTTCTAATTCAATTAAATCTCAATTCAATAAATTATAATTTATCCACCTGTTTGTATGTATTTTTTTTTCCTAAACAAAATATTTGATTAAAAAAAAAAATGTACAAAATTGTTTAGAATATTTTAAAAATTACTAAATCCAACTCAACTAAATTACTAAATTAAACTCAAAGAATAAAATATTTCAAAGAATAAAAAAAAAATGATTCCTATTTTTTAATAATGTGAAAAAAAAAAATTTTTATACGAAAACAAATCTAAAACATATTATAACTAATCAGAATCAAATTTTTATTATATCAATCGCGATGTATTTCACTATCGCACGATTAACGTTTCCGATAAGCTTTCCTCGCGATATATCCATAAATATGTTACATCAAATTTGAAAAGCTTTTTTTGTTCAACACACTAAAATGCGACAAAGCCATTTGAAAATCAATTTAACCTTAATTTTGTTAATCAACTGACTACCGTTATATATTGATTTGCTTTGAATTACTTTTAACTCAATTTACCCTCAGAAAATCGTACAATAATTGTTCTCAATTAATAAAAATTATTTTCAACAACTATTCATTCACACCTAATTGTTATAAAGAACAAAAATCACTGTTGCTTTTTTCAATTAAATAATGAAATTCAATAAAAGAATTGCAAATTTGTATCCTATTTTAATAATTATTTCTATAATTAAAAAACAAACAAACCTCTAAACTGATGACAGAAACGGTCCCAATAATTAGAAGAAGAAAACCATTCCATAATAACAGACTCCCCCTCATCCTGTGGACGAGACCGAAAAAATTCACTATCGAAATTCTCGTTTAATATATATTTGACTCTCACTTTGTCTTACTAATTTTGTTACAATTTTTAAAAATCTAATTTAAAAAAAAAATACATTTAAAAGCTAAACCGTGGAGACATCATTGAGCGTTTAATCTCCCGCACATGCGACAAAATTCTGCAAAACTGAACGTTCGCAAGAGAGAGAGAGAGAGAGATCTGGTTTTGCCAACCAAAGAAACCGGACACACGATCGTCAAGACAACAACAACAGTTTTGCACTGTCTGCGCGTGTACAACCGGCGTTCGGTAACTGCGGGCCGAGCGCGCACAAGATAAAACTTTTTCAAAAGCACGATGCTTTTCCCTCTCTCGTGGACCCGTTCCCCTTTCTTCCACCCCCGCGCGCGCCATCACCCACCGCGAACTGTGGTATAGAAGTCTATCTCTGTCTAGATTCACAACCATAATCTCATATATAGACATATTCTTTCCTTCTCTCACACACACTTCTTATTCTCCTTTTATCTTTCTTTTTCACATCTCTCTCAACCCCGCTAAGGACCATATAATTCTGTGGTTTGCGAATTCCCCTCCACTTTACCTTCTAACCAACTCCCACCATCGTCTAACCCTCTGTCTCATGGCACAAGTTCGTTATAATGATATTATTAATGATACCCTAAATATATCGCCACTTCTACTAATTAACAACCAGTAAATTATAGAAAAGAGATATATTTTTCATTTCACACATAAAAAAAGAATCAAGAAAAGTAAAACTATATGCAACTGATCGAGAGGGACGCCCGTTTCAAAAATGTACAACTCCTGTCATTAATATTTAATTATTTGTTTCTGCATTATTTTATAATAAAATTTAAAACTTTAATCTTATATTGCCATAACTTAATATGAAATACATCTATTAAGTACAAGAAAGAAGCATTTTACCGTTGAGTTTAACGGAAAATTGATTCCATTGCTGCACGAGCAAAACACATGCGGATATAATCAAATTGGTATAAAAAATGTCTTTTTCGTATGAGATGCACATATAACATCTATTTATTAGGAAAAACATTTTTTATAATGTTCAAAAACTATTAATTTAAACTCCTACCTTTGTTGCGATGTATTTTGAGGTTATGTTGTCCGACTGGGAATTTGTGATCTCTTCAACTTTTATTTCCTTTGCACTATGATTTACTCACTTTTTTTCTTTAATCCCATTCAATATTTACTACTAAAATCTAGCTTTCATTTGAAATATTTAAAATACAAAATAAAATAAAGATGTCACCCCTCCAAATCACTTTTGTCAACTGGCTGAAAACTTGCCATAAACTATACTAAACAACTTTGACATGACGCCGCCAGATGGCACCACCTTCCCGATTAACTGCACAATTGTACTAATTTTAAGAACCAAGTAAAGTGACGTTATTCTTACGTTATATATTTATAATATGTTTAAATATAGAGTAAACAGTAATAAAAATGTCAAAATTTTGATGCTGATAAAATAAATCCGCTACTGAATAACACATAAACTTAATAAGAACAAATGAATTTGTTAAAGATTTATCAATTGAACGTTGTATATTATTCATGTACTTCAAAATATAAAGTGAAATAAATCGTCACGAATTATATATCAAATAAACAAATCGTTATTAAACTAACCAGAATTGTATCATTTAAGTAGGAAAAAAAATATAAATGTTTTTACGGTTATGCTTTCTTCTACATTGAAAGTTATGGCCAGTCCCTACAATGAATAAAAGCTAAAAATATTTTTTTTCTAAGCAGCGCAGATCCTGCGTCTTGAAGAGTCAACTGCTCACTGAAATGGTGGGAGAAAAACGACCTATATTTATAGACATTGGTTGGCATCTAGTTGGCATCAAGAGCGCCGGCCAATCAGCGCTATCGCAGTGAGTGCCCGGTCCAATCATCGCACAGCAGACAAAAAGCTTAAAGTATAAAAACTAACTTTCTTCGGTGCGCACGCTCAGTTCCATCTTGGACATATTAAAAGAGGGATCTGTGTCGCTTGAAGAAATTTTTTTTAAATAATTTTTTATTTAGCAATCATCGATTTCGCTCACTTTTTTGCAATAAAAGAGAAGAATTCGAGAACAAAAGAAAGAAGTTCTTTTAAACACCAGGAAGTATGAAGATATAGGTATATTTATTTAAAGCGACCACAATTTCATACTTTTTTTTAATTTAATAATTTTAGCACAGATATTTCTTCTATCGTCATGAACTTCCATAAGAATAATTTTCAAATATACATATTATACAATTAAAACAATAAGCCCGCGAATAATAAGATGTCTAAGAATTTTATCAGAAGAAGATTAATTCTAAAAAGAAAATTTAATATCTTCAGTAAAAAATATATTATAAAGGCCTTTTCTTTTTGTCAGTTTATAATTAAATATAAGAAAGTTTTTTTTAGTTAAAATTGAGTATAAATAATAAATGAATAAAATTCTAAAATTAATTTTCAAAAAAATTAGAACGAAAATTAGGAAATTATTTCTTCAATTTGTTGTAGTTTGTTATCTATTTAAACTGTAGATTGCTTCTTTATCTGTGCGCAGTAGTTAAAACAGTTTAAATTGTATACCTTGTGTCCTTCCCTTGTATACAAATCATGCACTTCATTTAATATATTATCAGAATTTTTCTTACAAAATTGATAAGATAAATACTAGTAACATAAATTTATGTTAAAAACAATGTCAAATGTAAAAAAAAATTAAATGTTTTATGTTATAAAAAGGTTTATATTCCAACCGAGTATACAAATAATATTAGTTTCGAGGTTATATATGCAGTGAAAAGTATAGAGGAATAAAAGTAAACATGATTAACATGTTTCAAAATAAAATTTTAATTTTCGGACTTTTACTTTTTAAAAGCAGTTATTGTACTGAAATTTGCAAGCCTAAAATTGGTATGTATATTATATATAATATTTATATGAATATTTCATAATATATTTAAATATATTTTCTAAAAAAAATACCTAATAATAAATTTTTTTCTATAAAATAAACATATAAACTATAAATATATAAAATATATAAACTCTAATTTTGGAAAATAATTTCAACAGCTGTTATTGGTGGTGGAATTGGAGGAGCATCTGCCTCACATTTTCTCTCAGATTTATTTAAAGATAATTTAAAAATTGATCTTTTTGAGCCAAAACAATTGGGAGGACGTTTGGCAAATGTTAAAATTGGAAAAAATGAATTTGAAGCCGGTGGTGCAGTTATACACTCAAGAAATAAATATATGCAAGATTTTGTTAAACTTCTTGGTAAGATATAAAGATTTTTTTTTTAAATAAATATTTATCAATAATAGAAATTAATTTTAGGACTCAAGAAAAATGATGCTGAAGACTCATCAACAGTAGGAATTTGGAATGGAGATAAATTTGTTATAAAACAAAGTAATTGGAAGATTATATCTTTTGCAAAGATGATTTATAGATATGGATTTGAGCCTTTTACACTCGACAGGTAATTTCTTTTTTGAAAAAAAGACCAAATATAAGAATTTATTAAAATATTCTCATTTTTAGATATGATACTTGGGTTTTGGATAATTTTGAAAAAATTTACAATATACAGGATAGTGAAATAGGATTTGAAAATGTAACTTCATTGCTAGCAGCAATGAATTCGGAATTTCCTGATTATTTAATTGAATCAATTAAAAATAATTTGTTAAACAAGGGTATTTCAGAAAAATTAATAGACGAATTAGTACAAGCTACATTGGTTGTTAATTATGGACAAGAGACTAATGTTCATAGTTTTGTTGGTTATGTATCGTTAGCTGGAGCTGGAGCTAATCTTTGGTCCGTTAAAGGAGGAAATAAACTGGTACCTGAGAATTTAATACGACAAAATAATCGTATAAATGTAATATCCTCACAAATAGAAAAAATACGTTTAATTTTAAAAAATCAAGATTCAATTCAATATGAATTGTCTTATAGAGAAGAAGGTAAATATTTTTCAAGCTAAACAACATTTTATTAATAATGAAATAAATTTAAAAAATATTTTTTTTCCCAGATAATCCAAATTTTAAATCTGACATTTATGATATAGTTATAATTGCAACCCCATTAACAAAAGATCAAGAAAATTCAATAATTTTTGAAGAATTTCCAAAAGAAACAATATATAATATTCCTGGAAATTATCAAACAACAGTTGCAACTTTTGTTGAAGGAAAATTAAATCCACTACATTTTGGATTGGAAAGTGAAATTGATTGTATTTTAAGTTGTAATCCAAATAAGACAATAATTAGTTCTGTTTCTAAAAATAATCCTGTTAATGATTTTAAAGAAGAAGATACACAAGATGTTTGGAAAGTATTCTCAAGAAAGCCATTGACACCAACATATATGCGTAAAATATTTTCCAAGGTATTATGAGACTAAGTTAATTTGAAAAAAAAGAAATATTAAAATTTAAAGTACAAATAATTTTTTTTCTCTTTAAAGATTGGACAAGTGGAGGAAATTGTCTGGAAAGCTTATCCACATTATTCAACGGAAAATCGTTTCGATAAATTTAAACTTCATAAAGGCCTATATTATGTCAATTCAATAGAATGGGCAGCAAGCGCAATGGAAATGAGTGCAATTGGTGGAAGAAATGTCGCTATTTTAGCATATAAAGATTTTAAAAAAACTTGTTCTACACCAAAAGGGAAAAAAATTGAAAAGAAAAATTATTCTACGGAATTTTAGTTAATTCTTAACTAAATAGCTTAATTATTTACAAATTATAGACATAGAAAACAAATGTCAAATTTTTATTAGTAAAAAATATCCCTTTAAGCCTTTGAGACAAGTAAACTCCCGATGCCTTCAAAGAAAAAGATTATATTTTTTACAATGTCCAGTGATATTATTTTAATATTATCATAAAAGTTGATTGTAAATTGAAAAAATAAATATATTTTAAAAGAATATATATACCAGTGAAAAAAGATATTATTTAATAATTTCGAGTAATGTATTAGATTAATTACTTTTAATTTATATAAATCATAAAATATTCATATTTAATAATTTGTATCTTGATGGAATTTCAACACTTTTCCAGCTGCTCAGCCAATGAACATTTTTCATCAATTCCTCGAGGAAGCTTTTCCGTTACAAACATCCAATGACATTCAGAAGTTTCTCGTTTATTCACATCTCTATAAGTATGGACGGATATTTCACATTCGATGCCAAAAATACTCGATTTCCAATTTAATCCTTCAACTGCTAAACACTTTCCGGTCATCACGTGAGTAATAACAACTCTAATAATATATTTTATTTTAAATTTGACTTTCTAAGTATTAATATTTATGGTACAAATCTTACGATTAAATATTCCAAAATTGATAAAAACTATTTTGGAAATTTTTTTCTTTAATAATTCCGAAATGACGAATTTAAGATAAAGATTAGATTTTCAATAGTATAGAGAGGACATCATTTTAATTTTTACATTTCGAATAATTACCGTTTAGATACTGGAACAGGAGATCCTTCAGTTTCAAATCTCATATTTTTGTCGCATATTATAACTTTCCACAGGCAATAACAGTCTTTAATATTACTCAATAGAACGCGATTATGTTCTCTAGGACCGCGAGTATCGTCAACCAGTGGAGTTACTGATCTGAGATATAAATCTTCTTCTACAGAATCTGTTAACTATTATAAAATACTTAAAATTAATCAAATAATTCAGTTTTTCAATAATTATTTCTATTATGAAAATTATTGAATGATAATTATAATTATTGGCTCGCCTTTAAAAGGAAATTCTGATTGAATAAGAGATATTCTCCATTTTTGTTGTTGCAATTCGTTGATTGTATCGTGAATGTATTTCGAGTACAGGGTTCAGTCTTGGCGGCACAAACAACAGGCATTTGATCAGTGAATCTTTCAATTTTTCCAATTGCATTTCGTGGAATTGTTACAGAAACAATAATACCAAAATTTTTATTTTCACCATTTTCTTGAAAACTTTGCACGTCCGGTGCAAAAATTTGAATTCGATTTCCAAATTCAATATAATTTCCAGTTCTGCAAAGTTGAATCTCGCGGCACATATTGTGAAATAGTGTTCGTATTTTTTGTATAATTAATTCTTTGTTATCACGCTTCTTTATATAATCAGCTATATTAACCTGTATAAAGTAACACGAAAATTATTTTTTCTTTTTAAATTATTTTTCAATAAATAATAAATATTAACAATTTTACATTAAAATAAATAATAAAACCTTTTCAAGTTCTCGCTCCTCGTTCCAATTGCCTATTAAAACTTTTCTGTTGTACATTTTGAGTTTTATTTTTTGCGAAAATTTAAATATTATTATTGTTTTGTCGAAATTATAATTATTTTTTTCAAATTCGCATTTGGTTATTAATAATGATAAATAAAATAGTTCAAAAAGTCAAATAAAAATAAAAAACAAATGTGAAATTATCGTCAAAGTGAATAAATACATAAAAAAAATAACTTTTTTTTTCAAATAAATGCGCTAATTATTTCAGCCAATGACAAATATTTACTAACGCATGCGTATGTGTTTTCTGTTTTTTAAAAATGGCGCACGTATCGCTTTTGTTTTTAAATAAACACTAACCGTCTTTTTTTTATTTTTTTTACTTTACAACGTTATATTCATAATAAAGTGTTTCAAATTTTGTAATTTTACTATTTAATAGTTGATTTAAGATAATAATTGCTCAATGTTGTTTTAATTTTTATCATAAATAAACCGGCATATAAGTTATAAATTTGTCGCATCATATTCAATGACGTGGAAATAGGTTAGGTTTGAAACTTATTGTCAAGAATCGCAGATGGAATTTGTGTAAATATTTCGCTTTGTATAGTTAAACATTTTATCTTCTTGTGAGAAAATTTTTTATATCAAATATGTTCGAGATAACGGATACACAGAGTGAGTTTATTTCATGATGGAAAATTAATAATAGTGATTTTAGTACAACTTGCAGAAGTACCTGCTAATAGACGAAGGTTTGCAAAGTTTTTTTTTTTAATTATATGAAAATATGTTTCAGAAATTGGAGTTGGACTTGCTGGATTTGGCATTGCTTTCCTCTTTCTTGGAGTATTACTATTATTTGACAAAGGACTGTTGGCAATTGGCAACGTAAGTTTTTTTTAAATTTAATAGAAGGGATTTACTTTTTTTTAAAGAATTATTAACATTTAAACTGTTACATTGTATTTGCTATTTCATACTTTTGTATTTATATATTTTTGAATGTTTATAATTATATGTAGTAACATTTTTTTTTAATTTTGCTTTAATATATAGTTCAATAAATATTTTAATTATACATATTTTATTAACGATTAATATTGTACTTTATTAAAATTGCATCAGTATTTCAAGTAATTTTTCATTCATATTTTAAAAATTTTCTATTAGTAAATTATATAAAGTTTTGATATTACATCTCTTCTACAGCTTCTGTTTATTTGTGGACTAGGATGTGTGATTGGACCAAGAAGGACATTTAGCTTTTTCTTCCAAAGGCATAAAATAAAAGGAAGTGCATCATTTTTAGGAGGTATAATTATTGTCTTGATGGGATGGCCCTTGGTTGGCATGCTCGTCGAAACATATGGATTCATTGTTCTATTCAGGTAAATTTTTTTTTTGTTAATTTTAAAAAGTTTTCTTTTGAATGCTTTTTTATTTATTTGCTTACACACGAATTTATGGGAAATTTTATTTTTATTCAGAATATTAATTCTGAAGAATCTTTTAACTTTTATTTTCCGTTTTTAAATAATTCTGCTCTTTCAATTATTGTTGTTAGCTATATGGTTCTTTTTTTTGGCTTATTTGGTGGTTTAATATTTAGGAAGAAATTTTTTTTTCTCTCGTAGTCTCTTTTCTATTCCGCTTTGTTCTTTTTTGATAAAAATATTATTAAGGCAAACGAAAGAATCATCGAATTTAAAAATTTTATTATTTATAGTGGATTTTTACCAGTGGCTGTAAACTTTTTAAGGAGAGTGCCAATCTTAGGAACATTTTTGAACATGCCAGGAATCAATCGAATAATGGTTTTTCTAGCAGGCGATTCAAATAGGACAACAGTATGACCTTTTATAATTATGAATTAACTGCCATTCCTCTCAATTGCTGTACATACAATTTTTCGTTTCATCTCCATCCATTTTTCATCTGAACCTTGGTTTCATATTCTTCTTTTATCATATTGCCCTTTTTTTATGAACACCATTCCTTTCTTTACATTCTTCTTCTAAGTCGACAAATTCTGTTAGGTTAAGTGTGTATAAATAAAGTACATACCAATGGTTACAATGTAATTACAGACGAATAGTTGTGAAGTTTTAAAAAATAGTTGTAAAAAATAACTTTTATAATTTAGACTATTGTCTATATAATTTTCTTTTTTTTTCTTCGAGAGAATATTTAGTTGTATTTATTCTCGTATTTATTTATGGTGTTACTGTGTGTGATTCCACTTTACAGAACTGAATTTGTTTTAGAAAATGAAAATTATGTTAAGTGTGGGAGTGTTTCAATTTTTATTGATGAAAAACAATAAAATAATGTAAATTGATAAATTTTTTTTATAAAAAGTTATATTCTCTTGTTTATTAGAATATTACTTTATACACAAAACTACATAGACTACATATTAACAAAATTGAAATAGTTAATAAATTTTGAAATAAAATATCGTATATGTAGATGAGTGATGTGAAAAAATCTCTTCGTTTCAGGATTACTAAAAAAAAACATTGTTCAGGAATTTTTATCAGCAGATATGATGAACGTCGCAAACATTCCCATTTCATAAATTATCATTTTCTATAGAATTTTATTGTTTAATTTCAATTGCCTATGAATAATCCTCTAAATATCTTCCTATTTCGACTTCTGATCTCTATATAGTTTGGTTAAATAGTTAATAAAATTTTTTAATAAAAATTACTCTTCGTTTAGTTTAGCTAATTTACAAAAAATATTATCTTAAAAAAATAAATTTTTAATTGAAACAATTCTAATAATTATAAATATTTATAATTAAATAATTAGCAAACTTTTTTTTTAACTTCAATTAATCCGAAATATTTGAATAAACCTTTTTTTTAGACTGTCTGTCAAGTTTTAAATTGAATATTATGCAAAAGCTGAACTATATAACAACAAATTACGAGTGTAAAATTATTCTTGGCTAGCACACGTGGTTTATCGTAACGATCGTAACTTTGCCAATTCGTTCCTAGACACGTGGTTAACCTTGATCCTCAACCTTCAGTCAGTATTATTCTCTCTCGCGTTAATATTATGTGTTACGAATATAAATTGTCAAAGACAACGTTCAATAGTTTATGTATGTGTATAACGGGTTTTAGGATAAATAAGAAAAAGTACAAGAAAATGAAATTAAATTTTACTTCGACTTTATTGATCTCTCGCCTTCTCTGCATACATCCTAACATGAACAGATTTTAGATGTATACAATCAGAGTTACCTCTTACGCTTTACTTTAATCTTCTTTTTTTTTATATCTTACAAGATAGTTGTCCAGAGTGTGAAATTAAATAACCACTCGCCTAATTCACGGTGGACATGTTATTTATTACAATCATCGTTTCATCATCAATAATTACGAATTATTAATTATCTACAATGGGCCGAGAATAAGGGCGGGGGGCGGCCCAGGTCTACGCGCCCCGCCATCGCCGTTTGATGATCTTCGTCGCGCGTCCCTCTCGCTCACAAACAAATTTTTATTATTTTTTTTTCATGACTTTGCTTTCAATGATTGTTGTCATTTTTTTTTTCTTCATTAAAATCAATATATATAAATATAGTTGTAATCAGTTTCACTGACCCGAGCGACACACGCCGCTTGTCTCAAAATTCTCATCTGAACACGCATTTACAATTATTATTATTTTTTTTTTTTTTTATAAAGTCAAAGTGTAATAAATCAAACGACGTGCGTTAGTTCTTATTTCCAATTTCACAAATATATCAACATTTTCCGTTCCCCTTGTTTTGCACACGTTTGCAGTCAGGAGAAAGTGAGAAGCGCGTTTTTCGAAAGGCTCAGAAAAATACTGAATCCGGCAATAAATAAAAGCGAATTTATTATTTAGCCTATGGAGCTCAGAGCATTGTCGAACTCTTCTTTTTTTTTTTTTTATTTCTCTGCCGAGTTTCACGCGTTTTATGAGCCGCTACCAATCGCTCTCAGACCCCGATAAAGAGAGAGAGAAAAAATTTATATACGAAATTGTTGACAAAGTTCGTGTTAATTGAACACTCGGTGTAACTGTTTGTCTTTCAATATCCAAAAAATTATGAGGGGGAGGGGATTTGGGGAGAAGGGAGGGAGGGAGAAAATTTAAGTGGTAAATGGAAAATGAATTTTTTTTTTTCTCAATGAAAAATGGTAATGAAAAAATGAGGTAAGGACCCTAATTGCATTTTGTTTAGAGAAGATTCTTGATTTCATCGTACAATACAAGTACGAGGGCACCGCCTGTACCACGGAGAACGTTGGAGAAGGCTCCCTTAAAGAAGGCACCAGTACCCTCGCTCTTCGCAATTGTTGCCCAGCAATGAGCTGTGCTCTTGTAGAGAATTTCTGATTTTGCTCTGCCAGATTGCATCATCATACGCCTACGCACTGTGTCGAAGGGATATGAGACAATACCAGCTACGGTGGTAACGCACTGAAATAAAAAGAAAAGGATAAAGTATTTTTTCGAAACAGATTTAAACGATGAAAATTAATACTTTTTTTGATAATTTTATCAAAAGAGAAATTGAGTATTTGCTCACCTGCGCAATACCCCATGAAACAAGGAATGGAGTTTTCTTGGGGTCAGGCAACATGCCACGAGCTGTGTCATAGAAACCAAAGTAAGCTGCACGGTAGATGATAATACCCTGGACCGATACACCGAATCCTTTGTAGAGACCGCCAATTCCATCAGCTTTGAAAATCTTCGTTAAACAATTTCCTAAACCTGAGAATTCACGCTCTCCTGCTCCTTTTCCAACGTCTGCAGCCAATCTGTAATTATTGAATCAATTTTACATTCCGCTTCTTCAAAGTTAAACTATATAGTTATATTGCTTATTAATTTTAATATTTTTTTCCTTTCTGTTATATTTTCTATAAATTGTTCATTTTCTTTTTTTGAATATTATTTAAAATTAAAATGATTAAAACAATTTTGCAGAATTTTCGCATACCTGGTTCTTGCAAAATCAAGAGGGTAGACAAAGCAGAGAGACGTGGCTCCAGCTGCACCACCAGATGCGAGATTTCCAAGGAAGTATCTGAAGAATTGAGTGTTCTTGTCAACACCTCCAAGGAACACTTGCTTGTACTTGTCTTTGAAAGCAAAGTTCAAAGCTTGAGTTGGGAAATACCGGATAACGTTGGCAAAATTACCACGCCAAAAACTTCTGAATCCTTGTTCCTTTGGGATACGAACGAAACAATCGATCATACCTGAATAACAGAAAAATAATTAGGTAAGTAAAATTCTTTAACAATTTTCAGAATTAAATCATTAACTAAATTATTAATTATTAAAATGCATTCTTACATTAAATTATTTATTCTGAAATACTTTTACTGTTTTTCCAAAATTTAATTTTAATTAAAGCACAAAAAATGAAAAGATTCTATGTAATTTAAAATTAAATTAAATTATAATTAGTGTTTTGTTACAACAATAGTGACAGTTTTTTTTTCGATCAGTTATCTAATATGAAAGTTAATAGACCTACATTATACGACACCCGTGTTATATAATACAATTGATAAATTACTGCAGAAAAGTATTTAATTTTTAATTTTAAATAATTAAAATTACATTTTTAAAATATAATTTTTAAAACGAAAATGATTTTTTACAGCCTATTTACGGAGAAAAAGGACATTTAAATTCAATTTGGAAAAAAAATGATACACTAACTGATTGAGAAAGGTTAATCCAAAAAACAAAATCTAAAAGAATAATTTACCCTCTGAAGACAAATTTTTGAAAAAAAATCTGATCATTAAAATTGGTTACATCCCGAACGTTACTCAACTATCGAGAATAACGCCACGTATTGAGTTCAATTTAATTCGCTAGATGAATCTTAACAATTGATGAATTTTTTTTGTGTGAACAATTGATCATTTTAAAATTATACATGGAAATGGAAAATCTAACACGAGACAAATTTTCAATCTTCGGAACAAATAAAATAAAGGTAAAATTCCATTATTTGTTAAATAAAATATTTTATTTTTTCAAAAACTAATTTATAATTTCAAAAAAGCCAAGGTCAATTCTAACCTTAGAAACCCGATCAATGCTGTCCTGGCACACAAAGGCCATTTAAGAAAAAGGTCAAAATCAGGTCAGTTAAATATTTCAAAATTGCGAAAATACGCCAAATAATTGAATTAAAGAATATTTTTATATTTTCTAATTGAAAATCTCATTTTCCAGAAAGTGGGAGATTTTTTTTTCAATTCAACGGAAAAGAAAAATTTCATTCTCCTGGCAAAAAAAAAAAAAAATTTATCGCCATGTTGGAGAGCGCATCGTCATCGATTCTTCGTCTTGCTGCTGCTGCCTTTCCTGAACCAGGAAAGCCACGCGCTGCCATCTGGCAGTCGTGCATACTCGTTTATCGACCCACCCGACAGACAATTCATCAAATTCAACTAGAATTTCGGACTCCAAAAAAAATTACGTAAGCCTTAAAATCACAATTTTTTTATTAATTAAAAAATCGCGAAAAAATTGATGCAAAAAAAAAATAGGGATAAATTACAGCGATATTTTTATTTTAAGATCAAAAAAAAAAAAATTCTCATTACATAACGGGAACCATGGAATAGAATAGTACACGATTAACGGCTGAAAGGCCCAGGATTTCATCGTTCCGCGAGTTTAACCATTGACACGCTTCAAATTCACGAATGTCACATGTTTTCTCATTTTTACATTCACTGTTCAATTAGAGAAAAATTGAATCACTTGAAGAGATTTTTTTTTTTAAAACACAAATTCTAATTTGTTCACCAGATTTTTAATGCTCCCCCCCTTTATGAGATCCATTTGTAAAATCGTGGGATTTTTTTCAGTGACTCACCCTTGTAGCGTTGGTCCTCAGCAATTTGCTTAGAAATGTGTTGCACTTGAAGAAGTAGTTTTACACGTTCAATTGGTGCTACAGCAGTTTTTGAAATAGCTGCTGATACTCCTCCAGCAATAAAATCTTTGGCAAACGCCACGGGATCTGCAAGTCCAGACATCGTGTATATGTGTGTGTTAAAAAGTTAAAGAGTGTAAGGAACGAGAGGATAGGGTACACTTGACTCCTGTATCGGACGCGCGCCGGACGACGAGTGAGCGAGTCAGACTTCCTCTCTCAGAACCGACCTCTGCTAAGAATAGCTGCGCAGGTCACGTGCCACCTTCTGCGCAGGTTACACTTTGGCAAAAACACACACACATACACTTTTTATTTTATTTTTTTACTCTTCATCTAACCTCGAGAGACCCTGACACTTTTACCATAAACTTCCTGACACTCAAATTCGTGACCTTTCTCTCACACCACGTGTGTGTTAAATCTTCTGCTAAAGTTTCATATGTTTTTTTCTTCATAATTTGAATTCTCATTGATGATACTTTGTGTTCGCGCCTTTATCGTGTTTCCGGTTCGATTGGGCCAATAGGAATGCAATATTGTAAGTGTGACGCGCCCACTTGCCCTTGAGATAAATGATTATGAAAATAAAATTTCAATAAAGTTTGATTCTTCCGGTGGTATTTTTATTTTACTTCTCAAATAGACAAGTGCCTTTAAAATTTTTTAAATTTCATTGTTTCTTATATATTTTCTTTGTAATTTGTCAAATTTCCCGCGAAAAGTATTTGTGGAGGAAGTTCCGCTTTGATGACGTCATGTTAATTGTTTGCATGCTTTTAACCATCTATTGTTGTTCCTTTTCCGCATACTAGTGTTCTGTCAATCCAAGTTATCAATTTGAATTTTGTCCTTGGTGTGACATTTGTTTAGTTTATTTTTGTTTCTACAACAATTTGTCAACAATGAAAAAGTTTATTGGTTATTTGAATTCTATGGAGATTTTTGACAGTTGACGGTAACCATAACCTCATTTTTATTTTAATATCTTTTTTGTTTTAGTTTATTTTTATAGAAATGTCTATTTTTACATGAAGTTATATATTTAAATTGCCATTTTCAATATTTTGAATTGATATTGTCAATAACGTTATATTTTTCCACTAGGAACGAAAGTATTAAGAAATTTTCAAATTTTAAAATATTATTTTGCATTTTTTTGTAATTTTGTCGTACATTTTTGGATATGATGATATTGTTTATTTCAATATGAAGGAAAAAAAAATCATTGTCGTCATTTTTTGAAAAAATCTTAAACATGCCAGGATTACTGTCGTCATAGAATATTATCAGGGACGTCAGATGACCGAGATTCTTTTAACCTATAAAATAAAAGGTATACGTATCCGAACGGGAATAATCTTCATTGCAGTGCTCTGATATTGATCAATGACTATATAGATAACTTCTAATATCGTAATTCGATAAGGAATTATTCAAAAAAAAATTATAGAAGGAAAATTCCATTGTTGAGGTGATTCACCTGCTTTTGCTGTCTCTGCCAAAAATAAATCCTAAAAATTGTAAAGATTTAAAAAAGAATTGTTATATAATATTGTTGAGTTGTATAAAAATTTAAATTTTACTTTATTTTAAATTAAAATATCTTGTAAGTTTGTAAAGAAAAGAAATATTTAGATTTTCTTATTGACGAAAGAAAAATGTTTATCAATTAAAAATTAGTTTGACGTCAAATTTAATTTTTTTTTAGATTTATTTATCAACTAATTTTGATGTTTTTAAATATTCGTCTTTATTATTTATTTTTTAAAATTATTTTTATAGTAAAAGTTATTCATTAATTTAATTTCTATTAATCAATTTTAATAAATAATATTTTGGTAAAAAAAAAGAAAGGTTGAAGACAAAAGTAAAAGGTGAAATTATCTTTTCTAATTGAAATGAAACTCGTATTTTAGGTTTCGAAAAAAAGGGTTCTCTTTTTCAAGAAGGTTAATCAGCTGATGAGCTTGTACATTTCTCAAGAACAAGTTGCAAGGTCAACTTCACATGAAGAAGGAGGTCATCGGGGCGCGACTTGCGTAATCCTGGCTTACGTCCAGTAGCAAAATGCAGCGCCAAAGTTCAATGGAGCAACGTTGTTCAGATGGAAGGTGTATTTATATATCCACTCCTCTTTGTGAATAGCGTTTTCGCGAACCTTGTTGAGAATAGATAGACGATTGCTAAATGTGTGAATGTGTGTATTAACGTGTTTTCTTCAGTCAGAGAAAAATATAATAGTAAACCGCAGTGACGACAACAAACGACGACGTTCTTGACTATACGAAGTGGTCATTGACTGATCGATTAAGCAAATGACCTTTAAATATACTATTTTCCCCCCTGTCGATATAGAACACAATGAGGATAAGAATATTTATATAAAAAAAAATCAATGACACGTACTTGATATTTTATTTTATATATATTCTTTATTCATTATTTTTGCAGGGGTATAACACCGAAAAAATGTATTGATGATAATAATTTTCGTTTCAGTCATTTTGCAATTTGGGAATTTTTTTTTTTTATATGAAGGGAAAATAAAATGTTTTTATTTTTTGAAACTACAATAATCGTGTCCTAGTAGAAATTTTGCAGATATTCTTCCAATTTTCTTTTAAATATATAATAAAATTCTGAATATATTGAAATTAAAGAATATAATCAATACATTATTTTCGCTGTGAAAATTGAAAAGGTTTATTTGCAAAAACAATCAGGAAATAAATTTGAGAATAGGAAAAATTTGATGATAGGAAAATAATAAGGAAAATTTGATGAATTTCTCCGCTCATTATATAGAAATCAAAAGATATCGTTATCTATTTGGCTTTAAATGGATCTGTTTATAATCTTTAAAACGTTATCTAGAACTCAATATATATATTCAGACGTATTACGTGTAAATGTCCTTGCATTTATTACGAGTTTGGCTTGCTTTCTTAAAACACGACATATTGTCACTAAAGGATAAACTCTGATTCATCTCAAAGTTTGATATTATATCATTTTCATCTTCAATTTTTTATTAAATCAAATCTCATATTATCGTACATTCCTTGATATATGTAATGTTAATTTCAATATATGATTAAAAAAAAATCCCCTCAAAAATTTAAAAACAAAAAGAGCAATTTGTCGAGGTTGAAATGGAATGTTTATCTAGTTTTTAACAAGAGACACCTCGTGCCAGCTTGCCCACGTCTTTTCAATTTATATCCTCCTCTAAATAGTTTCAAATGTGTTAAATTCGTCAAAGAAATCAATTCTTTCTATTTCTTAATTACATATTGAATTATGTATATTTACTGGGCGGAAGGAGTAGTAGAAAATTTTTATTTCCTTATTAGACACGTGCATAAATTCCAAATGCTTGCGTTTTTGAACTTGAATACATTTTTTTAATTTACATATATATATTGAAATATTGACGTTGAGTATGATCAGTTACGCAATGTACTTGTTATCAGCCAAAACACATATTATATTCTCTTGTCGCGTCGTTGAAATACTTCTTCATCATATTCGTTCTCGTATTTGAATTCTTGAAATTAAATCTGTCTATAAAAAAAGCAAGTAGAAAATGTTTCTTTATATACCTATATACCAGTCTTCTTGGTTTCTAGGTTTGAAAAAAAAATTTCAATTTAGAATTTACCAATTTTAAATTTTTCTTCTATTTTCGATTTTTTTTTTTTTGAACAGGAAAAATTCATAAATTGCCATACACTAAAAATTAATTAATTATATATTATTTATTAACTTCTTTTAAAAATAATAAATATTTAAAACAAATTTTTAATTTCTAAATAAAAATATTAATTAATTTTTAGAAAAATTTGTTAGGGGTGAGAAAATGAGAAATTATTCTGATTTTATTCGGTGTTATAAATTTAGTTCCCTGGGTGTTTATTTTGAGATATTATTGTCAATAATCTTGGAGATTTGTAATTTAAGTCATTGCTATATTTTCTTCGTAGTGGTTTGCATATTGGCCATTGTCTGAAAGCTTGTGTATTGTATATAATTTTGTCACAGCTTGTTTTTATCAGTTCATTTCTGTGCTAATAATGATAAATAAGGAGTCAAATTCCTGGATAAAGTAGATCAGTAAACTTGGACTGTGGCACCAATAAACTGTACAGTCGCTCGAAAAAAATAATTTTTTTTTTAAAATAATTTTTAATCTTTTAAATTAGTTTTTTTTAATTAAAAAATTAATTTTTTTTTCACCATACAAAAACCGATGACAAAAAAAAAATGCTTACTTTGCGTCTTTTGACTCTGTATCGAGTTTCTTTACACTAAGCCATTTTAATGGGTTTATGAACTCAACTTCTTTGATAAAATTAAACTTTGAAAATGAAATAATTTTAATTTCTTTTTGTTTTATATTTTTGTGAATAATTTTTATTTTCAAAAATAAGAATTTTTTTATAAATAGAAAAGTGTTTCAATGTCATGGTCACTTTGCTATAACGGTTATTACACTAAAAAAGAGTTATTTCTAAGGTTTCTAAAGAAATAAAATCGAAACACTTCAGGTCAAGCGTATTTAACGATTTTTATTTATTATTAAATATAAATATATTAAAATTAAAATAAATAAATAGCATTAAAAATATTTTGATAATCTTAAAAAAGAATAATAATAATTATAAATTCACTAATAAATAATGAAAATAAAAATTATTTTCATGAAATAATTTAATGAAACTATTATTTAGCAATGAAACTTGCAAATATAATTAACTGATCTGTTTAAAGGTCACTTAATATAAGCAAATGATTCAAATTCTCGAAGTGTGACCTGAAATATAAACATTTATATTTTCCACTATCTATAATTGAAAATAGAAGGAAAAATTGATTAAAATTATAATATTTTAATTTTTAATGATATTCCTGCTCATGAAAATTAATAATTAATGCCAATCTTTATTTTTTTGTATTATTTTTACTATTATTAATTTGTTTCTATTAATGTAACATCAAAATTCATATTTCTAAAATAATGAATCAATTGATACAGTTTAAATTAAGACTAAAAGTTTAAAATTTAAAAAACAAAAAGGCGCGAAAATTTAAATTTTAAAAGGTCCTGTTTTTAAAAACACGCCGCGCCATCTGTAGGATTGTCATAGGAACTTAGTGTAAAGAAACCCGAGCCGGAATGCGCTCAGAAATGTCAGAAATAAAATTCGATTTAATTAATTATTTACGGTGAAATCAAAGGAATTACAGGTAAATGCATGTAATTTTCAAATAATATATTATCAGTATTTATATAAATGTTGTGATACAATTGTTTTATATTAATTCTAAGAGTTCATCAACATTCACTTTGTGTTGACACTTCATAAAAGAGAATATTCTGTTGATTTCATTTTAAAACCTTTATTGCGCATTTAGTAATAATAATTATTTCATACACATTTAGAATATAATTTTGTATGACAAAATCATTGTTTGTTTTTTACAATTTCTTTTTGTTAATGAAACGGTTTGTTTAATTTGTTGTTATTGTCAAAAAAAAAGTGTACAATGTTATGCCTCTTGTATCACACAAAAGACCGGAATTTTCCTTTATTTGCCTGAAACTTTATGCATTTCGTTTATTAACAATTATTTTCTCTTTTCGATTATTATAATCCATAAAGTTATATATTATAACAATGATTTATTAACGACGCACTTTTATTGTTTATTATTCTCAAAATGGCGGACATTTTTCATATACTTGAAAATAATACTTGTTTATTGAGGTCATTGTAGATAATTTTTGTATGAATCACATTAGAAATTTTTTTTATTAAGCAATTTTTTAATTATCGAAATTAAAACAAGTTAACTTTTTATTATGATTTTTATTGGTGAAAATTTTTTAAAAAATTTTTATTTTAATTGAATGGCATGTTATATTTATTTTTTTCCGTTTGCTTTAGATAATTTGAAAAAAGTCTGAAAATGCAGCCCTGCATGTAAGAACAATAGTGTTTTGCAATTTCAACATGAAGCATGAAGCAGTAAGTTCACTTATAAATATTCTTCTTTTACAAACGCAACATAATTTTTTTTTTTTTTTTTAAGCACATGAATAAATTGCATGTTCTTTATTCTCATTCCAATGTTTGGTGTAATCAAATCAATGTTATCTCTGTTATCAATATTTTTTCAACAATTAGTTTTTGACGAAATATTTTTTTTTTTTTTTAATTTACACTTAAAATTAAAATATTTTTTTTTCGTTATAATTTATTTGTAAATAATGATGAAATATTGAGATAAATAAAGTAATTATTTGAATTTTCAGCAAAACTGGAGTGACGAAAAAATTCTGAGATGTTGCCTGAAAGTGAGGCAAACATTGAAGACATGACAGAAGGTATGTAATTCTGGTTGGTAAAACTATATATTTAAATCGGCTTTAATGCTAATCCAATGAATTCAAAGAGCTTTCCTGAGTGAAAAAAAGGAACTTGAAAAGTGCACTTCTAAGTCTTAACACTCGATTCGATTGAATTGTTGGAGATTTGAAATAAACCATCTTTAAATCATCCTTTTTACTTTTTTTTACAGGAGGGGAAAATCAAGCAAGCAGTGATAGCGGAGCTGGTGAGTTAATAACATCAATGTCAATAATATATTATCTTCTTTGTTATGCACGTGCACTTGCAGAAAACTAAGGTGTGAAGTTAATTAAATTATGGTACATCACAGGCATCTGTTACGTTACAAAAAAGGGCTTCACATCTTAGTCTCTTCCAATGTATTGAATTAGTTGCAATAATGAAAAGTTCAACAGTTTGATACATATGAAAGAGTTTAATTTCTTTAAAATTGATTTGATTTATTTGTTAATGAAATTTTTAATTCACTCCTTCAGATGCCTCTGAATCGAGATCTATTCAGGGGGAGGTTTCGAATGAAGGAACGGTGGAAACATCACCTGGCTTATGTCAAGAAGTTCTTACTGTCCAAGGTGTAATACAAGGCGACAATAACGATGCAGCTAATGGTTCGTAAAATATTTATTAATATTATTTTTTCTAAGATAGTTTAGAGAGAATGAATAATTTTACATAATGTAAAACTTATGATTGTTAATAAAAAATTTAACAGTGAAATCTTTTTGATAATAGAATCAACTTCGAGTCGTGTAAGCTCAGTGACAGTTGTATTGCCTTGGGGAGCACAAAAAGAAACCTGTAAACCACATCAAATAGCAGATATGGATTTGAGACCAGGAGAATTTGTGATGCGAACATTGTTCGCTGATTTCACTACACAAGCTGAGAAAAAAATGGAGACTGTTATGACTGATCATGTAAATATAACAATTTATTTTATAAACTAAAAACTTTAATATAATTTAAATTTAATTTTTTTTTAAGGAAAAACCTCTTTCAAAAGTTTTACAACGTGGAGAAGATTCACAATTTGATCAATTACTCTCTGCGTTTGGTTCGGTCGCTGAACATTGTCTACCATCGATTCTCAGGGCTTTATTTGATTGGTATGAGAGACAATTAGTTGACCATGGCACTGATCAAAAGAAACAATCGTCCGCGAAAGAAGATCAAAAGGGAAAAAGGTAAAATTTTTATTAATGAAAATCAAAAATAATAATTTAAGATTATTAAATATAGTAAAAATTCTTATTTTGTTACAGTATAATGTATACAATAGTTTCTGGAAGTGTAGAAACTGTTGAGCGAAGTGAAGCAGATTTAATGCAAGAACGAAGAGATTTATCAGTGGAATTTATATTTTGTTTAGTGTTGATTGAAGTTCTACGTCAATTACCATTCCATCCAGGACATGAGGATCTTGTAACGTACATCGAAAATATAGCTTTTAAACATTTTAAATACAGAGAAGGGTACGTATTTGTTTATTAATGAAAAATTAAATATTCTAAATAATATTTTTAATTAATAATAATAATTTATTTATTTTAGAATTCAAAATGAACCAAATGCAGCAAATATTCACATTATTGCTGATTTATATGCTGAAGTTATTGGAGTTCTCGCACAGTCACGATTTATGTATGTGCGTAAACGTTTTATGATTGAATTAAAGGAACTTAGAGCGAAGGAACCAGGACCTCACACTACCCAAAGTATTATTTCTTTACTAATGGGAATGAAATTCTTCAGAGTGAAGGTAAAAATTATTTTTTATACAAATCTATTTCTTTATTATTTTATAAAAAATTAATTTTATTAATTTCAATTTTTTTTTTTGTTGCAGATGGTTCCTATCGAAGAGTTTGAAGCATCATTTCAATTTATGCAAGAGTGCGCTCAATATTTTTTAGAAGTTAAAGACAAAGATGTGAAACACGCTCTTGCTGGACTTTTTGTTGAAATTCTCGTACCTGTTGCTGCCGTGAGTATTTAAAAATAATAATTTAACGTTTATGATGAATTGATTTTTTTTTTTAAATATTTAAAAATGTAATTTTTATTCCAGGCTGTGAAAAATGAAGTAAATGTTCCATGTTTAAAAAATTTCGTGGAAATGTTGTATTCGACAACATTAGATATGTGCACGAAGAATAAACATCGTTTGGCACTATTTCCATTGGTAACGTGTCTTCTTTGTGTTAGTCAAAAAACATTTTTCCTTCAGAGTTGGCATTGTTTTCTAGCAATGTGTCTCTCTCATCTCAAAAATCGAGATCCCAAAATGTGTCGAGTTGCCTTGGGTAAGTTGTAAAAAACAAATATACATTTTTTTTTTTTTTTTTTTTGAATAAGTAAATAAATAAAATGTTTTTCCAGAGGCCTTGTATCGTTTACTTTGGGTTTACATGATACGTATAAAGTGCGAAAGTAATTCGGCAACGCAGAGCCGTTTACAGAGTATTGTAAATTCATTATTTCCAAAAGGTTCAAAGGCCGTTGTTCCCCGTGATACACCATTGAATATTTTTGTGAAAATCATTCAATTTATTGCCCAAGAGAGACTTGATTTTGCCATGAGGGAAATAGTGTTTGATCTTTTATCCGTTGGTCGTCATGTGAAAATTATTTATACTCCCGAAAGAATGAGTATTGGACTTAGAGCATTTCTTGTTGTCGCTGATAGTTTACAGCAAAAAGAAGGAGAACCGCCTATGCCACGAACGATGGGAGTTCTTCCTAGTGGAAATACAATGCGTGTGAAAAAAACTTATCTCAATAAGGTTTGTAAAAAAAAAAACAATGATTTAGTTAATTTTCTTTTTTATAATAAAAAAAATAATTTGTGTTTCCTTCAGATGCTTACGGAAGACACAGCAAGAAGCATAGGAATATCTTCTTATTTTCCGCACGTTCGTCGTGTTTTCGTTGATATTTTACGAGCTCTAGACGTTCATTATGGACGACCTCTGATGATGACAAGTACACAAAATATGAATAAAGAACCCGATGAGATGATGACAGGAGAACGAAAGCCAAGAATTGATTTATTTCGCACGTGTGTCGCGGCTGTTCCTCGTTTAATACCGGATGGAATGACTGGAGCTGAATTAGTCGATTTATTAGCACGTCTCACTGTTCATATGGACGAAGAATTAAGAGCACTGGCTTATCAAAGTCTTCAAACTCTAGTTCTTGATTTTCCCGATTGGAGACAAGATGTTGTTTTGGGATTTACGCAATTTCTTGCGAGAGACGTTCTAGACACATTTTCACAATTGGTCGATAATGGTTTAAGAATGTTGTTACAATTATTGACAAGTTGGAAAAATGCTCTATCAAGTCCCAGTGTGAGATCTAAAGAACAACCCGTTGACAACAATAGAATTCACCTTCGAATTGATTCAGTGAAAAAAATGGAAACAAATCAAAAAGTCGAACCAGTGTCAAGTGTTTTTCATTTTGTCGAAGGATTTGCGCTTGTTATGCTTTGTAATTGTCGACTCTATCCACGTCGTTTGGCTGTGCATATTTTAAGAGAAATTAAACTTCTACTGAAAACTTTAGGTAAATTAAAAATAATTTTGTATAATTAAATGTCAATATAAATAGGAAAATAATGTGATTATTTTTTGTGCAGGGAGTCTTGAAGATGATCAACCTGTAATCGATGTTATTGACGCGTGTTGTCCAGCTGTTTTAGAAAAATGTTATCACATGTTACCACCAGCGGAAAAAGCGGCTGCAGCATCAAATTCAAATGTTGATCTTCAATGGATTGCTGACAGAAGTAGTTGTGTTTGGACTGCTGGTAAATAAAAATTATTTAACAATTTAAAAATTTTCCATTTTCGAAAGTAATTTAATAAACAAATTTTTTTTTAGGTTTTCATGACGAGAGTAGTACAAAAAGTTCGTCGTCTTTAAATCTAAATGGCGCCGATCCCTGGAGTAGTTGTTTATTTGCATTTTTGGAAAAGGATCGAGTCCTTACACTTTGTCCCAATGCTGTGGCGCATTCCTGGCCCATTGTTTTTACTCGGATTAATTCATTATTTACTGTCGTCGATCCAACGTAAGAACAAAAATTAATATTAATTTAAAAATAAAAACTAAAATTACGTAAACAATAATAATATTTTGAAATATTTTTAGACCTGTGAACGACAATAGAGCCTCCCTTCTGAGAAGTTCGACTGCAATTAGAAAACCCGTTAATGAAAGAGATATTTACATGCACGTTTGGAAAAATTATCTGACTTTTGGATATCGTGTTGTTCCTCCCATTCCAAGTCCTGTTGTTCGATGTGCAAGTCCAGATCTCAGTTTAAGGTAAATAATATTTTTAAAACCATTTTTCTCACAGTTTATTGTTTAGACAATTTACTGTCGATAATTCAAATATCTTTTATTTTTTAAATCAACAATTTCTATTATTGTCATCGTATTGCGATCTTTTAAAGAACCGAGTAACGCAAATTTCTCATTGGCATTGCTGAAGTTAATAATCGGATTTGTTTAATGAAAATTAGATTACAGGCTTTTTTTTAACAAATTAACGTCTTAAATATTAATATTAATAACTACAATAATCAATTTTTTTTTGGAAATACTGATCAATGATAGTTACAAAAAGATGATTTGGTGTCGGGCTGACTCGATTGCTTATCTTTAACTTAGATATAGAAATTCTACTTAACATTTGAATGTAATTTTTAGTTAAAATTGAGAAAGAATTAGATTTCTTTTTTAGGAATATAATAATTGTTTTAAAAAAGTTTCACTTTTTCGATTAACCTTAACTTATATTAATTATTTAATTTTTAATAATTGAAATTAGATATTAATTATTTGAAAATTAATTTTAAAGAAAATGAAATTTGTAAAAAAAAAAAATTTTCTATATTCCAGTGCCTTTGATAATATTTGCTCTAATTTCCAAAAAAAGCGGGATAAAAAATTGCCTTCTAACCCATATTATTTTTTTATCTCTTATTTTTTCGAAAGATCTTTTTTTCTTTGTTTTTGCTTTTTTTTGCAACGATATGTTAACTTTTTCGCATGCCAGTATTTGTCGTTGCCTCGTCATTTCGTTTATTTGGAGTTAGGATAGTAGTATTTCCGAGCAGTAAAATAAATAAATTTGATATTATGGAGCATTGGTGGTACACTGTATTGCATACTCTAGTGGTCAGCAAACGGTGGAGTTTGGTGTGTTGTGCATGAGTAAGGAGTTGAGTCAAAGCCTGGAAAATCTCGGTGGGGCCCAGACCCTGCCGGGTCGGTTCTCAGTACCGTCCATTTCCGGAATCTACACCAGACATAAGAGAACAAGGTGAGCTTTAAAAAAAAAAAAAAACAAAAAAAAAATCGCTAAATGGTTGCTGCCTCTCATTCACCCGGATCGAACGGTCGTTGGTAACTAATCATTTTATAATCTGATGTTAGTTGTATACTTTTTTGTTTCTTTTCTTTTTTCTTCTCTCTATATTAATCGTTGGTCCATGTACTTGGCATGATGGATTACTTAGCAGTGCTTTGTTTCTTGCAAACGTTTTACGTGCAAGTTTTTCATTTTTTTTTTTTACTGAGCCTTACGACCGTTCCTGATCGCTCTTCTTTGATGCACCAAAAACTGTTATTTTATTCAACATTTTATCTGCAGTCATTCTAGATTAGTCGCAGGATCTTTTATTTCATCAATATTTTAGTTTTCGAAATCATTAACTGGTTGAGGGCTCATTCTTTGTTTCTCATAATATGAAAAATAGAGTCGACTCTGGTTAGATAAGATTTTTCTTTAAGATTTTTTTTTTGAAGTGAATTTATTGAGAAGGAATTATTTTTTCAACCAGAGTACACTTTTATTAAAAATGTGTTTTGAATTTTTTTTTCATTTAATTTTATTCATTGTGTGTATATATTTTGTTTTACTTTTTCCACTGATTGTATATATTTATATGTTATACATACATGCAAATCGAATTGTGGTTAAAGTATATATATTTTTTTTATAAAATTAGAATGTCAGAAAGATATATAACGTTACTTACTTTCACAGCTCATCGCCAGATAGTCTTTCTGCTGAACGAGGTGACAATAAATCTCCGGGAACAAATGCCAGTCCTTCAGCTTTGTATAAATTAACAGTGCCTTTACTCAGGTGCGAGGCTGTTGATGTTAGAGATGCTGCCGTTCAAGCAATTGGCAAAGTTAACGCCGATGCATTAAAGTAAGTTTGTTTTTTTAATTTAATTAAATTACTAATTTTTATAAGTCTTATTAAGTCTTTTTACAAAATGTTTAAAAGATTCACTTTAATAAAAAATATATTTTCTTAACGTTTTGAAACATGGTATATATATATTTTTTTATTTTGGCAAAAGTAAAGTTTAAATATTGCATTCTAATGGATGAAAGTGTTATGAATATTTTAGATGATCAGATAAATTTAAAAAAAATTTATGGCTATACATTTGTTGCATTTTTTATCAAAATGTAAATAATTATTGTTCACTTTGACATTTTAATATTTAAAGAAGTGCCTTTCGTTTGCAGCAAGCAAATAAAAAATAGTTGATAATGGAAAAAAATTCTCTAACGTTTTTTTAATTTTTCAAATAAACAGCGATGTTAAAATTTGTATTTAAAACATTTAAAAAAAACAATTGTTTCACGCATTTAGAGATTTGATGGAAGAATTAGTGCCCTATATTAAAGAAGCTGTTGATAGAAAACAAGAAAATATGAGAAGACGACGTAGACGAGATGCTCTAAGACTACAACTTGTTCGTGTCCTGGAATTAATTGCCGAGTATGGAACATTTGGAATTTGGTTCGTAAATTATATTCTTATAATATTATAATTATTTATTTTACATATAACATTATAGTTATTTTCAAGATTAAAAATATCAATATCGAAATATTTTTATATTTTAATTTTATTTTTTTCCTTTAGTTTTTAATTTTAAATTGTTATTTGTTCTATTATATGAACAAAATATTTCAATATGTTTTTTAAACAAATTTGTCTTCTGTGTTGCAGTTTCAATTTTTTTGTTTTTATATTTGTTTGAATAGAGAATCTAAATCTCTTGTTATATTTTGCATTGTTCATTTTAGTCCAGCAGTTTTAGACCGTGAAACTCAATCTCTACATCCTACTTTTATTGAATATATGGATGGTGCGAGATTATTTTTGGAAAATGAAAATGATAAAGAAGCCCCTGCCGTTCGTGACATCAAGTTACATTTTTGTAATTTTATTCGAAAAATGATTAAGAGTTTCACATGTAAGTATTTAATTAGACATAAAATTTTATTTTTTATTTACAAAATACTTTCTTATTTATAATTATTTGACATATTAAATTTTTAATATTAACTATTTAATTCTATTTTATAAATAAAAAATTTTATACTAAATTTGTTTTTAATAATGAAACTAATATTACTATTAATATTATCTATTGTTACAGTGGAAACGTGTCACACTCTTTTAAAAAGAGATTTACGTCGCAATTTATTTACACTTTTTGCCAGTTGGGCCGGTCCTTATGGAAGACCTATTACGAACTCTTCACTATCGCATGAAGATGAAAGAGCCTGCTCTGAATTGCAGCTCTCTGCACTTCAAGCAATGAGTGGATTATTATGCTGTGGTCCCTGTTTTAATCCCCAATCTTTATCTGAAGAGGGTGCAATTCTATATCAATGGTTAGATCTTTTATTATCCAGTAAAGATGAAAAGGTAAATTTTATTTTGTTAAAAATTATTTTAAAGTACATTTCATATTAATTAATTAGTTAACTTCTTAATATTAGATCATCAATGGTCAAGTTTTAATTACTTAAGCAGAATCAACAATCGGTATCATATATTCTCAAACATAAATTTTTGAGTATCGATATGTAATTGAATTTTTTAATTATATTTGATATTTGAACATTATAAATATTACAATTAATTAGAAAAAGCTTTCTTTTTACTAAAGCGAGAAAAAAATTGGAACTAATTTTTTTTTCAAATTTTTAATTAAAATGACATTAAGAACACTGTTATTTTTAATTTATCTTTATTTTATAGTAATTACTTAAACATAATCAATAATACATGTCACATTTTCTTTGTATATTTGAGTAACAATATATGATTGATATTTTTCAATATGTATTTAAAAAAAAATTCGAATATTTTCATTAAATATAAAAAGCTTTCTTTTTAATAATAATTTAATAAATAAAGTTAAAAGTAAATTAGATTTACAAAATATCCTTGTAGTAATTAAATATAGTAATTTTTTTTTAGATTTATATTTTGGCTCGAGAAACTGTGGTGCTTCTCTTGGAAGGAAATCCTGATATTGGAGCTCTTCTTGAATGGGTTGTCGATCGCTGCTATACTGGAGCACCTCAAGTAGCTGATGGATGTTTCTTAGCTCTTGCAACTATTTTCAGTGCAAGGTAATTTTAATTAATATTAAAAACTTTCCATCATAATCAAGTGGCTTGTTTAACATAAATAAGTGAAAGGTAATTTTTAAAAAAAATTCACTCTGAATTTTTAAAGTAGAAACAATTTTTCAAAAGTAATACTTTTTATTACTTTGGATCATGAAGTTAATAATAATGAAAAAAAATGTGCTTTTATGAAGAATTCTTGCCTCAAAGGATTAAAACCGATCGAATTCTATTTCAAATAGTTTGTATAAAGTCGAGAGTAAGTTGAAAGTTTATTACAGGATATTAAAGGAAACTTTCAAATTTTATTAATACTCATCGTCTTTACTTCAATGATAACATTTTTTTCAATATTATTTTGTTATATTTTATTTTTAAAAGCAAAAACTTAATTAAATTTTCAGTTATGTATCAAATTCCACAATTACAAATATTTTTATGTAACTAAAAATATTTTTAAAAATGTATTCTGTAGGGAAATTGAAAATATTTACTAATATTTTTCAATATTTTAAAAATTTCGTAAATTATTTAAAAATACATTCTAATTTTTTTTTTCAAAGTATTTGAAAATGCGGAAAAATCTGATAAATCCGACAGAACAATATTTTAAAAATTTCGTAAATTATTTAAAAATAAATTCTAATTTTTTTTTCAAAGTATTTGAAAATGCGGAAAAATCTGATAAATCCGACAGAACTTTCATGAATTGAGGTCTTTTATTTTTGCTCTTTGCTGAATTTTTCGTCTTGCTTTTTTTAGTGAAGTGGAGTAATGGGTAAATTTTTCACGTGTATAGAACAAATGGTCAACCCCTTGGGTGTAATTATTTTGATTTTTTATCAAAAATTATAAAATGAACAAAAAGATTTTTTATATAGAATTTATTAAAAAAAAAATAAATAGGTAATAATTCAATTAGAAAATGAAATTGCACGTCATTTTTCTGCGGAGACAAATACATTGATTTATTAAATTTAATATTGTTGACAAATAAATAATAAAATGTAACAAATAGAATTAACAATTTTTTTTTTATAACAGTGTATGTGTCCTTGACACTTTACATTTAATACTTTTTTATAATCTCTCACTTTGGTTTTGATTAATGCTCAGTCATTTGAAAATAAATAATTTAAAGCTGTAAACTTAATCATTATAGACACTTGAAAGTTATAATATCACATTGGAACATTTTTTTTTTAAATGTTCAACTTGAGAAATAAACTATAATTACATACATATATGTATATTATGATAAGAAAGTCAAGTTTTCTAATAACATTGAGATTTGTGTTAAAATTTATTTTTCAGAGAATATCCTTGCGATCATTATACGAGTGTAATCAATGTCACTTTGATGAATACGGGATGTCCAAGAGCTCCTGTTCATGATGCTGCCTTACAGCTTTTACAACTTCTTGATCAGAGATTCTTTGGAAATGTTAGCCCTTTGATTGCTACGGAATTCGACAATGGTGAGTATTGTTTTTCTTTTTTTTTTTTAGAAAGATTGCATCTCATAATTATCTGGCCATTGATCATTAATTGTTCGTTGACGATAAACTGATCCAGCTGAACGGTCTGAATCAGCAACTAAAAAAAAATTTAATATTCTTTTGAAATTCTCGAATAATTTTTTAATAATTTAAAAAAATGAAAATAATAACTTTACCGTATAAATTTCTTTGACTAGATCGTTGTGTTGATGATAGGGTTTTATTATTTCTACGTTGACAGCGATGGCATAAAATACGTACAACTATTGCTCGAAAATTTTGTCCTGTTGCACAATAGAGAACAAAATTTATTCCAAAATTTGTGTCGAAGAATATGTTGCTCAATTGTTGAGCTATAATAATATTTACGTGAGGTTCCTCGTTTCTCTGTGAAAAAAATCGTTACACTAAATTCTTAAAATGATAAGAATTTTTTTAATTTTAGACATTTCAATTTCTTGAAAATAATATTATTCTTTCTCACTTTGTTTTGTTATTTACAGTTTTATAATTAATTTACTAAATTGAAATTACTGAATTTAAATAAAATTTTAATATGATATTTATAAATTTTTTTTTATAATTGCTGCAATTTATCAGTATCAATTGAATTAATATTACTTTAATTGTTATTAATAATGTGAGCAAATTTCAATGTTAAAATGTGTTAGAAATTTTCTAAACAATTTTCTTATTTCATTCATCTTTGTCCTTGCTCTTATTCTTTGCCCACAGAGACTAATCGTAATATTGTTCACGAACGTAAATCTCCCTGTTTACAATAACAAGGGCTCTCACGAGTGGCATCGATTTAGTGAATCGTTATTGCAATGTGCATGCAAGTCCGTTAAATATCTGTTTATACGCGAATATCCACTAGAATTTAACGTTATTTTTATTTATAGATAGAAAGAGATTAATAATTAATTTTTTAAAAATTAAAACATATTGGAGGATCATACCTGAATAAGGAAGTAAGAATAAATTCTTATGACGTATGCTGGTAAATTGAAACAGAGAAAAACACTGGAGACGATCAAAAGCATTTTCGTAACCTTGGTTTGACTAATAATCGAAGCACGAGTATGCGAGGAATTTGATGATTTATCCCGAACACGATGCTGTTGTCCCGATTCAATAGTCAAATTTTCCCTCGCTCTCACAATACGCCATACTGATTTGACAATTAATGTATTTAAAATCACTATCAAACAAAATGGCACAATAAATGTTAATACAGTGTCAATAACATTATATGCACTCGCCCATTTTTGCCATTCATCAGCTAATGTACACTGTATTGTTGAATTGGAAAATGAATTTGTCGCTTGTGGTTTAGAAAATAATATAACTGGACTACAAATTATTAAACCAATTAATGTTATAGTGAAAATAATTGTCTTTGCTCGTTTCACTGTACACATCCATTGTCGTTGAAGTGGATAACGTACAGCAACAAATCTTTCCACAGTGAATGATACAACGAACCATGCACTCAAAAAACTGCAAACTGTCGTTAAATAGACGAAAAATTGACAAAAACCTTGTCTATCGAATAATTTCACTTCAATCATTCCTAACCAAACGATAAATAATGATAATAAAAAACCAGTGTCACTAATTGCAAGTGCAGCGAGATAAAAGTTTGATGATGTTCGTCGCATTTTTGTGCCAAAAAACACGCACACCGAGAGACTATTTCCAAGAGAACCAAAATAAACCAAAAATGGAACATAATACATTTGTAAACCGTGTAAAAAAATTTGTAAAAACTCATCATCATTAATGACAATTATTGTCTCGATGGTTTTGTTATCCATGATGTTTTGTGTTTTTACAAGAATTTTGAAATTCGATTTTTTCTTATAAACTTCTTCAGATTTATTTTTTTTTCCATTATTTCTTTTTATTTAAATTTTTTTTTGGAAAATTTCATTTTAGTTTTTTCATATACTTTTTATTCTGCTTCATTTTCTTCTTTGTTTAATTTGTGCCTCTTGATTTTTTTCATTGAAATTTCTTGACATTCATGTCTTTCTATTTTTTCTTATAATTTATTTTTATTTCTTTATTTACTTTTATTAATTTCTTATAAATTTCATTTTTACATTTTTATTTATTTTCTTAATAATTACTTTCTATTTTAATCCTTTTCATGTTTTCTATTTTGTTTCTTAAATTTCTTTCTTTATACATATTTCTTGACATTATTTTCTTTTTAATATATTTTTCACTTATTTCTATTTTTTTAAATTATTTCTATAATTACATAATTCCATCGGTTTATATATATATAAATTTTGAATTTGAATTGAATTTTCAATTTACATATTTCTATAGTCAATTAATATAATTATAATCCTGATAATAAGTTTTTGTTTTGAAAAATTTGAATTTCATAATTTTAATTTTTTTGTGAGAAAACGGTTCTCGAAATATTTGAATTTATAACTGAAGTTTCATAATTTAAAAATTTCTTCGTTAATAATTAATTTATTATTGACGATGAAAAAGGGATGTTATTGCATTTGAAATGTAATAAATATATATACACTCACTATCAAAAAGACATTTTCAATTAGCACTAATTTTCAACAAGGAAACCATTATCGGTTTGGCGCCCCAGTTATTTCTGCTTGTCGGTTCGACGATCCTCTCTTGATAAAGCGCCACACGCAACAACCTGGCTTCTGCGCGTCGTACAAATTGCATCTCTTTTCTCATATATATACAGAGATGTGCGCAAAAGATTTTGAAAAAAAAAAAAATGTTATTTATCCAACTTTATATACAATTTATTATTTAAACATAAAAAAAAAATCGCAAATAATATCGTGATATAGTTAGAATTTAACTCTTTTAAATCAATTCATCATTTTTCCATTTATTTATTGCATAGAAATAGTTTCTGTGCCAAACGATTAGTCATCTATGGGTGCTAAATGTGTGGTGTTTGTCTAATGTCAATCAATGTAGATAATTAATGTTTTTCAGCTATTGTTGGGTATTTGGATTGATGAAATATATTTTAATATATATATTTTTCAAAATTTTTTCACAAAATTAATTTTTCTTAATACTGAATAAATTAAATAATTTCAATTCAAGTTTTAAATTAAATGTTCCAAACAATTTTAGTAACGTTTTTCATTTCATACATTTTATAATTAAAATTTTTTGATTATTTAAAAGTAAAGTAATTATTAAAATTTACAGATACGCACATTAGTTTGACAAATTTCAATTTATTGATTCAATTATAAGACTTCTTTGTAATTCAATATTGGCAGTTTAATTTGTCTACAGAAAAAAAGGGGAAATTTGAGTAAATAATAAAAATTCTAATAAAGATCCCCTAAAGAGAAAGACCACTCCTCTTATTGCTGTAAATTACGTATAATAGTGATTGCCAGTCTGTCATTCGATCATTGAAATATCGACATTTTTGCAAATATATATATATATATCATACAAATGATATTGTAACTTTCAATTATTAATTGATGAAACAAATAGAATAAACTAAATTGTTAATACCTATTAAATGGAAAATTCTGGAATCCAAAACATTTTGGTTTTAATGTATATTAACTCTCAACTATTTAATCATTAAATTAAATTAGTTTCACATTGTTTCTGAAATCCGATTATAAATTAAACTTATATTTACATATGTAGATTTCAATTTGAACATTACTTAGCAAAATATTCATATTATTATAGGAAATTTCTAATTACTCTAATGTACTTAACTAATGGATATAATTTTAGATAATAGAACATATAATTCCAACAACGTATATTAAAAAAATAATTTTTTATATTTTAGGACAAGATGAATTAGCAGTTGGTTCATCAGCTGCTGGGGCAGGACAAATTAGTACAATTACTGGAGGAAAATTAAGAGGTGGCACACTTGATGCTTTACTTTCAACAACTTATTGTCGAAATCAAATGTATCTTTCACGTCAACTTGCTCAACTTCATCCAGAATTGACAATGCCCATGTTTAGTGGTGAGTTTGAATAAATACCACTCTAGAAATTAATAAAAATTTTACCTGCAATTAAATCGAAATCAAAAGTTATAAATAATATTAAAAATAAGCTATGTTTTTCTACCTACATTAAAAAAAATCATTTGCAATTTAAAAAAAAAATTATCAGCATAAATAAAATAAAATTTCGAGAAATCTCGTGGATGAAAAAATTAAAAAAGGAAAAATCCATGGATTAAAGGAAAATAAATAATAAAATTTAGAATATTTTTCTATAATATAAATTAAATTACATCAATTATTATTTATGATGTATTTTTATTTTTACTTTCTATCTTTCTTGATCTTCAGCTTTGAGTTTTCATTCTAAAATAGTATGCCGTTAGCTCGTACGTTTTTAGAATTTATGCAAACTACAGCTTTTCAGGCTTTATTCCAAGCGTGATCTTTTTCCCCCAAGAGAATCCCAATGTAATCCTGGATTTCACTTCAGCCTAGCAAATTTAGTAGAGTCAATTTTTATCCTTTTTGTTGTTGTTGTTGTTGTATTGTTCAACATTATAAAAATTAAAATATTTTTTTTAATTTTCCTCTTACGAAAAATAGTTTAATTGTTAAAAATGTATAATTATCTTCTGATTTGAATATTTTATTAGTCTTATAAATTTTATAATGTTATAAATGTATTAGTAAATTGTAGAGTACATTTATACACAGTAAATATTTAAGGAATTAAAAGTATGTACTTTTAAAAATTAAATTTATTTGCAACTCATGAAATTTGTAGAAGTTGAATTTTAATATTTACTCGTTAAATAAAAAATGTAATACTTTTTAATTTATGAAAGTTATTTTTAAAAAATAATTAATATTTATTAAAAACCAATTTTTTTTAATAAATTGGTTAAAAGTTGAGTTTAATATAAATGAAATAATTTAAAGTTTTTAATTGAAAAAATAAATTATGATTGATAAATATTTTTTGTCTGTTCCAGAAATTACTCATAGATTTCAGACTGCTCGTAGGGAAGTTCGCCAGTTATTACTTCAATATTTACTGCCTTGGCTTCATAATATGGAACTTGTTGATCCAAATGTTCCACCTCCGTCGAATCCTCTCAGTTATTACCAGGTGAGTAATTATTTTATGTTAATTTTTTATTATTTGGAAGAAGTTTCAACTTTAGAAACAATCACAATTTTCTTACTAAAGAACTCTTTAAGGTTGTTATTAACATTTAGAATAATTAACTAATAAATTTGTAATTCCAACAGTTTTACGGTGCTGATGTTAATTTATTTTGAAAAAAATGATTTTAAGGAAAGCAAATAGTCAATGTTGGAAAGTATTTCTTGATAATTTACATGATTATTAAGAACTCTAAAAAAAAGAAAAATAAGCATTGTATATAATTATAAAGTTTTTAAAAAAGAAATTTTGGAGGCGCCGGGTATCGATCCCGGTACCTCTCGCATGCTAAGCGAGCGCTCTACCATCTGAGCTACGCCCCCTGATATTGTTTGTTTATAATAATTTTGAAAGGACCACTAAAAATGATCCACTTTTGAATTTGAAAGTAAATACTTAAGGGCATGCATTCCAATGTCTTGAAGTATAAACTGTTCTCGATTAATGAATTAAAATATCGTAATCATTAGATTTTTATGATAAAAAACGATGCATAAATTTTTCTTTAACAAAATTTTAATATGATTTATTTAATACTTTAATAATTCAGATTTAATTATTTTTATGATGTCTGACAGATCTTTTTGAAATTTTCATTTCATTTATTTACATCAGTGGAAATATGAAAAAATAATAGAGAATATCATACATTCTGACGTAGATTTGCCTAAAATGTATAATAAACAATGAAAATCAAATTCCATTTGTTCTATAGAGACCATGGACATGTTTCAGTTTCAAATATTCACTTTCCTTATTAATATATAGAATTTGTGATAACATAAAATAATATGCCTCAGGCAAACTATTTTATCTTTGTTATATATAATTAAAATATGTATTTTAAAAATATTTTTGCAATATTTTTAATAAAAGAGAATATACTTTTCTCGAAATTAAATAAGATAATTTAATTTATTTAAAGTGAAATGCAATTAATTAACAGTATATGTACATATTTGGATTAAAAAAAAAAAAGAAATTTTAAGTTGATCGTATATATTAATAAACTGTTAGATTTAAATTCTGAATTTATTTTATTTTCACTTTATTCTCAAATCTAAATTAGGTATCTTTCGGATAATAAACTTGGAATGAATTCTTGAGTGAAATAACTTGTGCCGCAATATATATCTGTGAATAAGTCCAATGAACTCCATGACTAAAATTATGTAAAATAAAGTTACTTTAGTTACACGATCAATGAGTAAAGATACTGAAAAAGTAAAAAAAAAATAATTATATTTATTTATCAAAGAAGGTATTTGTTTCAAAGTCGGAATACAAAATTTAATTTATAATTTCTTTTTCGAAAAACGAGATTTCAACTCAAATTTAATTCCATTGTAATAACGCCGCAAAAAGGGAATAAAAAATTTAATTTAATTTTCTTTTAAACCCGTTCGTGATAAAAATTAATTTTCTTAAAGAAAATAGCGTTATATAACAAAATTAACTTGATTTTCTAAACAAGTAATTGCAACTATAGTGTTTTATTACTATTTTATTTTTAATCTTTCGCTAATAAAAAAAAATATTTATTTTTCTTAAAAAAAAAATTCGATATAACAAAATTAAATTAATTTTGTGCACAATAAATAATATTTGTGTATACTATTTTTCTCATTGTTGGAGAATTTACAACTCTAAGGATTCAAGCCATCTAAGAATATTTAACGAAGCAATTTTTTTTTTTTTTTTCAATAAAAGTATTGCTTTTAAAAGAAACTTTAAGATAACAAACATTATAGAGAGGCAGAGAAGTAAGAAAAAAGAATAACTGTCTGCATACTTTCAAATTTAAAAGTAGAACATTCAGTGATTTTTTTCAAAATATTTGTATTAATAAATAATATCAGGGGGCGTAGCTCAGATGGTAGAGCGCTCGCTTAGCATGCGAGAGGTACCGGGTCAACGATGGCATATCATTTGTTATATTATTATGTTTAAGGTCTTATAAGTGGATTTATGCCTTACTCTTTGTAAACTAATATCTGTAAATTCAAAAATAAAACTACTTTTTCAAACCAAAAAACGAGAGGTACCGGGATCGATACCCGGCGCCTCCAAACTATCTTTTTGATATATTTTTTTTAAATTTGCATTTTCCGTATATTTTTAATATATTCTAAATAGAAATCATAGCAAGAGTTTTAAATATTTCTTTTTTTAATGTAATAGAATTTTTCTGTCTGTTATGATCGTAACAATCGAAACCAGTATCTTTTAGGACCGGTTGTGGTCCAGATTGAGTCCCTATGCAGATGAAAGGTTCTTATGTACCAATGACGCTGTAAAAACGTGTTCATTGTAACGAAAGTGGGTCAATTTAAAGGAATTAAAAATTTTAAATGACAGAATAATACCACAGGGGGCGTAGCTCAGATGGTAGAGCGCTCGCTTAGCATGCGAGAGGTACCGGGATCGATACCCGGCGCCTCCAAAGTACCTTTTTGATATATTTTTTGAAAATTTGCATTTTCCGTACATTTTTATTAAATTCTAATTAAAAATTTATTTTTTTTCAATGTAATAAGATTTTTTTGTCTGATAGGATCGTAACAATCGAAACCGGTATCTTTTAGGACTGGTTGTGGTCCAGATTGACTCCCTATGCAGGTGAAAGGAATTGGAATGTTCTTATGTACCAATGACGTTTTAAAAAAGTGTTCACTGCAACGAAAGTGGGTCAATTTAAAGGAATTAAAAATTTAAAATGACAGAATAATATCACAGGGGGCGTAGCTCAGATGGTAGAGCGCTCGCTTAGCATGCGAGAGGTACCGGGATCGATACCCGGCGCCTCCAAAGTATCTTTTTGATACATTTTTTTTAAATTTGCATTTTCCGTACATTTTTATTAAATTCTAAATAAAAATCATAGCAAAGAGTTAAATTTTTTTTTTTTTTTCAATGTAATTAGATTTTTTTGTCTGATAGGATCGTAACAATCGAAACCGGTATCTTTTAGGACTGGTTGTGGTCCAGATTGACTCCCTATGCAGGTGAAAGGAATTGGAATGTTCTTATGTACCAATGACGTTTTAAAAAAGTGTTCACTGCAACGAAAGTGGGTCAATTTAAAGGAATTAAAAATTTAAAATGACAGAATAATATCACAGGGGGCGTAGCTCAGATGGTAGAGCGCTCGCTTAGCATGCGAGAGGTACCGGGATCGATACCCGGCGCCTCCAAAGTATCTTTTTGATACATTTTTTTAAAATTTGCATTTTCCGTACATTTTTATTAAATTCTAATTAAAAATTTATTTTTTTTCAATGTAATAAGATTTTTTTGTCTGATAGGATCGTAACAATCGAAACCGGTATCTTTTAGGACTGGTTGTGGTCCAGATTGACTCCCTATGCAGGTGAAAGGAATTGGAATGTTCTTATGTACCAATGACGTTTTAAAAAAGTGTTCACTGCAACGAAAGTGGGTCAATTTAAAGGAATTAAAAATTTAAAATGACAGAATAATATCACAGGGGGCGTAGCTCAGATGGTAGAGCGCTCGCTTAGCATGCGAGAGGTACCGGGATCGATACCCGGCGCCTCCAAAGTATCTTTTTGATACATTTTTTTTAAATTTGCATTTTCCGTACATTTTTATTAAATTCTAAATAAAAATCATAGCAAAGAGTTAAATTTTTTTTTTTTTTTCAATGTAATTAGATTTTTTTGTCTGATAGGATCGTAACAATCGAAACCGGTATCTTTTAGGACCGGTTGTGGTCCAGATTGACTTCCTATGCAGGTGAAAGGAATGGAAATGTTCTTATGTATCAATGACGTTTCAAAAACGTGTTCACTGCAACGAAAGTGGGTCAATTTAAATGAATTAAAAAATTTTTAATAACAGGATAATATCACAGGGGGCGTAGCTCAGATGGTAGAGCGCTCGCTTAGCATGCGAGAGGTACCGGGATCGATACCCGGCGCCTCCAAAGTATCTTTTTGCAAAAATACCTCATATTTTTTATTTTTTCAATTTTTAACTAAAAATGAATTTATATCACAAAATGAGCAGAAAGGTAATTCAGGTTGAGCGAAACGGGGGGTAATTCACTTACCCTTGTGTAATATATAAACATAGAATTAATGTGTACACTGTACACGTGTAATAAAAGACTCTTCATTTTAGTTATAGAGGAATAGAAAATTTAGAACGAAAGAAAATTTTTATTTCTTTACAGATTTTATAAAAAATCAGATGTACCTTGCAGGGTGCATTTTAATGAAAAAATTCTTCAAATTGCAAAGGCAATTTTTTTTGCACGCCGAAGGGCGTCTTAATAAAGGGAAATTTTTTTCATATTTTAAAAATAAATTTTTTAATAAGCTTAAAGTATATTACATTTTATTATGTTAATTAAGATAGAAAATTTTTTTAAATTTTATATTTTTTAACTGAAGACAATTTTTTTTTCTTTTTCAGTATTATACAAGTGACGTGACCCGAGGAGGTGGTCGCAGAGAAGGTTGGGGTAGCGCTGAAGCAACTGAAATGGTTCTCAATAATTTATTTTATATAACTGCAAAGGTAATTTAATTTTTTGGAAAAAATATTAATTTCATATTATTCTATAATAAAACACTTAAATTCTCCAGCTTAATTTTTTAGTTAATTAAAAAATATTCTTAAAAAGTAAATTAATATATTATAAATTATGATGTAATATTTTCGTTACTGAATTTGTTAATTACAATTTTTCAGTTTTCCGATGAACATCCAAAGGAAATAGAAGAATTATGGGCGACACTTTGTGGATGTTGGCCAAATAATCTCAAAGTTATCATTCGTTATCTCATTATTGTTTCAGGAATGGCACCCCAAGAACTTCTAACATACGTGAGTTTCTCCATTATTTATATACTATTCTTTTTGAAAATTTTTTTATATCATTTTTTAAATTCTGACAAACTCCACTACTCTAGTTGATAATATCGTAAAATGAAAAATGTTACGTTATAGTTTTGAACTTTATGTTTAGTTACTTTATTTTATATGAAGCATTTTATATATATATATATGTGTGTGTGTTTTGAAAAGTAAAGTTAAACAAAATTTTTATTCAAACACTTGTTATATAAAAATGATACTATTCAATTTTTATTTAAGGCGAAACGTGTAGTTCTTTATTTGGCAAGAGCTCGACCCGATAGACTCGTCGATGAAATGATGATTGAATTACAAACAGTGGAAACTCTCAACTGTTTAATCGAAAGAACTGAAACACCACCTTTTTATCGTTTAACAAGTATGAGAAAAGCATCGTCTCACAGCGATGCACCAGCGGCTGATCCCGCCAATCCATCCAGAGATTTAGCTGTTGAAAAAGGAACTATTCATACTAAACGACATTCTGGAGAGGATCCTATTAAAGCGGGGTAAGAATAATAATTTTCACTATATTATTATAATTTTCATTTTCTTATTTAGAATTATTATTGAATTGAAATATTTTTATTTTTAAAATTACCTCATTTGTAATTTATAATTAAATAAAGCGAATTAAATTAAATGAGGAAATTTAAAACAATAATAATAATAATTTTATTATTATATTGTTATCCATTTATTCTTTATGTAATTCAAACTCGTTATATGAGAATTCAGAAAAATAATAATGAGAGAATAGTATTGAAAAGTACAAAAAATGTTGAAATTTTTATCTCTTTCTCTTTATAAAAATTCTTTTTTGTTATTACTTTTAATTTCTTTTCTTCTCTTGTTCGTAACCATTAAATAATTCTTTATTAAAAAAAACTCTTATTATAAAAAATAATATGCCATTACTGACTTTCGGATTTAAAAGCTGCGCTATCTACATTTTTTTTATGAAAAATGAGTTTTTTTTATTTCATTGGATTCGTAAAAGAAGATTAATTATTAATAATTTTTTAAATTTGTAAACTCTGTCATTTGGTCAGTAGAGTTGTGAAAGGAGAAGAGGAACCTATGACGTCAAATCCAGCGCCATCAGTCTTTTAATTATTTATATAATCGTATTTAGAGAAAAAGTAACAAATGGCTTCGCGAAATAAGCGTATTTTTTTTTTAAATTTATCCTTCATGGCATTGGGAACTTTTGATTTTTTTAAATTTGAAAAACAAAATATTTGTTTCGAAATACAATTTATTTCTATAGAATCATTTAAAATTTTTAATAGGAAAAAAGTTATTTTCAAAATATAAAAATTTGAATTTTATTTAAATATTAAAAATTGATTGGTTTTTGATAAATTCACACAAAATATAGTTATTTTTTTATATATGTCAATCAATTTCTTTTGATGCAAGTGGTACATTTTTTGAAGAATTAATTGAAACCAGAGATTTTGATTAATCAATCTATTGCTTTTAAAGCAAGGATTCCAATTTTTCCAAGAGTTAATTAAAAATATTGTTATTTTGTTTATATAATTTAGGTTAATTAATCTAGGTTTTCAGTTTTTAAAAAACTTGTTAAAAATATAATAAATACACGTGAGAGAATATTATTTGAAAAGAGATTTTTCATTTATTTTATGTACTTCAATGAATATTGATATTAATTTTTCAGTGGCTCCAAATCAGATTCAGCATTACGAGCATTGGCTACATTCTCAAATTCAAGAATTGAAAAAACAAGAACTGCTAGTGGACCTGCAATGCTGCCAGATGATCTTTCTACTCCAACAACGGAACCTGAGGTTTTTTTTTTCATTTTTAAATTACAATATTTTCATCTGCAATTTTTTACACATTTTAATTAATATTATGTTTCTTTTACAATACCATTATGAGATTTAATTTTTTCAGATGAATACAGATGAAACATGTTATGCCACTCGGAATGGAGCAACAGGTGTCAGTGGAAAAGTCGTTTGTGTTGGTGATATATTCGATATTCCTCAACCACATCCATTACCAATGCCTGAATACGGAGGATATTTTGCACCATTAACAGAATATTTACCCGATAGTTCACAACCAATCAGCGGATTTCATCGGTAAATATAATTCATTCAATTATTATTATTATTTAATGGTAAATTAAAAATTAAAAAAAATTTTCTTTTTTTAAAAAAAAGCAATAATGATAAAATTTAAACAATTTTTAGATGCAATATTGCTGTAATGCTTCTGACAGACGTTGTTGTTGATGGAATACAATTGGATTGGGCAATTCATGTTCCATTAATGTTGCACATTATTTTCTTGGGTTTGGATCATTCACGACCATTAGTGAGGGATCATTGTCGATGTTTACTTTTGAATCTCTTGGTTGTATTGGGTGATCATCGCGATCATCTTGGTGTAGCTCGTGTTTTATTAGCTACAAAAACTGAACAATTGGGACTTGGATTATCAACACCACCATTACCTGTAATTGAGCACAATTTTACGGAAGTTGATCCAGAGTTTGATAGTTATCTTTATGGTCCATCAACTGTTCCTCAGCCGTCAAGTCCTCCACAAGCAAATTCACCACCTCCGACTTCGCCTTCATCGTCTCCACCTCCTCCACCACCACCACCTCCGCCTCCTCCACCGCCACAACCACCACCACCTCCTCCTCCACCTCCTCCGCCGCCGCCACCACCACCTCCGTCATCGTCAAATGTCACTCCAAATCATTCTCCAATCAATACATCATTGACTACAAGATGTTCAATTAATCAAGCAGTTCAATCTTTCGCCGATTCGAAAATTCAAACTATTTATTCATATGGTGAGTTTTTTTTTTGCATTTAAATATTTGATTCTTTTTTCTTTAATTAATTAAAACTTATGATGATTTTACAACTATTTTTTTTCTTTCTTCAATTTAAAATTTTCTAAAATTATTATCATCATTAATCATAATTTATGTATTTTTTCGTTACATGTAAAACAAAACAAAAAAATAATCATAAAAATTGCAATAAAGTTTAAAAACTCAATTGCACAAAGGAATGTTTGAGCTTTTTTACGTTGCTTATGAAACAAAAGAACTGAAGTAATGTCAATAAAGTTTAGAACTCGATTGCACAAATGACTGCCTTTAACGTGTTCTCTTATTTGAATTTTCAACTGAATGAAATTTTTTCATACTATATTGATATTACGTTTTTTTGTATATCTAGTTTATGATTCGAAAGCACTTTATTAACAGCTTAGTGAATATTGTGCTTTTTTATAATTCTATAATATATATTTTTAAATAAATTAAAAAGATTTAAAACAGTTTGAATTTTATTTAAAATTATTAATTAAAAAATAAATTCAAAGTTGTGAATTTTCGAAATTTGTTTGCTTTTTTATTAAATATTCTCAACTGTAAAAATAAAAGCGTTTCTCGTACATTTCAAAGGGAAAATTAAAAAAAAAAAATTAAAAAAAATTACAGAATCAACATCGGGAAATGGATGGCCTCCATCTGTGAGAACAGTAACGACCATTGGATTACCGCCTGTGATTGTGACACCTGAAGATGGTGTTAATTGGACTGGACCACAATCTGGTTCGATAATGTCTATTCAAGATGTTATTAAATCATTGATAAATTTCCTTGCCTCAAGAACAAATCAACCCTTGTGGAATTACGAAGATATGACTGCAAAAGTTTGGTACGTTCGAAGTGCAGAGCAATTGACAATTTTATTGCGTCATGTATTGCGAGTCTTTAGAGAATCATTACCACATGCACTTGTTAGTCAACGTTGGGCTCAAACAGCTCTTCAATTAGGACTCTCATGTTCATCGAGACATTATGCCGGTAGATCACTTCAAGTTTTTCGCGCTCTTCGTGTTCCCATTACTTCGCGAATGCTCTCTGATATTTTATCCCGACTGGTGGAAACTGTTGCTGAACAAGGCGAAGATATGCAGGTAATATTTTATCTTTTTTCTCATTAGAAAAATTACAAATTAAAAAAAAAACGAATATTAATTATAAAATGGTGGAAAATATAGCAAAATAATATAAACTCGAAGAGACTAAAATTAAGGTATTATTTACAAATTAATTAATTTCCATCATTATTTAATTTTGTAAAATTAGTACATTCCAATTAAAATTTAAATTAACTAGCAGTTTATATTTGAATTTGATAGTTATATTACGATTAAATATTTGCATTGTAAATTAATTAATAATAATAATTAAAAATAATTTTTTTTACTCAAGGGATACGTCACCGAATTACTCTTAACTCTCGAGGCAGCAGTTGACTCTTTGGAATCAGACTTTAGGCCTCTAGACTTTATGAAAGAAATCTTTAAATCCACTCCCAATTTAAATAATAAAGATGCAGCGTCAATTATTAAGAAAACAGGAAATATGTATCCTGCAGGAGCTCATGTTTATTCGCATCTTTATCAATCGGGACATACACGCAGTACAAGTTACTCAGTCAGTTACTGCATGAGAAAATCAGCAGCTGCAAATACAAGTGATGTGAAAGGTAAATATGTATATATATATATATGTATATTTGTTCACGAAATTTTGGTATTTCAATCTATAAAGTATATTTCATCAATAGTTGATGAAATGAATATTTTGTAAAAAGTCAGAGTTTTAAATAAATTTTTATTTTTTTATTGACCTTTTAAATTTAAATCAAATCAAATTTAATAAAAATTAGTTTAAATTTTTTTAATATTATTAAAGCACATTAAGAAAATTAAGTGTATCTTTCTTGTTTAGTAGTGAACGGAAATTATCTTTCAGAAAAGCCTCTATTATGTTTTTTTTAAAAGTTAATTTCCTTTTTAATTTCCATGAGAAAAAAATGAATTCTCTAAACGAAATAATTATTTTTTTCCATTATAAAACAATAATTAAAATAAGCAATTTTTTCTTAGAAAAAAAAAATTAAAAAATAATTTTTCTTTCAGAACTAGATAATCGAGTTGGCAATAAATATCCAAATTCAAATCTTTCGAGATCAAGATCAGCGCAATCATTAAAATTATTGGGTGATTCTGCAACACAAGATGATAAAATGACAATATTGGCACAATTATTTTGGCTCTCAGTTTCTCTTCTTGAATCTGATTATGAACATGAATTTTTACTTGCCCTTCGTCTTTTAGATAGAGTTTTGCATAGATTACCATTAGATCGTCCAGATGCAAGAGATAAAGTTGAAAAATTACAACAACAATTAAGATGGAATTCATTTCCTGGTGTACACGCTCTTTTATTGAAAGGTTGCACCAGTCCAAATACATATGAGCCTGTTGTTACTTTGCTATCTCAATTTACGACCTTTTTGGACCTACCGGTTGTCGATCCAACGCAAAGTCTCGCCTTTCCAATGAACGTTGTTTCTCTGTTGCCCTATATGCTTCTTAATTACGAAGACGCTAATGAATTATGCATTCGAAGCGCGGAAAATATTGCTCAGGTATTTAATTATTACGTGTCTGTAAATTTAAACTTGAAATTTAATCCGATAATTAACATTGTTAAAATAGAAATTGAGTTAACATTTTAAAGCATAAAATATAATTTCATCTCAAATGAATATTCTAAGTAATTATTATTATTTTTTTTTTTACACTTTTGATATTTCTAAAATAATTATTTCGATAGCTAAAAAATAAAAAGTAATCTAAATAAAAATATAAAATAAAAATTCTATAGAAATGCAACTTGAATGGTATAAATTATATATTTTCTTGTTTATTAATTTAAATTCATGATAGCATTCAAAATAGACATTCATTTTCATTAAAGGTTTTTCATATATTTTCATTTTGATATTTCTGTTATAATTATTTCTGCAATTGAAACAAAATTCTACAAAAGGAAATGCAAATTCAATAGAATAAATTAAATGTTCTTGATTATCAATTTACTTTCATTTTATAAAATCCAAATATTTAGTATTTAAATTAAAATTTTTCAAAAGAAAATACAACATCAAAGGGTTAATTGAATTTATGATAGCATTTCATTTTCGAATAACTGAAGTACAAAGATAAACACAAAGTAATAAAATTGACTTTTTTGTAGGTGAGCGCTGAGAAGGGAAAAAAATTGGAAAATTTAGGAACAGTTATGACTCTATATAGTCGTCGAACATTTAGTAAGGAAAGTTTTCAATGGACAAAATGTGTTGTTAAATATCTTTACGACACATATGCGCATTTGAGTTTCAATATGTTGGCATTTTTAGTTGAAGTTTTGGAAAAAGGACCAGGAAATGTTTCACTTCCTGTTCTCAGTATTATACATTGTATGTTGCATTACGTCGATCTCGCATCTCAAGCTGCACAACCAATAACAACTGAATTGTTACGAGTTATTTCTAAATATGTAGAGGTAATTTAAAATTATTATTTTCTTTAAAAATCTATTCTTTAAAATTAAAATGCACATTTTTGATTTTCTATATTATATTTATTTCTTTTTTTCACTTAATTTAGGGACCACAATGGAAAGAATCGTTGAAAATTCTCAAACTTGTCGTAACACGTTCATCAACACTCGTTGCACCGCCAACTTCCGTTCATGGACCCAATTGGGATTCATCGTCAGCATCTCCACATCCAAGTTTCACTGACACTGAAATATTCACAAAAAAAGAATTACCCGGTATGTAAAATTTTCCTTAATTATACAATTTGCATGCATTTTTATTGTAAATAACAAATTTTATTTTATTGTTTTTTTTTTCGCCATCTCACTATATTGTTGGACTGGTTAAAAAAATTTTCCACGACAAATCAGGTTGTGATAAAAATAATAACGCTAGATATTTGTAATTTAAGCGACAGTAAATAATTATTAGTGTCCCAGCTTTTTCTCTAGAATTTCGTTGAATAAAGAAAAGATGATTTGCTGATTTTTTTGTGATTGATTTAGATTTTTATTTTGACTTTATCCAAAACAGGAAGAACGATGGACTTTACTTTTGATCTTTCACAAACACCTGTTATTGGAAGACGTTGGTTAATTCGTCAAATTGGTGAGGAGAAAAATCTCAATTCTCCAAGACGATCCTTGTCACTATCTCCGGCTGATAATAATGCCATTTCCGGTTGGAAGAAACCTTGGATGTCTCAGGTAATAACTATTTCTTTTTATAAAATTTTATAAATACTTTAATTAAATTTCTTTAGCCATTTTTATAATTACAAATTTAATTTAAATTCTTCAGGAAATATCATAAAAATAAATTTTCTACAAAATTCTTTTTTTATTATTGTTAATTTTATACTTTTTTTATTTTTAGAGCCGTGTCAGGGAGTGTTTAGTGAATCTTTTGACAACTTGCGGACAGAGAGTCGGATTACCAAAGAGTCCATCTGTAAGTATTGAATTTTTTAATTTTTTAATTACTCGCGTCATTGATCATTTCATGAATTAGATTTTGACGATCATATGTATTTAATAATAGAATGACAATGAAACCTTACTTTCCTTATCTCCTCATTTTTAGGATGAACATATTAGTTCCATGACATTGTACAGTAAGGTAAACGGATTTTTTAAACTGTGAGCACTCGTTGAAAATTTGCAAGGAACTTTGTGCTTTCACTTAATATTTTTCTTTTTTTTTAATTTAAATTCAACAATACAGTAGAAACTTCAATATTTCATTTTGGAACTTGGTAAAATTTTACGTGCCCAATTTGCCATTTTTTGAAATTCTAATTATTTTCTTTTTTATTTTAATTATATTCAATTTTTAAATTAATTTAATTAAAATTCTAATTTTTTGGGTTTGGAGACTCATTTATTGAAGGTTTTACTGTTATATGAACGATTTTTCAAAACTGTCACATCATTGCACTTTCTCATTAAAAATGAAAATCGCATCATTCGCAAGCAAGTAGGGTCGAATCACCAAAAAATATTAATTCTCTTATCTGACAATGTGGTGTAAATTTTTTATCCACATAAAGTCGAATTTAAATTATTCTCTTTTTTTTTGGTAATAAATTGTGTGTTTGTTTTTCTCAAAACTTCAATTGTAATCTTTTTTTTATCTAAAGCGGAATTTTTTTTTGTTCTTATTGCAATAGGTGATATTCAGTCAGAGTTCCGATTTAATGGAAAGACAATCTTCAATGGCATCGTCAACAGAAGAAGTATCTGGTGCCAATAATGATTTGAGTGGAGGTTCGCGACGCGACGATGAACAATTTGGCGTCTTTAAGGACTTTGACTTTCTTGAATACGAAAGTGAGAGTGTCGAGGGCGAGAGCACTGATAATTTCAATTGGGGTGTACGTAGACGGCCACTCAGCGAAGGAGAAGAACGAGAACCAAGTCTTCGACATTTTGAAGAGAGTCTCAGTGAAAAAACATTGTCATCAAGCAAACAAACTACGAGGGTAAAAAATAGTTTTTATTATTTAAAAAAGCAATAACGTATAAAAATTAGAAAAAAAATTGCCAATTTTTGCAAAATTGTAATTTTATTAAATGTTTTTACAGAAAGGTGTGGCTGAGGAATCTTCAGACGACGAAGTTGGATCTGAATCTCCATTGGATGAAGTGCCAGGTGGCGCGGGTACTGGACAGGAAGCTAATAATATTCCTGGAATATTTCCACCATCATCGTTGTCTTTGATTCCAAGTCGAACTCGACATGATTCTTCAACAAGGTTTGCATCTTCAATTATTTTTTTTTTTTCGATTATATTGGATCGAAAAATGTTAATTTAATTTTTTCGTTTTCAGTGGCTCAAGTGCTGGTGATTTAGGCGATGTTACACCTTGCAATGCTTCGCCAAATCTCTCGACTTTGATTCCATTCAGACAAGTTCGCGATGACAATGAAGAAGTATGGAGACAACAAATACAAGCTTTAACGACGCAGGCGTCTTACAATGCTCTTGACTTTTTCCACTTACTCAGCAGAATTTTAAGGGTGAGTTCCAATTTTGAATAAAATATTTTTTTACAATATTTATCTAATTATTACGTTACAAAAATGAAATTAATTTTAAAAATTAATCTTTCTTATTTTGTAGGATGTTAGCAGTAAATCAGTTGGTCTCACTCGAGAAGCAAGTGCCTTGTTAAACAATGGAGGGACAGCTTCTAATCAGCTTGGTTCACATTTGTCTAGTCATGCTGAATTACTCAGTACAAAAGGAGAGCCACCGCTTGTTTGGTTTTCAACCACAGTATTCGGAAATCAAAGACTTAACGAAACATTGAGATTTGGAATGCTTGAGATTCAAGAACATCTTGAAACTTTCTTGGATCGAAAAGATCACGCTACGGAGGTAAAAAAAAAACACATTTTTGTTTTAATCGAAGGAAAAAAAAATTTATTTAATCATTAATTTTAATTAAAATTTTTTTTTTTTCAAACAGTGTCTCGAGGCAGTGAAAACAACGTCGAAACTACATGCATTAGACGAGGCCCATTCAACTGATGCGAGTATCGAGGAAATGCTTTTGGATTTAGGAAGAGCCCTTTATAAATTACATTTTCAACTTTTACTTTTGATTGAGGCGTCAAATAAAATGTTGGCCGCCTTATTGAGTGCGGCGAAAAATATTCAAATTCAATTGCAAGATATGTCATTGGAAATAGCGAATATGAAAATTGCTTTAAGTAGAGCACTTGAAGAAAGTACAGAGAGTGAAAGAGGAACACCAACGCCAACGCCAAGTTCTAGTTCTGTTTCGGGTAATGGAGCACACGAGGAATTTGCAAGAGTTGCGGAACTTTTGGGTTCTGAAAGATGGTCCTCTGCTCTTGAGGCTGTTCGACTTCACAGGGCAAAATGGCCTGGTGATCCTTTTCATGACGATGACGATGTGACGACTGCTGTCAATATGTATTGCAGACACTTGGGACAAGATAGATCTGGTGAGTGTTTTCTACTTTTTTCTACTTTTCTACTACTTATAAATTTCTTTTTTGCTTTTCCATTTTTTAAAGTTTTTAATTAAAATAAAATTTTTCTATTATTTCTTCAAAGGAAAATTTCAAGAATATTTTACACTGAAATTTATTATTAATAAAAGTATCAAATTATTAACATATGACTATGAGAAAACCGATAATTATTGATGTGCTTTTTGAAATAAATCACATTAATAATTATATTAAACATTTTTAATTTAGAAATATATTTATTTTTAGAACTCTTTGTGGTAACACGAAGTGACGATGAAATGTCGGATATATTCAGTAAATTGATGGAGAGTCTCTTTAAAGTTTTATCAGCTGTGACGGGCCTGGAAGCTTCTACAAAGGCAGCCAGAGTCCAGAGCGAAACTCCAACAAAAAACGATTGCTAATTTAACTCTATAGTTTTTGTAGTCAATCGTATTTAAGAATTTTAATTAATTTTCGTGTGTCCACGAAAAATAAAAATCTAATTACAATTCTTTTTACTGTGATTGATTGAATATACGTGGATAACGTCTCTCAATGTTTCTACGGCAAGAGGAAACAAAACATTTTTTGTACCTATCAAAATGATTATATATAGACTGAAAATTTTAATGTCTATGGAAATTTGCTTTTTTTTTGACACTGATGTGATTCTTTTCTTTCGTTGTAGACAAGAAAAGAATGTATGTGTGTGAGAAAACGTGAAAAAAAGGAAGAACGCACAAATTTGAAAATCAATTTTTGTAATTTGATTTCAAGTGACGACGATTTTGGAAAAATTGTTTTCAAAATTCATTCATTTCGAAAAAAAACTTTTCACGTTGAATATCACTGAATGGTAAAAATTTATTATAATTACTTTCTTTTTACTAAATTGGTATACAACTGGGAATTTGATAAATGTGATATTTATAATGGAAAATATGTCACGAATAATTGGAAACTAGTTTTTCGCGTTTTATTATTTTTTTTTAGTATCGTATTATTATCATTATTAATATTATTTAGATAATAATTAATGACTTTAAAAGATGTACAGTTTGTTAAAAATAAATTCACATTCGAACAAATGACAATCAGAATGAATGATTTTTGTGTTCGTTAAATAATTTTTGTTCATTGACATAATTTTTCGATTTTTATTATTCCATTTTTTAAATTTTTTGATACATTTTACAAATTTTTTGACATGAGTTATAAAAATTTTCGTTTTTTTCGAAATGATTCTAAATTTAAAAAATTGGATTCAAAAACTTTGCTCTATATTGTTTATTTTGGACAAAAAATTATTGATGAGACAATTGTCAATTCAATTTATTTAATTAATCATATGGTTTGTGTTAATCGATTTTTTTGTTTTTTTTTAAAATGAAAATCTTGTTGAAGGAACGAACAGCTAAAAACGATCTTTTTTCTGATAAAAATAGAAGTCATTAGAATCCGGAAAAACATTTCCAGCCGGAAAAGAAGAATTTTCGGATATGGATTTTAAGTGGCCTACTTGCGGAGAGATTAGTGTAACAAGAGGTCTACAATGCATTGAGTGTTTGATGAAACGTTGGAACAAATGTCCGGTACTATTTTTAAAAATACTTTTTCTAAAATTTGAAATCTTTATATTTATTGTGAATTTAATGTTAATTATTTTTTTTAAATAATTTCAATTTTTTGTTTATATTAGTAAATAATTTTTCCCAGGGAATGGAAGATTGGATATTTCATGTGGAATATTTACATATGAAATGTGAATTTTGGTCATTTTCCTACATTTACGAAGTTTTATGGAGTGTTCCAACTTCAAATTATCCTGTACCCCAAGTTACCGTTAGTGTTTATTTTGTCCTTGAAATTTATAAAGTAAATCCTTCGTCCTATCCTGTAAACGTAAGATTTTTTAAACAATTTTATTAATTTCATTTTATTATTTAAAAAACCTTGTTTTATTTTTAACAAATATTTTAGGTTTTATTAATTTAATAATAAATATTTTATTTTAATGATATTAAATTGAAATAATTATTTGTTTTTAAATAATAGATCTCGTATGTTTTTGAAGGAAATAAATTCGTTCATCATCCAGGAATACCATTTCAATCAAAATGGTTATTCGATATTTTTGATATAAAGACAATGTTTTTCAAATCGATTACATTTTGAGTTTTAATAATTTTCTTTAAAACGACAAATTTAAATTTATTGTGAATTTCGAAAGGTAATGGTAAGTAAAATATAATTTCACTTGTAATTCTGCGACGCGAAGGACTCTTTTTTTTCATGAATCTTTCTTTTATTTTGCAGAGACGTGTCGGATTTCTGTGACGGCGGCACGCGCCTTAAAAAACAAAATCAAAAAAATACTCCAGTTAGCCACACAATAGGAGCAGGTGATATTCTTATTGTGGAAACGATAACGTACAACCAACTTCGAAATTCATACATTTTTTTTCTTTTTGAAAAAAGTCCAAGCCAATAGTAGAGATCAGAGGTGGTCCAGATAGTAGGTAAGTTAAAAAAAAATTTAAGGAAAGGGGAATTAGAATTATTGAAATAATTTCAATTTACATTTTTTAAAGTAGGCGAAAAATAGAAAAAAATAATCGTAATGATTTTTTTTCTTAAATATAAGCACGAAGTCTTTCAAAATTTGGTATTAGAATTTTTTTTCATCCAAATCTCTAGTAGGGGGTGAAATTAGAAGTCACTAGCATCTGGTGGTTTTGTGCTGTCGCAGCAGGAGTTCCCAATTTTGACAACCACGTGCTGAGTACTTTAATTCATTTACCGCATTGTCATTAAACAATTTAGTTTCGAAATAATTCAATTTAATTTTCAATTAATTCTTTTGGATGCAATTTAATTTACAAAAATTAAATAAAACATCATAAAATGTTAATTTAATTTTTAAAAACTCCCGCAGTGTGAAATTTAAATTTTTTTTAAAGACCCAGGACATTTAAATATTTCTCACGGTCGTTTGAACCTTGGGGGTGCAATGAAATTTGACTCGATTTTTTCTTCACTAATTTTTTATGCTTTCCACATTTTCAACAAAACAGGTTCATGTTTAAATCACCATATAACATATGTCGAACAAATATGTGACAATTAAAATTTACAATTTTTTATTTCAGTTGAATTTAATTTTTTGAACTAAATTTTTTTTCTTTTTTTTTGAAAAGAAAAAAATGAAATCAACTGAATAGAATAGAAAGCACGTTTTTTCAACATAAAGAAAATTTGGAAATTGATTTAAAAGATGTCATATTTTGGGACCACCCTGATAGTTAATATAACGTGAAATGTTTAAAATGTGGGTCAGAACAGAAATTATCTCGTTAAAATTTACCCAAAGCAACCACTGCCTATTTATACTAACTATATAGGAACTTTTAAACATCACATCCGGTTAGAAACACCTCCATATATATGCAACAGGGTGCACCATGAAGGGGCTTGAACTTTGGTACTCTCTCAAACATCCGCTGCACTATTCTCTCTTTTCTCAACAAATCTCGTCTTCTTTCTACTATTTCCTTTTTTTTCTAAAAACAAAAAGAGAAACTTAAGTCTCTTGAATTCTATAGAATGTTATTTTTTTTCTTAATTTCTCATCAATTGTTTATATTTCTTTAGATTTTTTATTTGAATTTTTAATTTTATATGTAATTTTTTTCTTTATTGTCTTTATTTATTTCAGATGCGTATCTCTTTTAATAATTATTTATATCGAAACAAGGAATTTTGGAACGGAAGTTGTACTTTTAAGTATACATAAACGGGGAATTATAAAGTTAGAACGTGACTCCTTGCGAAATGTCAAATTGGAAATTTTGCATCACCGAGAAAGTGGCAAGCATGCAATAAAAGGGCACGCGTTCGAATTTGCATCTGGCGCGGATGAAATGAAAAAAGGAAAATCAGTGGCGTAAGAAGTTAAAATATTCATATAATTAATATTTTTTTCAAATGAAACATATTATTTATTTGATGAATAAGTATTCCTTTTTTTTATAATTATTCATTAATTATTCAAATAATAATATGGTTGCTGATTTTACACATATATGAAAAATAACGTTAAATGAAAGTTTTTTAATTAAACCACAAAAGTTTTTTTTTGGAACATTAGTTAATTTTTTTAATGACTTTTGATTTTGGGGATATTTCTAGAAAAAATTGAGTGGTTTTTTAAAGTACCTACAAATCATTTCAAAATATGTAGCCTACGACACCCCTTGTTTACTTCCTTCCTTTTTTTCAGATTTTGCTTTACGCCATTGAAAATATGAAGGGGGATGTCCGATAGGAGTACACATATATAAGCAAAGACCACGGAGACACGCGTCGCCACGTGCAAGGCTTGCGCCGTCGCCGGTCTCGTCGACTCAAAAATCACCAGCTGCCCCGATTTGCTTGCGCTAACTCTCTCTTTCTCTTGATGGTTTCTTGCGAGCGAGTTAAACTAAAATTAGCGACCCCCAGTCTAAGTTATACCATGTACGCATTTTAAATTAATTTCCTTATTTTTATTTTTTCTATTTACTTTTGATAATATTTACAAATTGAAATTGATAATTTTCAAGATTTACAATTTGACGATTTTAGTCGAAATATTTTTCTATTTGCAAAAAATATAAAAATTCTTTAAATTTTGAAAAATCAGTTTATAAAAAAATTTCAAAAAAAAAAAAAAATAACGTTCATTGATTGTGAACCCACGCAAAAGTGAATTCTTCGAATCAATTGAGTTTGGCAAACAGCCTACTTCAATTTAAGTGCTTTTTCCGGAGCAACTATTTTATTTTTATTTTCATAAATGTCATTTCAATTTTTCACGAATTTTATCCTCATATCAGAATTCATCAAATTTTCTCAACTATTTCTTGACATTTTCAATTGTAATTTTTTTTATTCAATTTTCGAATTTATTTTAAGAAAAAGAAAAAAAAATCATATAGAATATTGTCCACGAAGAGGGTGTACGAGAGTTCTTTCGAATAGTTTTTTTTTTTTAAGTTCATCGTCCCCCGGATCTGTCTATCGTGGTCTTACGGTCCTCTACTTTTTCGGCTCCTCTCAATCTATAAGAAGGCCCTACATTAGGGCCGAGTAAAGCACATCTGCGCCACTGCCGGATGCAGCCTCTGCATTTTATGAGCCGCCCAATGCAACCAAATTCTTATATATTCCTTGCACCCGCACTCACACCCTCCTTTTGCCACTGTTCGCGCGGAACCGCACAACGACTTCTATAATTAGATTTCCTCCTTAGTTTCCTGTCTAAAACACCTTAAATTGCAATTCATCGTTCATTCACTTTATTCTCGCAAGCTTTCAGAAAAACAAAAAAATTTATCATTTAATTTCTGTTTAACTATAAACGATTAAAATTTGGGTAAATAAAAAATTCAATTTTAAATATTTATATTTTTTTTATGAAAAATGGAAATTTTTGGCAATATTTGGAGAATGTCCCTTTGTTGGCGAAGAAATTGACTTGACTAATGTCCTCATAACAAACAAGTTTGTTGAGCGATTGGTATGCGGTTAACAATTGAGAGCATCTTGAGCGATTGATCCGTTAATATCATTCTGATGTAATATGCAGGTTTCTCTTTGTCTTTGGCAGGTTGCTTTATTTCAAAAGGGACGTGTCCGGATCTATTTCCGGCCAAATTGGCAGAGACTGAAAATTATTCATGAATCTAGCACTATCACTAGTTAAACATATAAACAATTTCATTTTGGCATTATATTGCCTTTTGATGACGTACGACACTAAATCACTTTTTTCCGACTTCAAGAATGTAGATTATTTTCAAACCATATGCCAATATGTATTTAAATTTATAAATCAAAAAAATTAAATTGCATATTCATTCTGACGGAAAAATGTTTATATGCAATTTTTATAGTTTATAAATTTTATTTTTACTTTAAATATATATTTTTTTTTTGTTACAGAATAATGAAGTAGCAAATAATTTCCATTTAAAGTTATCGGTTTCTAAAATTAGAATCCATTAGATGTGAACAAATCTACAACCATTTGGGGTCTTATGCAATGTGTGGGTGACTCTTCAAAAATATTCGTAAGTATCGTCTCGAGGTCCAATTCATTAATTTGTTAATTTCAAGTTTTATCAGTTTTTCTTTTTTTGAATTTTTATGTGATTAAATTGTTCACCTTTTTTGAAAGTTGTTCTATATTTTTGATTATTGATAAAAAAAATTCTTTTTAGATTAATATTTCCAAAAAAATACAATTGCAAGAATGCGGTAATTTTTTTTTACAAAAATAAGTTTATTTTCTCCACGCATGAAATTCGCTTTGAAAGGGTCAAAAGTTTTATTGCATTCGGTTATTTTGGCACAAAAGTTGAGAGAGTAAAATGAAGCAAAAGTAATAAAAAAAAAAAATACTTTCGAGTAACTTGAAAGATTGATTGACGAAAAATGTTAGTTGAATTTTTAACAATGTATGTTAACCATAAAGATGTTAATGAAGAATTTGTGCGGCCCTGTTTGTTTTCGTTTGAAGCTAAACTTAGCACTGCCCGCGATTTCCTTTAGTGTGTCGATGATTGCTTCTCTAGTTACTAATTTTTTAAATCCTTTTTCAATTTGCCAAAAAAAATTCGAAAAAAATTTAATATGAAATCATTTTACAAAATTTGAACTCCAAAAATTAAAAAATTTAGTAAAAAAAAATTCAACAGAAAAATTCTTATTTTTATATTTATCAAATTAAATAAAAAATCGGTGTCTCTTATGAATTTCAATTGTAATTTTACGAGAAAGTTAATGGTTGATTTTGTTTTCAGAATTTGTACTTGAGCTACTTAAAGTTTTCAAGTTGCGACCGATAATGATAAGTATCGGGAGATGAAGTCGAGGTCGCGAAAGAAAGAAAAAAAGAGAGAGAGAGAGAGAGGTTCCAAAGCAGAGTGAAGAAATGATATATAGGAAGGAAGTTTGGTTCGGAGGAAAAGATATAATATGAAAAGAGAGAAGGGTGTCGGAGAGACAAGCAGACACCAAGCTACAGAATCGGCACGCGCCCGCCACGCGCCCTTCTTTTATCCTCCCCCTTTTTTTCCTTTCCGTCTCTCTTTCTCCACATCCTTATTCCCTTCCATGGTTCATCGCTACTTCCCTTCAACATTCACCCACACATTCTGTATTTCTTCTATATACATATATATAGGTAATGCCATTCAAATTTCCTTTTCTCAATGAAACAAAGATTTGCAGCATTTTTTTTCCTTTTTAATTATAAAAATTAAATTTTTTAATTTTTCTATTTGAATTTTAGAAAGTTAAAATTTTTTACTACAAGAAAAATAATTTTTATTTCTTTTATTGATGAAAAGAACCCTTTTTTGGATTCTTTTTTTATTTTCTAATTTTTTAATTATAATTTTGTAGATATTTATTTCTAATTTTATTCTTTTTGTTTAATAGTTGTAATTTTTTTTTTTTAATTTATTTTGGTATTTATTGGTGAAAGAAACCCTTTTAATGTTGGAATTGAAAAATTGCAGCTGGATGCGACTTGCGTGATTTATTTTGGATTTATCGTAAAAGAGGGATGAGGATCCAATATATGAATGAATTTGGTCGGTGACTTGCGTTATTTTTTTCTATGAATGGAAACGCACTTTTTTGGAAGTATATGGATATATATATATATATATATATATATATATATATATATATATATATATGCGGGTGGAGTGCATTTATGAAGGGGAACCGCACACATTTCTATATTTCTTTTCTTCAAGCAACACGAATGGCCAGCCAGCTGATCGCTTTTGCTTTTGTAAAGCTCATCGCCTTCACCCTTACCACCTGCAAACACAAAAATTTTAAATCGATCCACTTAATCCTTCTATTAAATGCTCCTGTATTCGCAAATTCGTTATGCAACAATGGGATAATCGGAGAAAAATTAACAAAAAAAATCATGGTATGTTGATTTGTTTTTTATCGTAATTTTTGTTTTTGATTTAGTTATTTTAATTTAATTTTATATTTTCTTTTATTTTAATTTTAAAATTTTTTCGTTTTGAAAATTTTCAATGAATATACTTTTTGAAAAATGTAATTTTTCATGATTTATGATTGAATTTTATTTTGGCAAAAGAAAATTTATGAAATAGGATCCAAACAATTGTTCTTAACGAATATGTTTACATTGAAAAAAAAGAAGTGTATAAAATTCTCTATTCATTTCAGAAGATGAATGACGGACTTGGTGGTTTTCTTTTTTTAGTAAGTCTTTTATCTTTTATTAATTCAAATTTTTTTCTCTTTTTTTGGGAAGAGGGTCGAACAGGGTGGGCCGTCAGTTTGTGATTTTTTTTTTTTGGTCCATGGAGTGAAGGGCAAGTGGGTGCAAAATATAAAAGGGATTCAAAACGGAAGGAACTGTCGCAGCTTCCTCTCCTCTAACTCGTGTTCCTGTACATTGTAAATCATCTCAGCTATGTATATAACATACTCTTTGATTTGTGCTTAAAAAAATCCTTCACCTTCCTTGGAGTTTTATTTTCTATAGTTCGAGTTTTTTAAATTTCTGTCTTCAATTTTTTTTTCGTATTTTTTTAACAAAATTTTCTTTTTTTTTCCCCATTTTTTAGATTTCCTTTTTTTTTCGTTGGATTTCTTTTTAAATATTTTAAATTTTCTTTTTTCTCACCTATTTTTCTTAATTATACTTTTTTTTGTGTTTCCTCAATAAAACCACTCTCTTGAACTTAATGTTTGTCGTCGAGTCTAAAAAAAATATAGGAAACAGAGGGATGCTTTCACTTTTTTCCGTTTTTTTTTCGAAAGGAAGTACTTAACTTTGTAGTGATTTGATCACTGCGACATGCGATCAATCATTTGCGCACGAGAGAAAAGTCAAAAAAATTTTTTTGTTGTCTGTAATTTATTTGTTATATTCTAAATAATATTATTATTTATTCTTTGAAATGCTAAAAAATTTGAATTACTTGTTTCAGAATGAAAAATGATATATTTTTGGCATGCATAAATCTTTCGTGTTTTGGGAGAACAAAGTGCGATGTCGTTTCTCATTTTGTATATACACATTGGAAAAATAAAAAAGGTGACAAATCATATGAGTTCATTCTACCGGATGTGAAAAGTTTTGAAGTGTAAATTCAAACGAAGAACGCGCAACAGTTTGAAATTCCCATATTGGCATTTGGCCAAATTTTCTTTTACTGGACCTCCTACACATCTTGTCATTTTTTTTACTGGCTGGAGCAACTCATCCGCAAATTTTCATTCTAAAGTTCATACGATAAAATCTTGGAAATATTTCACGGAAGTGAATTTTGATGATGCTCTCGTTAATGGATCGTATAAAACGAATTTGAAGTCAAATACGAAATTCATGCTTTGATGTATAAGCAATCAAATTCTAAAAGGTATAATTTATCTTTTTTTTATTAATTAGAAGATAATTAAGAAATTTATTTTTTTTAATATAAAAATTGAGAAATTGAAAAAGGTTTAATTTCTGATAACTTTTTAACAAGATTGTGAAATGCCTGTGAGGTCGTCGTACTCTCATATGTGAAACTAGGAATTTCTGAACCTAGACTTGTTACCTCGAAGATGACCGTGGAGTTTGCTACGAACCGGGAGGTGGTTTCGAGTATAGCGACAGCTGCATATCAAGCACTGACTGAAATAGCTCAGCACAACCCCATGCCGAGGCCAAACACGATTCCCTCGACCCCTACTAAATTCCCTCCTTCATTTGCGCTTTCAAATTTAAATAGCGAGTCTGTGCTTTTGTCCTTTTTTTTTTTTTTTTTAAGAAAGTCGAGTTAGAAATGAGATTCAACGATGTGTGTGGGTGATGTAAAATTATGTGAGACACGCACGCTTTCTCAAAAACCACTTTTCAATGTTTTTCTCCTCCATGAAATTGAAAGATTATTTTAGATCGACTATAGGGCAACGTCCCCTTGTCTCGTAAAAAAAAATCTCCCTCTGAGTGTTTTTTTTTTTTTGCTTCACACTTGACGAGAGAGATATTTAATACAGAAAACAAGGAGTGTAAGGTGAAACCACTTAAATTTTTTTTTTCTTTCCATCAATAATTGTAAATTGATTTTTTTGTTTTATCATAACATATAGGGAAACTAGAAATATTTCACCTTGTTTTTGGAATTTTTTTTTTTGGACTATTTTGAAATTTTCGAGAGAGAAAAGTGGGCGTCGTATTCGTCGGTGAGTTTGATATGTACTTGCGTCATGTACAACGGCGTTAGTTAATTTATTTTTGGATGCGACGTCGATTCTACTACGATGGCGTGGGACACCTGTTTTCCTTGCTCTTCAAATTCAATGATACCCCGTCTATCTTGTAGAAGAATTTCTTTTTAATCTATATGTCCGCTTGTCAGTTGAATTTTTGTTTATATTCAAAGCATTTTTGAAAAATTGTAACATGTGTTTGAAGATTAACTTCATTTATAGAATTTTCCATTTGTTACTTTATAAAAAATTTTTACATAGAATTTAAGTTGCTCCTAATTTTTGAAAAATTCTTTTTTTTTTGTTACTAAAAAATTGTTTTCTTTAAGAAAAATTTTTGTTTGAAATTTCAAAATTTTGTTTCTGTAAATTTGTTTTAGAATGTTTAGTTAAAATCGACGTTTAAAAATTTTGTTATATAATTTCTGGTCTATTATTAATGGATAATAATTTGAATTTTTTTTTTTTTCACAGGAAAAACGAAAGTTATTTATTCTTCTGTAAATGGACCTCGACAAAGAAGCACAAGCAAGAGTTATTTCGTCGGCGCGAGCTTAGGAGAGGTCACGGAATTTTACAGACGTTTGTATAAAGGACTACAAGAATATATAAGCTTCTGGAGAAGACGCCAAATGTTGTGCGTCTGAAATGAGTTTCAAAAAGAGAAGAAGAAGAAGAAGATTCAGACCGAAAATGAGAAAAGGTACATAGATAATGGCGTCGTTTTCCCCCGGTTTTTGTTTAGTGAAAGACGAAGAAGAAGAAGAAGCAGGTTGGTGTGCGGTGGTTCTTTGGCTTAATGCCAAAGGCGTCTGAATTTAGCATCGCGACGGCTGACTAATTCGCGAAGCATTCATTCAATCGCTTTCGAGAAATCAACGAGCCTCAAAATTTCTTCCCTCTCTCTCTTTCTCTCTCTCGAGATTATATTCTTCAATTTCAAAATCATTTTTTACAGGTGTCTGGCAAAATTGCCATTTGAAATTTTATTTCCGCTAATATGAAAATTTATAATCGTAAATATAATTCGTAAAATTTTGCATTTGTTTATTGAACATTTATTTATTCAACAAATTTAAAAATCAACAAAATTTTTTTAAACAGAATTTTAAGAATTTGCAATTTGCTCTACTTTTGAAAATTTCTAGTTAGCTTGAATTTAAAACAAACATGAATGATGAACTAAAAGAAGCAGAACTTGGAAACTCCCTGTCCTTGTTTCGTGTATTTCCTCTTCTTTCTTTATTTATCTCTGTACCGATGTGTATTTTTTCAGCGCTTGTAAATTCTTGTAAAATAAGGATTGAATTTTTTTTTTATAGGCTTTAAGGAAATTTTTTTTTTTCGTTACATAATAAGAAATTGAATTTAGTTTAAAAAATAAATTAAAACGGAAATTATAATTTTTTTTCAGAAGCCATTAAGAATTCAAGTTTTGAGAAAAAATACTGATTCATTAAAAAATTTTTCTAAAAGGCATAAATGAGGAAATGTCACTCATCTTGGAACTTTTTTTTTTTTATTTAAAATGACAAGAGCCAGATCGTGTTCAAATGAATCAAAAATCATAAATTTAAAAAAATTAATTTTTTTTAAACACTTTGCAAAAAATAATTTTCGTTTCAATGAAAATTGTTTATTTATTTAAATTGTAATGTTTAAAAAAATTGTTTTCTATATGATATTTAAATGAGTATATAGAAAACATATGATGAAATTGAAACAGACAAAAGTAGGTTTTTGGCAAGTTTCTTTCCTGTTGGCACGTTCACATTACAAAGGGAAATAAAAGTGCGGTCAAATCTGTTGATGACAATAATAGTCTTGTGATTCTCGTGACAAATATTTTCACAAAAAATATTTTTTTCAATATTCAAAATTTCCACATTTATATATAATAATAAATTAATTTAAAAAAGAAATATTTTATCTGATCTGTTTATTCTTTTTGATAATCGTCCCGTTTAATAAATAGAAATTTATTTTTTATTATGAAATAAATTCAAAAACTAGAGAAAAAATTAATTTTATTTTTAAAACTTTTTTTGTTGAATAAAGTAAAGTTCAATAAACTGATCATTTTTCGCAAAAAAAAAAAAAAAATTTCGCTAGATGTTCTAATAAATTTTTTTTTTCAATTTCAGGCCACCCCACTGCTTATTCGAATCGTTTCAATCTGTTCTTTGCGGTGGTGTTTTCTATACCTCGTGTGGAGGTTCACGCATGCTTATATACAAATATATATTTAAAAAAAAAAAGTATATACGACAACGGGCATCGGCACACTCTGAGAGCAAAGCAGCAGCAGCAGTAGCAGCAGCTGAAGAGAGCAAAAGGGTGGGAGAGGATGAGGGAGGATTCGCTTCTATATGTAGCACTGAAACTTAGCCAGACCAACTTATTACGCCCGAAACTCGTAGAAGACGCATGTACCCTTCTTCAAGGGGTCCTTTCGAAGTCCTTTTAAATCCTCGCACGAAACACGTGATTATTTAAAAAAAAAAAAGTAATTCTATCGATATCTCAATATTTTGTGAATAGTTTTAAAAACAAAAATTTACAAAACAAAAAAAAAAACAAAAGTGGTGATCGCATTGTGAATTGTTCCAGTGGTGATTAAAAAAAAATTCATTCTATGTGACATGATACGCAAGATTTGAAAATTTTTTTTACTAAAAAGCTAAATTTAATCGCTTTTTATCAATTTATTGAGGAAACAGAAATGCCGAGAGCTTTTCTTATCACTCATCGCCGTTACAATGGCATTGAAGAACTTGAGGAATCTGGACAAGGTAATTTTTGTCAATTTGTTTTTATAATATTTAAAAAATATTTTAATTTACAAATTTTTATTTTGATATTTTTTAAATTTTCATATTCTCTAAATTTCAACTATAAAATAATTTATTAAATTAAAGAAACGATTCTAAAATTTTAAATTATATAATTCATAATATAATTGAAAAATAAATAATAGTAATAATAATAATAATAATTGAAATAAATTTTCAAAAGTAATTTTTGAAAATGAACACTTTTTGTATAGTTACCATAATTTCTTCAATTTTCAAAAAAAAATTTCAATAGTTACTTAAGAAATGCATATTCTACGAAAAAAATTTATCAAAGAAAAAATAAGTGTCTAATTTATGTAACAATATTAAACTTGATGCTTGCTTATGAAAACAAATCGGCAACAGGTGGTCCTCATATTATCATCAACTTTACTTCAAAATATCTTTAGAAATTGAACGAAATTTATTTTTTGCCTCCAAACAAAATTAAATAATGTCGCACAATAAATTTAAATAAATATTATAAAAATTATATAAATTATTTTAAAAAATAATACATTAAAAAAATAAAGTTAAAACGAATTTATAAAAACTATAATATTGAAATAAATTGACAATTGATTGAAAGGGGAATTTTCTTTTCATAAATCAAATTCACTTAATTTATATTTAAAAAAAGCAAAAAATTTTTGGTAATTATAATCAAGAATGGGAAAAGAATTTATTACTTTTATAAATATTTTATTTTATAAATATTGAAAAAGTAAAGATTTTTAATTTATAAATTGCAAATCAGTATAATAGATAAAAAGAAGAACTAGAAGTTTCTTGACCTTTAAAAAGCAAAAAAAAAGTGGTTGTCAAGTCGACGTATAGGAAAAACCTGTGGAGCTCATGCTTTTGATTATTTTTTTTCCGGAAAATGAAAATAGTAAAAAAAAAAAAAAGGGAGAATAAAAAAAAGCTCTTGCCGACGTGTATATATAAGAATAGACAGATGCGTCACAAGATGCCGTCGTGATGCCGTCAACCCCTCCATGACGAAGATTCACTAAAATCCAACTACCGCTCTATTTTTGTTCTTCCCAAAAACGGAACAGACACTCTAATGTCTTTTCCACTAATTTTTTTAGTAAATTGAAAATTGAAGAAGAATTAAATTTATTACAATTATTATTGTTATTATTATTACTATTATTGTAAATAAAATTATTAACAATTTCCATAAGTAAAAATTAAATAATTCAATTTTTTTTTATTTTCTTATTCATTTTCCGATTAATTTTTATTTATCTCTTAAATTATTTTTTTTTTTATCTATTTTCTAATAAAAGTTAAATGAATCCGAAAAATATAAATTTCTGAATTTTATATTTTTTTTCATTATAATGTTGAGTTAAAAAAAAATATTGATTCGCAATCTTGGGCCTGTCAAAGCTTTGAGATTGAATTTAAACTTGAGGTTGAAAGAAGCTTTTCTGGATGAACGCCAGAAAACCTTCACTTTTGTGAATGCCACATGTCTTATTACTGTCAGTCACGTAATGTTTTTTTCCCTATTTTAATTTCTCGTATATAGAATATAATCCCGATCTTGGAGTGACAAAATACGGTGGAGGAGGTGGAAGTCAACAAAATTCCGATGGCGCCAGCGAATGTGGCAGTGAAACATCATCAGAATGCCCGGAAGAACTTTATAATTTAACAAAATTGGCGGAAGTCAGTTTAGCCGCTGCTGCAGGAACATTAATTCATCCCAATAGAATTCTTTATCAACAACCATCATCAAGATGTTCGCAAGTCATTGAAAAATGTCGATCATCAAATCAAATTCAACCCATGGTAACTATTTTCCTTTATTGTAAATTTAATTGAAAAATTGTTTATTAAGTTCCAGTTTGAAAAACAAATTTATTTTACAGTCACTTCAGATTCCGCGAAGCAGAGAGGAAGAGGAAAATTTACGCGAAAGAACGCGACTCTTTTTTGAAAGAATCGAGAGCGAACGAGAAATTATGGAAGAGAAGAATCATAGAATTTCACCTGATATTTTGGATGTACGACTTTCGGGAAAAAATTCCCATTTTCCAATTTATCGTGAGGAGGACAATTTCTCGGCGTCTTCGAAAAATTCATTTCAAGACACAACTTCCTCTCCGCCACCTTCTCTTGTTTCATTGAATTTACCCCGACGAGTAACAACATCATCAACGGATGTTTCGAAATGTGAAGAGAATGAAGATCACGAATGTTCTGATTGTGGAAAAAAATATTCAACATCGTCAAATCTTGCGAGGCACAGACAAACGCATCGATCATTAGGAGATAAAAAAGCGAGGCGATGTCCTCATTGTGATAAAATTTACGTTAGTATTCCTGCATTCAGCATGCACGTCAGGACACATAATCAGGGATGCAAGTGTCATTTTTGTGGAAAATGCTTCTCAAGACCATGGCTACTTCAGGGACACATTCGCACTCACACTGGTGAGAATTTTTCTTTTTTCTTTAACAATTTCAATTAATTAGTTGTAGAAATTTTTAAATTTTCAATTAACCGAAAAAAATGTCTCTTTCAGGTGAAAAACCATTCAAGTGTACAATCTGCAACAAGGCATTTGCGGACAAATCAAATCTTCGAGCTCACATTCAAACGCATTCGAATACAAAACCACACGTTTGTGGTCGTTGTGGAAAAGCTTTTGCTCTAAAATCCTACCTCTACAAACACGAAGAATCTTCATGCATGCGCTCTCATAATCGAACCTCTTCTGATAAACTTGATGAGGCTCAAAATTCAAATACATCGACGTCTTCGGCATTATCGACAATAACGAATGCAAATTCAACGACAGTGAATAAAATTGTGACACCGAATATTGTCACAGCATCCCCGACAAGTGTCATTGTTCCTCGTATAGTGAGCGATCAAAAAAATTCATCTGCTTTTTCGACAATTATTAAAACGCCATTAACACAATTTGACGTTGATTCAAGATCATCGTCACCAAAACGTTTTTGTCGTGAAAAAATTGCTGATCATTGTGAAATCGATAAACCCGAGTATTTATCGAGAATGGTTATAAGAACATCGGTTATTTCACCGAATCCAGAACATCTTAGAAAGAAAACATCAACTTTTGATTATTCTGATCGAAATTCCGCTTTCTCGAGGCCAATGACTTTAAATCTTGCCATTGCCTAATTTTTTTTTTTTTTTTTTTTTTTTATCTTTACAATCAATTTTCTAAAAAATTTCTAAGTTTTATCAAGTCATTTAAATCCAAATTATTGAATACTAATTTTTACTTTACCGAATTAATTTTTATGATTATTTTGTTTCGATATTATCGAATTGCCATAATTTAATTATCCTAGTCTCTTTTTTTTTTACTTCAGTGAGATTTTAATTTGTGATTATATAGATACGATTAAAAAAAAAGACGTTTAAATAATCAAGGATAATCTTTGAAAATTATACTCTTTTTTAATATTAATATTCTGCAATTATACAGTCCAAAGATTATTTTATGATTTAATTGCAGAATTTAAATCGTACAAAAATCAGGGACGCTGCAAATTTCTGTTTAGAAAATTTTTGTTTTAGCGAACATCATTCTTTTTTTCTTTAAAAATTTAATTTACAAACAATATTGTTAAAATTATCAAATCTCAAACAATATATTTATTTTAAGAATCTTCCTAATAGGGACCATTTAGCTGATAGTTGTTTTTTTCTAATGTGCCTTCATGATGTGTCTTTACACAATAATATATTATTTAAATTATTGTGTACAATTTTATCATGGAAAGAATCAGCTGAAAAAAAACATTGCAGTTTGAAATTTATTCCAAAAAAAAAAGTGTAATCCAATATTAGTTGATAAATGAATGATTGATATAATTTTTCTCAAACATAGGATTTCAACAAATTCTCATAGATTAATTAAAAATTATTATTTTACAATTATTACAAATTACTAAAATTGAAATTTTTAAATTGACTTTAAATAAAAAAGAAATGATTTTAATGAAATCCTATTTTTGCTAAAAAAAAATTGAATCTCGATATTTTGTAAATATTTGTCAATAGGACATAAATGAGGATGCTTCGCCCTTTTTTTGGCAGCTGTGAGTGTCATGTTTTTTTTTAACTAGTCTGTTTAGAATTTTATTAATGAATCAAGGTGTAAAAATTTGCAAATTTCGCGAATTTTTAAGACGCCCTATACTGCGGGGACATTTGCAATAATTAAGTTTTTCTTCGCGTTCTGTTATCCAACTGTTGATAACAGAAAGAGTGTAAACTAGTCGAAATCGTCTTGCGATCCTTTTTGCAATAAACAAAAAAAAAACACAACTATTATTTTTGAAAAATTTCTAAAAAAAAAAGTTGAGCACTGATCGCAGGACGAAGTTGTAATATATATTTCATCAAAAGTAATTTTTAATAAACGATTTTCGTTAATTGTAAATCACATAGAAATTAGATTTTTGTAAATTCAAAATTTTTAATTTTTAAGAAATTTAAATACTTTTTTAAGGCTATATGTGCTTAAGTAATTTTTAAGTTCATTTATGTATTTGAATTTTTTTTTTAAATTCTAGCAAATGATGTGTAATTTTTGTAGACTGAATTTATCTCTTTTTTTTTTTGCTTTTTTTTATCGTAACGGAATATTACGTGATGTGAATGTATTTAATGTAAATAATTATTGTTATTAATAGCATTCCCATCCGAAGCTAATTCTTAACAAAAAAAATACTGTATAGATCGAAATAGACATTTAGTTGTAACAAAAGTTTTTGTAATTTAGATTCCATACTTTGTTTATACACCGGAGTGCCTGTAGAAAATGTTTTTTTTTTTACGAATTATGAACAAAAATTTGTTAGTAATGAAAACAAAAAAATATATATAAAATATCTTCTACACATATTTGTGGCGTTCAATTATTTAAAGATAATAACTATCACAATAAGGTAAAATCAAATAAAATAATTGACTTTTATTTGAAATAAATTTATTATTAAAAGAAAAAAATTTTAATAATCAAATTTGACCCTAAAAATGGATTAATAATCCATTTGAAAAAATTAATAATTTTATAAATGTTTCAAAAAATTTTGTTTTGAAATATATTTTCTATTTAAAAAATATATATCATTAATGGTATATAATATTGTCTATGAAAAAAAAAATGATTGACAACTTGGTACAATAATTTTTTTTCTAGATAAAAATTTTTGTGTGGTATTTAAATAACGTTACTCATTACTATTTTTTGTAGTGTTTCTATAAGATTATAATTTTTTTTTCATCACTTCTTTTTAAACGAAATAAAATTTCCGTCGATGATATCAGAGCCATTGTAGTAGAAAAGAAGAAGAAAAATCAATGGATATGTATGTGTAATTTCACATGAATTAAGATGATTCTGCCTCTTCGTTCAGCTTCTCGTTCTGTTCGCTGGTATCGTTTTTCGATCTGAAAGAAATCATTAGATGAGGTTTTCTCGGTTCCCTAGGGAAGATTGATTGTTTTCTAATTTATAAACTATCATAGTAAAAGTAAAAAAAAAAGAAAGAAGAAAACCATTAATAAAAAACCAAGAAATATAAAAAACTGGTTAAAGAACAGAAAGTTATTTTTTTTACACTCACAATAGGAAAAGCGTAATTTTATACCAATCTTCCCCCTAAAAATTTCTTTTTCTCAAAAAATAGCCCTTCAATTTTTCAATTATCCAGTAAAAGTTAAATACAATATTTAAATATTTTTATATTATTTTTTACTAAAAATAAACTATAATTTTTATATTAATTTCACCTTTTACTGAACTGATAAATCTTCAGGCTGAGAAATAAATCTCACTAGAGTTATTCAGATCACACAAACACACACAAAATGTTAATAATTATTTGTTATTATTTTGCTTTTTAATTGTTATAAAATTTGTAATTTCGATTGGAAAAAAAAAATTTCATGAAATATATACATATATAATAATATATGTCAAATTCATCTAGATACATGGAGAAAAATATTTAAATAATATAGAAATATATAAATATTTTCCAGTAAAAAAGTAGTTTACAATTTGGAATTTTTTTTTTTAAATTCAGAAATATATCAAATATTTTTAATCTGTGCAGTGATTGGTCGATATCGACGGATTCTTTTGCAATTTAAAACAATTCGCTTTCTTTTTCTTTTCTTTTAATTTTTTAATATGTGGTTTTTTCAGAAAAAAATCTCACTATCACTTCTTTTTTTATCTTTGCTTTACTGGTTTTTTTTTTTTTCTTTTCACGTTATTACAGTGAAAATATTTTTCAATATATATATATTTATAGTGTATTTTACCCTCTATGGCAAAATATTAATGATACACAAAACAATAAAAATTAATTTGCAAGAATTAATTTTATAGAATTTCGATTATATACTATTTTTTATAATCGTACCACTAAAATACTTTTTTTTCTCTTGTCTCTACTCTGTTCCGTTCACTAGATTAATAATTTGCTTTTTCCTATATTATTGTATACTACTATTTTTGACTGTCAAGCAGAGAAAAAAAAATCATAAAAAGATATAAAATTAGAATAAAGTAAAAAAAATTAAAAAAGACTAAATTAAATAAAAAAAAAAAAATAGTAAGCATTACTAAATAATTACATATTTTAAAAAAAGAATGAATTGTTTTTTTTAGAATTTTTAATTGCAAGTCCAAATTTATATTTCTAATTCCCAAAGGGAAATTATTTAAGGTACATTTGTTAGTATTGGCACTTGTAAAAAATTTACAATTATAAAATCAACGTTAAAAAATTGCTTGACAATCAAAATTTTTCTGAAATCTATTAAATATAAAAATTAACTCGATATTGTCGATTATTATATATGATAATAATGTGTTTAGGATTTTTCTATAACTTTCTTGCTCATGCCTAAGAAGAGAGAGTGTTTGTGTGTGGTGGGGTGTTTTGGAATATTTGAAGGGTGCACTCGCGTTTAGAATATCACGATTGTTTTTAAATCTTTCCGACTATAATTCTGTTTTGTTCTTTTCTTTTTTTTTTTTCATTATTTCGTGTATAAACGAGTAGGCACTTGGCTATGTTTCTGTTTCAATCACTGTGAAAATTCTCTTTTAACTGACACTTGTTAGAAAGTATAGATTTTGCAAATAGTTTTTACACCTTGCAAATATTAATATTTATCTCTCGTTTTTTTGAGATTTTATCATATACTTGATTTTCTTCTTTTATTTTAAGACTGTAATCATTCGCACGTTCATTCTTTCATTTATACAATTTTTTTTTGTGTTTAACTTTCACGTGCAAACTGTGTGGAACTTTTTTTTTCATTAGCACCGTATTTTTTATAAGTTCTGACTTCCAGCAGTCTTGCTCTCTCAATTTTTTTTCTTTCTTTCTTTCTCATCATTATTATAATTGATGAACTTTAAAATCCCACTAGAGTCAGAGGATAAAAAATAAAATTGTTGCAGCAGATTTACACAATTTCATCTTGAAATCTGACATTTTTCCTATCACCACAGACGATAGATAGGAATTTATAATTAAAAATAAAAAGTAATCATTAATAAAAATTATAATTAATGGAAATTAATTATATAGAAAAGGATTAAAAATTCTATAAGAGAGATTTTTCATTAATTACTTTTTATTTATGAAAAATAAAAATTTATCGTGTCGTTTTACACAAATTGATTGCTTTTTTTAAAAAATTGTAACGAAGAGAATGAAACATATAGAGAAATTAAAAATTAAATTGTCACGCACAAATACTATTTTTACTAAGCCTATCTATTATCTGTGGTTTGTTACGCGGAAATTTACGTATTCTCCAATTAATTAATTTTACTTGATTTCATTTTCCCTTTTTTTTTTGTTTTGAAAAATTATTATTAATCATACTCAGTCTTTCCGAACGCTCGATTTAAACGAGCAGGAAATCTCGTAATCGACAATCTTTAATTCCGCCATAATTAAACAAAACTTATTTCGATCAATAGCGATATAAAGATTTGTTTTTTAGTGTGGCGGAATTACACATCACTACAAAAAATATATATATATCATTAAAATAGCCTTGAAAGAGTGAAGAGTGACATATTCATAAGTGAAAAAAATATTTTACCAAGAAAACATTTTTTAACGAAATAAAATATTTTTCTCAGTAGAATATCTAAAAAAAACCTACATTTCTTTGAGATCAGTGATTATCAAAGAAAAAAAAAATTTATTCTAAATGATTAAATTGTTCAGTAAGTAAATTTATAAAATTAAACTCGAACGAGTTTTTTTTTTTTTAAATAAAATTTATAGGATAGAAAATAAATTCATTAATTCGTGCGTCTTCCAATTGAAATTATAGAAGAGGCAAATCAAAATATCCAGCATTAACACTAACTTTAAATTTTTTTCATATTCTGTTTTCAACATAAACGGATGTAGAAGGTAAGAAAATATATGAAATTCTGTAGAGAGAATGATACAATCCACAGAAAATCGATAACGCGGGTTTCATTTTTTAACTCTAAAAAAAAATCTCCAACAAAGAGAAAAAAAAACCCCCCGTTAAAAAAAAATTAAACAAAAACGCCTCAAATAGATTTTTTTCGAAAAATTTCGAGTTTGCAATATATATAAAAATACAAATGCATTCAGTACTCTTTTTTTTTCTTCTTTTTGTGAGTCTCTAATTTCCAAACTATGGAATTATATAGACCAATTCACTTTTTAATAATATCGAACCAGAATCTCTCGTTGTATATATAGATTCATTAATTCTATCCTATCAACTTCTCTCTTTTAAGAAGTATAGAAATTTTTCTCGTGTAAAAGTTTTTGGGAACGACATTTTACGACTGTAAATATATATATATGTATATATAGTTAAAAGACTGTCTCACTAATAAATGTAAGCGTCACTGCCACGCCAAAAATATATAAAAAAAAAAATTTTTTTCGAGTTTTTTTAGCCGCGCATGTAAAAATACGCATAAATTGCCAAAACACTCCCACCAACAAACGCGGCTCCTATGCTTAGTGAAAGGGGCGAAAATAATGACCTCTTGAGTTTCTGCCAATCTTCCGTCTCCTTCTGTCGGCGTTTCATCTCTCGTACCTGCGCCGCAAGTCTTTCTTTCTTCTCAATATTACGTTGACGTAAATTGCCTTTCCTAAGAAGAAAAAAACAAAAAGAGTTTTTATTCCAATTTTTCCCAAAGAAGAAATTTAACTTTAAAATATAACAAATTTATTTTTATTAATTTTTTTTTTTTTAATTATAAATAAATTCTAAATTCAGTGATAGAAAAGCTAAAATAAAAAAACTTACGAATCTGGACTAGATGGAGGGCTGGTTTGATAGGAATTTTCACCTCCACTTTCGCCAGATTTATCTTCGTTATTTTCGTGTACATTGTTAGACAAGTGGGTGGAATTTGTTTGCGATAAATTGGAAATTAAATCTGAATGTGAAGGTGGTTCACATGGTAACGGTTTATTTGGAGGACCATTTACATCTCCTGGTTTTAAAGAAAAAAAATTTCATTTTAATATTTTCAAATTTAAATATTTTCTAAATCATTAAGAAGCAAATATTAATTTTTCTCAGGCATTTCAATTTAAAAAAAAAAAAATTGAAAAAGTCGAACACTGTTAAAGATGAGAAACGATTCTTTTTAAATTAAAAAAAAATGAAATGCAAAACAAGTATGCGCGTACCATTTTCAGTAGTTCCTGTAGGCGTGACGTCGGCATTCACACCACGACCTAGTGACTCTCCTCGAGGTGGTGGTAGAGGAGGTGGTTCATCATCATCATCCTCCTCTATTGACGAATTACTAATATTGTTTACCACATCATAATGGTTAGTCACTATTTCGTTATCGACGTTCTGTAAAAACACAACACACTTAGAAAAAACAGATCGTTAATAATTTAAAATAGCACAGCAGAACAATGCTATTAGAATACAAAATTCTTTTGAGAATTTTAATTTTTGTTAATGAGTTAGAAACAAAAAATTAGTTTCCTTCAGGGGAAAAAAAAATTAATGTCTTTTAATTCAGTAGTCCATTCCAAAAACAAAGCTAATAGCAATGTACTACTGTGAATTGGTATTAGTTACCACGTTATTAGAAGGCAATTGTTTCGATCCTTCAATAATGGCTGCATAGGAAAATCGAAGTTGATCAGGCGTTTGAATTAGGCCCATTCGACTCCTTCTCATATCCATTAAAATTTCTCGTACATTCACAGAATTTAATCCATTTTCTTCGATCTATATAAATGTTTGTTAATTAAATAATTAATAAAAAAAAATTTTTTGCAATTTTTGTTTTCCCTACTCACAAGAATAAGACAACTGTCCACAAGACAAAATGTTCCCGATCTTCCTATTCCCGCTGAACAATGAACAATCGGTGGTCCTACATTTTGATCTAAAACACCATGTTGTCTAACGTCAACTAAAAATCGAAGAAATGCCGTTGGACTCTGAGGTACACCAAAATCAGGCCACGTTGTATAGTGTAGATGTAAAATATCTCTACTTTTATTTGATTCCAAGTCGGTTAATCTAAAAAAAATTTTATTATTAATTTATAAGCAATTTTTATTTTTATTAATAAATGAAACTCACTTTAACTTGGTTGTTGTGTAATTCATTAAATTAGTTTTACTGACGAATTCTACTTTTAAATTAACATCTGTAAATGTCATTTCTTCATCAGAAGTTCCACCCATTGGCCAATATTGATGACATTTCACATGATTCTTTTCAATGACTTTATTTAACATTATTATTCCTTTACTCTCTTGTTCCCACACCATTAGCCAAAAATGACCGGCCGTGTTTGGAAGTGGTCCTTGTGTAAGAATATAAAGCCTATTTGCTCTTTCGACCTAAAAATTAATTTCAAATTTTTATAGAACTATAAAAAAAGAATAATTTCACAAACATTTTTATCAAATAATTAGAAAAATAAAATTTTATCTTACCTCGATAAGATTTGCGTTAATATAATCGCATGATCCTCGTTTAAGTTCAATTCTTGTGTGATCATATGGTGCAACATCTCTATATCGATTCAAATTTCTGTTTTGTGGTTTTTTTGATTCATTACACGTGTATTCAAAATTTGTGCACTCGTTACGCATGTGCTAAAAAAATAAAAATTTTATTAAATTTATATTATATACTATAATGATAATAATTGCGATAATTAACGTAAATTGAAACGAATTATTGTTAATAAAAACAGAACTAATTGCTAACAGATGCACTAATTATCTTAATTATTTCACGCATATCAATTATTATTAATAAATTTGCTAATTGTTACAAAACAATTTGAGTAATAATTACATAACAATAATTACTAAATTATCAAAAAGAATCTTTAATTTCTTGTAAATAATTAAAAAAAAAACGCTGACAATAGAAAAATAAGTAAAAAAATAATTTAAATTGAGAAAATTGTCCTCGCAGAAAATTGTAGGTTTTTACCAGATTCATATATTATAATCGAGTGAATTGTAACTTTTAAAGAACACAACCTTCGAATTATCCTTTCAGCTTCAAAAGAAATTCGACCTTGACAGCGAAATATAATACTCTTTAAAACAACTTGTGTTGAAAAAAAAAAACCAATTTTAAACTCCTCAAGCATTTTATCATATATTCATTCAACTTTTTAAAACGGGAACAAGTGCAGATTGTGAGTAATTAGTCTGGGAACTCTTTTGGCACTAATACAATGCTATATAATTGAACAAAGAGGAACGGGATCGTGAGAAAAATAATTCCCATAAAAAAAAAATCTTTTTCATCTTTTTAACTCTATGTATCTCAAAAATGTCTTGAATCATCGTATAAAGAATGTTGATGACAATTTGTCATATTAAAAAATAAATTAAATAATTTCAAAAAAGGGTTAATATTAGAAGTGAAATCAGAAGAGGAAAATTTAAATAGTGGAAATACAATTACGAAGTATAAAAACGAAATAGAATGGAAATATAGAAAATATGTATAATAATGAAAAGCATATATATATATATATTTGGAGGACGAATTCTATGGAATTGACAATGAAATCACAAATTTAAAATTATGGACTTTTGCGCAGATTTGTAAGTGTTTTTTGTTTCTTTTATAGGTTGTGACGCCGGATAACGTCAGGATGACGAATTATACATCAAGTAAATGTGTACATATCAGGGAACGAAGGGGAGACCGGGGTAAGATTTAGTTCAATATATACACACCTGATAGATAATTCCCCAAGCCCCCTTGGAGTTGATCTCCAGGTACTCGGTTTCCAAATTCTCCTGTCTCTCTGTATCCGACATTATGTATATATATTTTTCTCAACTTGTTTTAATTCTTCCAATGATATGATTTTTTTTTCAACTTCCTGATATACTATACTGCACTATGCTCAGTGTTAAAGACGCGCACGCGGCGATCTCGTTCTCTCTTTCTCTCCCTCTTCTTTTTCCAATTCTTTTTCAACACCGAGAACTTGGAACGACACAGAGCACAATTCAATATAGAATCATGATGATAATGAACCTTGACAAAACAATTAAATTGTTATTGTTTGACACTTCCTGTGATGGAAAATAATATGATTTTCACTAATTTTTTCACTGTATAACTCTAAATTAGATGAATTTTGTATACAAGATGAATTGCATTCACAAAGAATCACCTTCTACTTAGTCGCCATCGCAATAAACTAACCTCTACTGTGCCTGTCTGACTGCATTTTGGAGTAACAATTACTTAACGAGATGTATTGTTAATTTTCATTATTATTGTAAAGTAAAACGTAGAAATTGATTTTATTGAATGAAAATTTTTTTCAGAATTTTTTTTTGACGTTTTAGAGAATTAAGAACAATGGAATTTTAAAATTGTCCGCCATAATGGAAAAAATACGCGCATGCGCAATAATGAAAGCGGTAAAATTTAAATGAAATTAATGGAAATGTAATTCATATAAATATTTATTTCTAATTCGTAACTGATTCGATAATTAATAATAGAGAGAAATATTTCAAAAAAAAGATTAATTTCCATTTTTTATTGAAATAATTTACAATCATTAATATATGTTATGTAAAATAAATGATTTCATTATTTTCCAAAATAAACAATATTTAAAAAATATCTTTTCAGGTAAAACAATTTTGATTTAAATTTAAAATTTTCTTAATTTTATAAAAAATTCGATGAAATTTTTAAGATTAAATTGATCACAGATAATAAAAAAAAAATAGATTATGCAAAATGTCATAAAAATGACAAAAATATTGAGTTTTTACATCAGGAATGTAAAATTGATAAATTATAATTTTAAATTGTTTAAAAAAATTTAAATATAAAAAAATATTTTTGTTACAATTTCATATTACAATTTTTTGTTTTTCTCATGACCTTGGATTAAATATATTATGTATAGTTGTTTGAGTATAAAATTTAAAAGATTAGATTTCATCATTAGACGAAGAAGATTTTTGCTTTGATCTGCTGGTTGATGTTTCTTCTACTCCTTCCACTTGACATGATCCCGGTAGAATTATGTAGCCCTCACGACGATTTCTGTTGAAAATTAAAACGTACAATCTTTTGTCTATATTTAAATAAAATATTTATATTTAATTTTTTCCATGAAGAAATTATTTCCTATTTTATAAATTTATTTTTAAACTTATAGAAAAATATTGTCCTTTTTATTCTTGATTAATTATTATTTTAATTAATTTATTTCTTCATAAAATTTGAAAATTCAAATCACAGATCCCTTATTCTATCATGCAAGCTAGAAAAGGTTTCGGCAATTGAATAAAATAAAGCCCCAAGAATTCGATAAACACAAATAATAAAAGTTGATAAAGAAATAACTTCCATCGTTGAATTTTGCAACGAAAATTGATTGGACCTCATGCCTCATGCTATATATTGCTAATGACTGCAAAACACCGATAATCCACTTATACATATGAAACAATGAATTAATAAATCTTTGAATTCTACAATGATAAATCCCTTTTATCACCAATTTTATGCACCTTAATCGCTATTTTGTAAACACGAAAAAAAATTAAATAGGATGACTTATAGGATAGGGAAACGCGTAAATGTTTTTTTTTATTTTATTTTTTTTGTTTTTGTAAATAAATAAATTATAGAACAAACTGTTAATTTTCAGATAAATATTGCAAAACATTATTTTTTCTATTGCAATAAATTGATGTTTAATAAATATTATTAAATACATTAGAATTAATTTCTTTGACAATATAATATATTAAAGATTGTAAGAAATTTCTTTTTCATTAACAAATATTAAACTTTGTGAATCAAATAATAAATAATACAAATAGGAATAAATTGCAAAACATAGAATACTACATAAAATAAAAAAAAAATTAATCACGTGCTTGGACTAATAAATAATAATCATTCCTGTACAGTAATTCTAAATGACACTCAATTTTCAATCTCACTCTCATCATCTTAATTTTTTTTTCAAATTAAAATATTATGATATCTTTAATTACTAAATGAGTTTTCTAACACACTGTCTAGAAATGTTTAAAAAAAAAAAAATTCTAATAATGATAATAAAAAGTTTCTATAACACTTAAATAATAATAAGAGATTCTAAAACCACTTTTTAAATAAATAAAAGTTCTAAAACACTTGCAAATTAACTACAGTTCTGAAACACCAAAAAATAAAAGTTCTAAATTGATTGATATTTCTTTCAGGCTAGTAAATTGTTTCTAGTCTTTCAGTAAATTGGCACAAACACTTGACACTACTTTAGATTTTTTAAAAATGTTTTCTCTCTTTAAATAATTATTTAAAGAGTAAATAATTGATCTTATCGTCAAGCTAGTCTCTGTTTCTCAAGATTAACTGAACTTAATTGAATACAGATGGAATATGTAGATCGGCTGGTTAAACTCGGCCTTTCAGGTCAATCACTTTTTCGCTGTCACTTCTGTAAAGCAAAACTTTTGTTCTGCCCATGTCATAGATTTTTCCATTTAGTTTAGTACGTGTTATGTTTTTTACAGTATTATTTTTTTTTAAATTACTCTTGTTAATCAAACTTTATTAAATTAATTCTCCAATTTAAAGAAAAAAAATAATAAATTAAAATTTTTTTGTTTCTAAAATGATTCAATCGTGCAAATTCATTCAGCGCATGCTGTTTTTTTCCATAAAGCAAAAAAATTACAATTGCAGCTAATTCTAATTTCCATTACTTTATACCGCATGCTTTTTTTAAACATAAATTAAATTTTACTTACCCATAGAGACAGTAATGTTGAACAATAAAGAAAACATCAAAAGCAACTGAAAAGAATCCAAGACCAAATTTCGTTGGATCACCGAAAATACTTTCCCAATCCTCTGTTTAAAAAAATAATTTAATTAATCAAATTATTAAATTTAAATTAAATTGAAATTTCAAAAAACAAAAAAATTACCGAAATTATAAGCGTTAAGTATCATTTGCAACATGGACAGCATTCCTCCAGTGAAATCAAGAAAAATATTTCCAATACTCCAGCCAACAGTAGATTTTCGTTTATAATTATAAAAAGCTTGGGGTACATATTTAATTAATGTAATCGCTAATTTCACGTAACTGCAATAATAAAGAAAATCAAGCCATCCAATTACGTGTTGTAGTGACAGAATAATACTAATAAGTATAAAAGCTGTAAATATTCCATGAATAATTCGTGCAGTAGTTGAAACTCGTTGAGTGCCAATCTGAAAATATTTTTCTTTAATATATTATGTATTTCTTCAAAAAAAAAAAAATGATAATAAAAAATTATTTAAAATATTCAAACCTCATAAATAAAGCATTGAAGAATTGTCACAACTGTTGCAAAAAATGCATGTAACGAAAAGAATATATCGTTTGGTTTCACTGGATTCAAACCCTTTGGATATCGACTGAAATATTCTTGCTAAAAAAAAACAAACAAAAATTAATAAATTTATAATATATTTTTATTTAATTATTTATTATTTGTACAAAATAATTTACCTCTATCTCAGGTATCCAATAGAGACCACAATTGAATAAAGAATATAAAACAAATCCAACAAAATTGAGAGATAAAAAGTCAAAATTTAATCCCACGACACTTTTTCTTCTATAATTACTCAAAATTTGTGGATAAAAACTGACACTCCATGCCAAAAAATAAAGCCATCCTACTACTGAACTAATATGATCGAGTATTGCCGATTTTTCTACAGTTATCCTGACAAATGCGTCGGTAATACTAAAATTAAACGGGAAAACAAAATTAATATAATTTTCCATTATTGTCTTGATTCTGAAAGAATATTTTTAAAGTACATTATCACATTTTTTAATATCTTACTTGTAACCAATAATTTCACCATTATTTAATTGATCACGAGTTACAACAAAAACTTTATAAATTGGCATTATTTTTAATTAAATTGAAAAAGTGAATTAATTAATTATTGTTTCTCGATACTTTTTTTTAATATATCAAAAACACTGAAATTATTAAACAAAAAACACACATTTAAATTATTATATCACATCTGAACATTAAATAAAAAAGGAATTTAAATGAAAAAAAAAATTTGTAATTAATAATTTTAAAAAATAAATTTTTTAATTATAATATATATATATTAAAAGAGAACTAATGCACTGGTCAAAATCTGACCAAAGACTGACTGCATTGAAGTAGAATTTTAAAGAAAGAAGAGGCCATAAGGCTATCTAGTTGCTGAATAAGCAAATGTCCAATGTATTGTTGATTAGAATCTGTTCCGAATTCCGCTATGAATAATAAACAAAATTCTATAATTGCAAACAATTAAGATTATAATTTTCTTATCACGACCACCCATAGAAAATCAAATTAAAAAAGTGTAAATTTTTTTATGATAAGAAAATATATCAATTTTGATAATGAAAAAATAAATGTAAGGAGGAAAACTTTTTTAAAAAACTTCAGTAACAATGTGTATATAACAAACGGAAAATATTTCTTATGTTAAATTTAATTCTCAAAGACTTTTTTTTTTGCAATAGTTAAATAAATTTAAGTTCAAACCTTGAAAGAAAAAAATGTACGTTTTTTTGTCAAGAAATGTGTTTGGTCTTATCGTTAAAATAATTTCCTGGTTCTTTCGAAAAAAAAATTTGTATCTTATACCTTAAAAATATCTGTTTAATTATATTAAATATAATCGTTAAAAAATCAAGATATCGTGATTTTTTCATAATAAATCTAAAGAATAAAATTAATACTAACCTTGCAACATCACTTGGAGTTGCATTCACACTGAGAATAACACTACCTGCTCTTAGTGCTTGAACTTCAATTGTTAAATTTTCTTGAGTTCCTTTTTTTAAAATTAAACTAGATGGTACAGCTCTAATTAAATCTGGATGCTGTATATCAAATTTAACATCCACATCTGCTGTCAATGGTTCACTGTAAAAAATGTCATTGACATTATATAAAAATTTGCTTTGTAATAAATTTACATTTTATCAATATTATAATATACATAAGCCAATTGAAATAAGAAACATTGAATAACAGAACAAAATTAACTTTCCTTTCACTCTTTTTTAATAAAAGGGACGAAATAATTTTTTTTCATGTAAAAGAAAGAATACTTTATCTTAAAACATATTTTAATGTTGAAAAAAAAAATTCTAAACACTTTTTTTAGTGATAAACAATGAGTTTGAAAAATTATATAACTTTTGAATGCATAGAGATATATGTAAATTTTAACGATAAAATTAGAGGAAAAAAACAAGTTCTTGACAAGTAAACAGTTTTTTTTTAGTGATTAAATTTGTCAAAAAATTAAAAAGAAAATAAAACTGTAATTAAAATTACTTACGTTAAATATAAATTAAAAGAGTTTTTATCTCCAACAATTATAGTCAGATCCTGCGACGAAACATGAAAGTCAGCGTAAACTTTAGTTGTCACTGAAAAAAAATCATAGAATAAATGTTAAGAAAATTATAATACTACAAAAAAATAAAAATAAGCTTTTAACAAACCTAATAACACTAGAAACCAGGTAATATTAAGGGAAGTCATTTTGTAAATCTGAAAATAAATATTCATTATTAATTTATTTCACAAAATACAATGATTTACATTGACAGCAGATAATATTTTACTTAAAAAAATGTTGTACTTCAATACAGGAAAATATAAACTTTTGACGCACACTGATAAATAAATAAATAAGTTTTTAACAAAGAAAGCCAAAAAAGGTAAACATACCTAACCTCAAAAAGAGGTGGAAGCGAAAAATATTTCTATAACAAAAATGATTCTTCTTTATTATCATGTTATTTTTTTATTATCATTTATCAATTAGTCATTTTGGTCATTGTACGCTATATTGTAAAGTGTGACGAACTTTGTAATCTTTGCATTTGACAAAGAATACCTAACCTCAATAATATTGCACACTTGTATAAATACTATGACATTTAACAAAATAACCACAACTGGTTAAGAAATTGTTAAATGAATAATTATTTAATAAAAGACATTAAAGGATACACTTTTTATTAATTTAAAACTAAGAAAAGAGAATTAAAACTCTACTTGAAATGCAAACTGTCATTTACTGTCAAAACAAAAACAATACTGAAACCGGAAACAGCTGATCTTGACTAATTTAATTTAAAAAGATAAATCAATAATTAAATACTTTATATCTTAAAGAATGATTTTTATTTATTAATTACTTATATTTATTGATTTTATTTACTTATAATTTGTTCCTTTCACTATTATATACAGTTTACAGCCAAAAATAATAAAAGCGCAAAATTAGTCAAATGTACTACGCTAGTAGAAATTTGAAAAAAAAATATTTAAAAAGATAACAGATAATTATTGTATTTAAAATAAGCGATATTCAATAATTGTTCGACAAAAAAGTGTTGAAATTAAAAAGTGAAACAGTAACAGATAATAATAATAAATGTATATAAGTAGAAAATGAGAAAATATTAAAATTCCGATTAATTAAAAAAGTATTGTATTGATAAATATAACCAAAAAGTTTTTAAAAAAAATTAAATTTACCAATATTAGAAAAATCAAAGAATTAAAATTTTAAACAATTGTAATTAATAAAATATAGAAAATAAGGAAAGAAATAATGAAAGATTTTAATCTTTAGTAAAACAAGATCAACGATTAAAAAATAATTTTGGTTAAAAACAAAAATAATATAAAAAAAAAGGTGAAAAGTATTTTTTCCGTTCTTTTAAAATTGGCACACATTGATTGCATTTCTGGACCAAAATATTTACTTTGGGTCATTGTCAAAATTGTTTATAAACAAGATTCAATTAACGCGTGGTAATTTTTTTTTTTTTTTTTTTGCAAACCTTGATTATTAAAATTTGGCATTGACCAATTAAATACGGAAACTGACAAAAAAAAATTAACGAATGATTGACATAATCTCTTTGCGTGATAAATGAAACGTAGAAATATACACGCACACACATATAAAACTCATTAAGTCCATTGACAATCTTCCGGAACGAAGAAGATAAAACATTTATATATTCGCGATAAAATAATTATTCTTTTAATTAAAAGAGAATGTCGCGTGATTGGCCTATAGATTTCACATTATGTTTTTAATAATAATTCAATGCACTTTGCAAAATAATTTTATTAATAAATTAAAAAAAAATAATTAATATCTAATATTAATTTTATTTATTTTTTATTTTTTATTGAAAAAAATTTGTTAATCGCAAAAATCTTTTTATTTAAAAAGCATTTTGGTCAATTATTTTGAATTTAATTAAAAATTCAGAAATATAAATTAAAAGTCTTGCACAGAATTTTCATAGTTGCATTATTTACAGTTAATGACTTCAACCTTGAAATAAAGAAAATGTTATCGATGGCGTAACGAAATAATAGACCAAGGTAGTCAGCTTGCTATGATTTTTAATTATTCAATTTTTTCGAAAAAATATTACCAATAGTTCATTAAATCTTCTATGTACCTTTAATTTATCTAAAGACGAAATCGGTGAATTAATTTAAATAAATTCAAATCCTAAAATAAATAAGAAATAAAAAAAATTTTATTAAAAAAATATTAAATTAAATAAAAAAAATGGTTAAAAAGCGATAAAATAATTTTTTTAAAAATAAAATAAAAAAGTTCAACCCTAATTATTACTAAAGATCAGAAATTCCCAGAAATCTCATTTCAGCGAAAAAAAAAGTTAATTAGGTCGAGTTTGGAATTTACCACATGCGAAACAGCCAAACAAAAAATTGCATGCGTATAAATATATCGTAATTCCCCATAAGATTTGGAATTTCCAGTGGAAGAACCCAGAAAATTGGACATAAAAAATATATAATATAAAATATAAAAAAAAAAATTCTAATCAAATCTAATTCTTTTCTCTTCATTTTTTTTTTGCAATTTAATTTAAAATTCGAAAAAAATTGAAATTCACATTCAAATGATATTTTTATGATTAAAATAAAAATAAATACAATTTTGAATTTTGATAAAAAAAAATTAATTTAAATTTTAAGGTGAAGGAATGAGTTCATTTTACCTAATATTAGATTTTAACTGATATGAAGTTTTACAAAGTTGGAGCAAAGATAAACACAAGATCGTAAACACGCGGAAAGACAAATTTGATGGAATTGCAAAACGATGAACTTGATTACGCTAACGAACTATTTCTCTCTCAATATTCTGTGAGAAATTATTAATTAATTAATGACAAATTGTCAATATCTACATAAAAAAGTTAAGAAACATTAAAATTAAATTTTTTTTTCCTTCGAATTTTTACCTCTGCGGAAATATAAACAGAAACTTCAAAATTTTATCGTTTGACAACTTTTTGAATTTAATAATTTTTTAAATTATCTCTGCTTTAAAAGATTAATTAATTTTTAATTTAAATTATTAAATAATAATACTAAAGGAAGAAATACATTTTGTACAATTAATCTTACTTTTGATAAAATTAATGATAAAAAAACAGAAAAAAAAAAATTTAAAGCAAAAATTTTCAAAATACATTTTCAACTATTCTTTTCCTGAAATTGAATCTTATTTCTGGATTCAAAAACATATAAATAATTCAAACGCACTCGTGTCCCAAAGATCTAAGAATAAAACACTATTATTCTCTTTTGAATTGTATTTTGAAAGAATATATATACTGATTTAAGAAATTTAAATTTTATTCTCAACTGCAAAAAAAAAAAATTAAAAATTCGATTTTTAGTTAAAAATTTAATTTTACAATTTTCTTAGAAAAATTTAATGAGAGGGAGAAAATAAAAATAAAATTTTTAACAGACCTTTCTTTGTGGAAGAAGAGGCGGAAATTTTTTTTTTTTTTTTTTTTGTTTCTCTTCCAAGACTTGTAATTCGAGTCTGTCTTCGGCTCCCGTTTCAAGGCAGAGTTGACCTCATGAGACACTATGTAAAATCTACCTGTCGACCTGATGATCTCAATTCGAAACGATCAATCAATTTGTTGCTATTGTTTCATTGCGCGTCTTGTTGAAAAAAAATTCCAAATCGTAATTTATTTCTTTCAGGAAAAAAGGCAATTTTCTTCTTCTTTGATGATATATCAGCCAGCACTGAGCATTTTTCCTGTTTTCCAAATTTGAAAATGTTTCAAATTTTTCCGCTTCATAGAAATGGATTTTTCCCAAGAACTGTAAATTTTTTTCTGAAATATCAAAAATTAATGGTAAATTATTTTTTTTTTAAAATAAAACAGAAGCTCTTTATAGAGTCGCGAACACGTTTCGAATGACTGGAGTGTGCCGACATCATCATATAAGTACGACTTCTCCGTTGATCGATATCGCTCCAATCCCCTCCTTTATTCTCTCATTTATAATCATTACGGTGTAATAAACTCATTTCCACGATATTGTTTTTCTATAAACAAAATAAAAATTATTAAATTTTATTTTCGACACTTTTTAATTTTTTATTTATTATTATTTAAATAATTTATTTTTATTAACTTTTTTTTTCTATTAAGTAATATTTAATTAAGTTTATATATTTATACTTTTTCATTTTATGATTTAAAAAAATATTTCTTAAAATTGATTTTAGATGAAATTTATTAAAATATTTTTTTTAAATATATCTTTAAAAATTTATTATCAAATAGTTTGTCAATAGTCATTTTTCCTTGAATTGACAAATTAAAATATCTACGTAAATAATTAAATTTTTTTTTTAAAAATTGTCAATACATAATATGTAAATACAAACGCTTTCGTCAAGTCACTCACTGATAACGGGAGACATTACGCATTAAAATTTTTTCAATTACTGTTTAGCCTCTTTAAACTAAATTTTCTAACATGCAGCTTCCTGTAATATAATTTATTATACACGTCATTCTAAATTCTACGGTTAATTTTAAGTTTCTGTAAAGCACGCAAAAAAGTCAATTTTGATATTGAAAATTTAATTAAAAAAAAAACAACTACTATTTAATAAATAATAATCATGATAGTAATAATAGGAAATAGTAAAGCAAAAAAAAATGCAACGTCAACTTCTAGAAATAGCCAGTTAAAAAACAGTTTTATCTCAATTGTGATATAAAAAATTGCGAGAATTGTAAAATTTTTGAAATCTCATCATATAAGTACATCATAGCACGAAATACAATATTGCATCAATAAAAGAAGAATTTAATGAAAATATTCTGTTCTCAATAAAATTACTTTAGATCTAGTATGACGAAGCAATTTTTTTAAAGAAATTCGCTATTAAAACGTTATAAAAAAAATATCCTAAACATTTTTCTTTTAATTCAATATATAAAATAAAAAAAAATTATTCTCTTATCAACAAATTAATTAAATCGTTATATGAATAGGTAGAAAAAAGCATTTAATAAAACTACCAATAATAAAAAAAAATTAATTAAATTTTCAAACAGGTAATTTAAAATTGATTCAATAAATAATATTTTAATCAACAGATTCACATTTAGTTAAAATTATATTATACAACTGTGTATAAATTATTCCAAGTTACATTAATTAACTCATTAAATATTAATCAAATATTTTGTTTAATATTTTTAATTAATTACTTTATTGGGAAATTTTTTGAAATGATAGATTAAATCATGAATTTAATTTTTTTCAATATTAATGAATGACGAACAATTAATGTGAGACGAAAAAATCATTATATTATTTTTTTTTATCGTTAAACAATTTAATGGGAGATAAAAATTTGTTTTCATTGCTAAATTATAATCACTGTCATAATATAAATGTGAGATTAATTGAAATAAGAAAATCCAAGTCTTATCGATCTAGTTTTTTTTTTTTACAATTGAGTGATTATCACATAAAAATCATTTATTACCTTTGATGAGCAATAAAAATTGTTTTATTATATTTTAAGCAAACCCATTGATAATTGTGCGTGCAATATTATCTTTTTTTTTTAATTTTTCTGAACTTTGTCAAAGTCAATTTTATTAAGTCGCAGAAATTTCGTGCTCAAGAATTTTACAAAATCTATTTATAAGTATTTTTTGTAGAATTTTTTTCTTTTTAAATAAAAATTTTTGAAATTTATTTAATAAAAACTATTTTTGTGTAAATAAGAATAACATTTACTTCACTTAAGATTCATTGATAAAGTCGGCAAACATAAAAGAAGTTGCTACTTCAGTTATATTTCTTTATCTTTTGAATTTTGCTTGTTATTATCGTGAAATTAAATTAGGGAAAACTGTCTTTTTTTTCTTATTACTCATATTATGATAAAATTTTTTCTCAAATTTACAAAATTAGAAAATACAATGATTGATAAAATAAATATATATATATTCTGTAATAAAATTTATTTAGAATAAATTCTTTTCCAAAATAAAATTACTTTAAAAAAAAAACTATTATAAAAATTGGAAAATTTTAAAATAATCATTGGAAATTTTGAAAAATATTTTGGGAATTTGCATATGTAAGTTTGATTTGCTTCTTGATTCTCTCGTTGTCACGTGTCATTGAAATTTTCTATAAATAGATGAAAGAGCGTGACTCAAGAGAAACGCTAGACAAAAGCAAATAGAATTAAAATGCGCTCTGATTCTTAATGTACATTCCGTAAATTGAATGCAAGTTAAGTTCAATAAGTAGAATAATAATAAATGGGTTCATTGTCCAACATCTTTTAAGTATTATTTAATTTTTTTTTTTTATAAATACATCATCAGAACTTGATTTATTTTTGCAACAAAAAAATTAACTAAGTCTGATGTTTAATTGAAAGAGAAAGGGAGAACAATATTTTTGATGTCAAGGATCATTTTTGCCACCTAATGTGTTAGAAATAAATTTATATCCTACATATTGAATAAATTTGAAAATTAATTGCAAACACATTTTTCTGGTTTTTTGAATTATTAAAATCTAAAAATTAATATTTCCTTTCAATGTGTAATTTAATACATTTTTCAATAAAAATAATAAAATTTTTATTGCAAATTAAAATGGAAAAAGAAAGGAATAGAAGGAATTGTAAAAAAAGGTATATTACCAGATACTGTGAGATTTTCAATTATATATATTTGTATATATATATAATTTATATATATATATATAGTTTGTTACAAGGCACAGGTAGCTTACACACATTTTTTTTTGTCATTTTTCGACTTCAAATTTATCTCATTCATACAAGAGCATTCTCTACAGCCTTTGTTCTTTTTTTGTTCAATCATTCTTTCAGAAAGATTACATTCTTATTTTTTTCCCCATTCACGATTGCCCGTCATTTTTTTTTTCTTTCTCTCTTTGTATTAAATGTCGGGTAAATACTGTTTAACGCTTAGAATTTTGACGCCACGTATTCTTGTTGGTAAAAAAATTTCTTTGCATAAATTTTAAACTTTTAAAATTTAAATTACATGAGAGGGGTGGATGGGGGGGGGGCGAGGTGTTTATTAAACTACAGATATACAAAAATGTACGAATTCGAGATCCTCAAAGATTCGATAGGGTAAAAATTTGTGTGTGTGTGTGTGTTTGTGTAAATGTGTGATTAATCAGAGAGGTCCCCGATTCTACATTGGGCTTAAGTTATTCGTTGTTTGTTTTGTTAATTAATGATTACATTGATGCTTCATAATTGCATTACGTTTTTTTATAAATTAGAAATTTTTTTTTCGAAACTCTTTTAAGAAACATAACAAAATCGATTCGATTTTGAAATCTCTTTTCCTTTCTGTCTGTCTCTCCCTCTCTTTCTCTTTTAGAAAAATAATATAATAAATAACTTTTAATTATATACAAGATTAATAATAATTAAATAAATTGTTTTCTTTTTTTTTATAAACTATAGAAAAAAAAAATTATTTTCAATGAGCCACAATAAAGTTATGAGATAAATTTTTTTTTTTGAGCATTAAAATTTTTTAAATCTATAAATATAGAATTTGGCTTGGCACCTTATCTTAGACAAGTAGTTGGTATTTCTGACAATTTTTCAAATAATTAACAAACTCATGGCTTAACAGATAACAATAATGCAATAAATTCTATAGTATTTTAATTTTATCAAATTTAGAATAAAATAAATTCAAATACTGAAAAATAGAAAAAAAGCCAAGAAATGAAGAGAGCGTTATAAGAAAAATTCGACATCGATTTTGCGATTTTTTTTTTTGCAAAATTATTGAAATCAAATTTTGTAACACACGTACAGTGACGATCGTTGTTGCAATAATTTTTTAAAGATTGCATAAAACGATCAAGTTTAATCTCATTAATCGTTACTTAATTTTTTTCCTCTTTTTTTTTTATCGCAATTTCTTAACTTTTTACATTGCTCTTCGAAAAATCGATTTTCGAATCGATTATTTTCAGTAATTAGCTTAATGCTAAATCTTATAAATATTTATACAAGATTTTTTACAATACGTCACGTGGAGATTCAAAATTTTTCACAAGATAAAATCTTTTTTCAATTCTCATTTCAAGCTTCTAATATAGCTGTTCCATTTTTTTTTTATTTTTTTATTTAATATTTGTATTTTCTATCATTTTTTTTTTATTGGAAGCTATTATGTAAAAACATGAAACAAGAGTCTTAAAATATTACTATAGACTAAACTTAATATTCACAATAATGGATTGTAGAAGTTTATCTGTATATTAGTGTAAAATGTTTTCAAAATGCATTTAAAACGCTTCATTAAAAATTAAAATTTAAAAACTAATTTGTAAAATAAGGAAAATATTCTCAAAAAAATTCACGAACTGTTTATAATTTTTTTCTCCATTAAAAAAAAAACAAAATTTTAGTATTAAATTTTGCCAGAGAATTTCCCAAGTAAATTATAATAAATTGTCAAACAAAACAGATTGAGACTGGTTAATATTTAATTAGTAAGGAAAAAGCCGCGTTTAATTAAATTCTATACACATGTCGTTAAAAAGTTTCCTAACGGTAATTCTGAAACATTCAGAATTGACAAAACAAATATATAGCCATACGTATATTATTTTCAAAAGGTGTGAAATTTACTCATGAGAGATTGAGATAAACGGATGATATTTAAATGTGATTATTTTTGCATTAATCCACAAATTAGTTTCATTAAAATATTTTTAAACGTAAGAAAAAAAAGTTTCTTTGAAATTAAAGAATGATGAATAAAAATTTCTTTCAAATTATTCGCTCATGTTAAATAAACCGTGAAACTAGTCTGAACGAAAAATATAATATTTCAACATATCTTTTTAAAACGAAACCATCAACTAGATCTATTTTCCAATATCACAAATCGATTTGACTGTCAGAAAATCTGATTGCCTTTGACAAAAATTACTTTTATAAAAGAACGAAATGATATCATCTTCTAAAGATGAAAAAAAATGTTAATGTGCGGTCGTCAAAGTAATTTTCTTTTTTTTTCATCGTCATTGTGGTTTTAATTATCATTTATTTACAAATAAGAACAAAGAATTAACTCTTTTTTTTTTTTGAAAAAAAACTTGTCTTTGAATATTCGTGTTTAATAAATAATAAAAAGCCACAGTATATTTTGAAATAATTTTTACACATAAAAATGAATCATTTTAATAAATAAATTGACTTTCTGATCTAAAAGGCCTAGATGAAATTTAAACTGTATAAAAGACAAACAGTAGTTCATGTTGCTGATGTAAATTTGTAGGATTACGTGCATCGAACGATTGCATGAATCTCATTAAGCGACGCATAATATTTGTCAAACCCCCGAGGGGAACCGGTAACAATGTTTGGGGATGTATCTATAATTATCGAATATAGCTTTGTTTGCTATTGCGAGCGGCCAATCGAAAATAATGACAATCTTATGCATCGATTCATAAAATATTCATTCATGCGTGAAAACCCGTCTCATCATTATTAGTCAATTGTACAACAATCCTAAAATTATTTTTTCTTTCCATCTAATTCTCAACAAAAAAGGCTTAAATATTTTATTAAACTTATATTTAAAATAAATTTTTCCTTTAAAAATTATTTATTTTTTATAATAAAAATTAAGTTTATACAAATAATCAAAGACAAGTATTAGTTTTTTTTATCACAATTAGAATTTTAGATAATTAAAATAAAAATCATTAAAACGCGAGATTTTTTTATTCATCTGATTGCTGTCACATTGAGCTTACTTCTAAAAGCTAAAAATCTTACTTATTTACTTAATATAATTTACGCTAAATATGCAATAAGGTACAGTACTTCCTAATTGTGTACTATTTCGCTATATTTTTTTTTCTCTATGTTGAGACTACTTTTTTAAATTTAAAAATCAGGTATATAAGTCTTTTTCCCTCGGGGGTATTGACGTTAAAATAATTTCTTTTTTAAAGTTGTGTGGAAAAAAGACATGACGATTTCAAACCGGAAACTCCTTCATTTCCAGTAGAGCATATAAGTAACATCAATACCAGGGAAAAAGCCAGTTAATTTAAATTTAAATCAAACATTACATATATATATATGTATATATCTGATACGTTAAAAAAAAATTTACTTTTGCTTCAAAAGTATATATGTTAATTAACTCGTTTCAAGCTTTATTTCATTTCAATTTAATTAAATATTAAAAGTTAAATTTTTAAAAATGTTCATTAAAAGTAAATTAATTAACATTTTTTTTTTGCAAAATGCTTCCGGCTAATGTAAAATGATTTCGATTCTAAAAGAGTTTTAAAAAAAAGAAAGAAAAACCAGGAAACTCTCACTTAGAGATCAAAAGACGTTCTTTGGTAAATTAACTGCAACTTGATATAGGTAACTCGTATAATTATCAGACTTGACTAATTACACTGATTTATTAAATATATTTTGAATGTAAATTGAAAAATCTAAAAGAAGTCTATGAGAAAAAAAGGAAGAAAATTGACAGCTATTGTTAAAATTGCTGACTTAATTTTTTTTTTTTTACTCTGACCAGCACATTATCCGATTTGAATATTCGTTAATAGAAGGATGGTTGTACAATAATATTTAATATAAACTCTGTATAAGATACAATAATCGTCGTCCCATATTCATTCCTTTTTTTTTGCTAATTTTATTCATCTCACGATATAATTTCAATCAATATTGATAATTAATAATAGAGTATCTCTCTCAATATTTCATTTCGATTCATTCAAAACACATTTCTTTATATTATATATCGTTATTTGCTTATTGGAGTAGATTTCGAAGTTCGGTGCCTCGAAAAATTAAGAGAACTTGTGAGTTTATTAATATATTGCGCATGAGAAGCATTGGAAGAAATATGCAAATTAAAAAAAAAAAATCAACGATCTTCACCGCCTGGTGACAAATTAATCACAGTTGCAGCAATTTACATTTTACACCTTTCTTTCTTTTGTCACAGGGCAGGAATCCGTTTTCTTTTCATTTCTTTTGCAAATGTTCTTTCCATCGTCTCGAGCGATTATATAATCTAATTAATATTACATAATCTATTGTATCGAATCATTCGATTCATATTTTTGCATCCCTATAAAAAAAATTTTTTTTAAAAGATGATAAATCAAAACAAGATTCCCTTTAATTTCCCGATTCCGACTGCGAGTTCGTACCATGATATGGTTCTAGCCCAGAGTTACAATTAAGCCTACAAGCTATTTTTTACAAAAAAAAAAAAAAAATTTTTGCGTTGGGAAAATTGATAATTCAACATTTTGAGCATCTGTGAATTAATTTTTCCCTGATAGAATATATATATAGAGTCTTAGAAAAATCTAAAACTCACCTGATTAATCGAAATTCAAATTACGGTATTTTACTTTTCCTCTCTCTCTCTCTTTCTCTGTCTTCTTATGTACAATATATGAGAAAATCCCAGAATTTCCAGGAACAATTGAATTCAATTTTTCTCGTTTTAGAATCACCTAAACACTGCAACAATTATCACGATTAGACTTATAGTCAGGTACGATGCTCGGTGAACCATACTGCTGTTGTCTTCGAGACATTGACCTAAAATCAAACAAAAAGAATTAGTTTTTTCGATTTTAGAAATTAAAAAAAAAATAATTTTAATTATAATTTTCAAATATTGTTTTTTAAATTATTTAATCATAAAGTTTGGATTCTAATTAGTGGATGTATGTGTCACAATAAAATCGGACCGTGTATACATAAGGCTTAATTATGCGGTTCGAAAGTCTAGTCCTTCAATTTTAATAAAACTCTTCCGGTCTAGAAGGATTCAAGTCAATGAATATTCATCATGAGTCATTAATTTTGCAGCTACTCCGCGCGTAAGACGCCTGTATAAATTTCCTGCCTTCGTTCCACCTCTCGTTGCGCACAGCTTCTCAATTGCACTTCTCGGGTCATTTCAAATTCTGACAATAGAGAATTTAGAGGATGGAGAATCCTCGCGTGTGTTACAATTTTGACTCTATCTTCCGACGACTCGAGTCTTTAAGAAAATTGACTCTAATATTTATAATTGCAAATTAGAAAATTAAATTTCGAAATTTTCATTTAAAATAAATTTTAATATTGTTTGAAAACAGAGACTAATTCCGTTTAGGATTTGATCCTATTTTTTCGTAAAAGTTTACTTGGGATTTAAGCCTCTGTTTTGTTCAAAGATCAATCCTTAGGGTTTAGATTGAAAGTTTTAATCCCCCTTTCTCTCTCTCTCTCTTACCGATGCTGGTCGCATTGAAGGCCAACATTGGAGGTGATGTCTGAACCTCCCTATGACAGGCGTCTGCACTCGCAGTTAAACTCACGACACCGCCGCTCTCTCTATACATGAAACATAATCTTCTACTGTTTCTATAGGGTTGTGGCCTGTTGTTATCATTTGACCAAGCCGATCGACGAGCAAGTGGCGTTGCAATCACAAATTGAGTGCCCTCACCATCGAACCACCTTCCATGACAAGAATAAGCTGAAAAGTAAAGAGTCAAAGATTATTCAAATTAGTACTTAAAAAAAAAGGAATATTTGTTATTACAATTCTAATGGAAGTCTAATTGAATCGTTTCTCATTCCAAAAACACTTTTTCAATGTGAGAGATAAAACACTACCAGGAAAATCCATTTCTACTTTTAATATACGAAAATATTTCTTTGTATATAAGAAACTATTGATTCTTTTTCCAATATCTGACAACGAAGTCCATTTAAAGCATCTCCCACCCTCAAAAAGCAACCACTCAGAAATTTTCTTTTATCTTGGGAATATATTTATTATTCAGTTTCTATTCACAATTTTGAAATATTTAATTATTTTTTCAACAAAAAAGTATTGAAGTATATTTAAATAAAAATTGCCTTTTGAAAAAATAAGAAAAAAAAATTTACCTGTGACAACGTCATCATCAATGCAATCATTTTGAAATTCCATTCTGTCTGCAGTCGAACATCCGACAGTTAATGTTGTCACGTCCGAATTGCATCTTGGATTTTCATTCTCTCTTTTCTCACGTCTTTCAAAATTTTCTTCTTCATCATCATCGTCATCATCTGAATCTCTCTTCATTCGCAAAAGATCAGCGTAGGTAAACAATTTATCGTCGCGCGATGAGAAACTCCTCTTGGGAATACTATCCACATCGTCAAGATAGTCACCAAAATAATCATCCTGAACCTGCAGGATACTTGGAATTCCCGTCTCGTCAAATTTCGTTGCCCAATTGTGACGTGCTTGCGCAAAATTTTCCATATCAACATTAAAATCTTCAATTTTACGATGTCTTGAAAGAATATTATTATCAGCAATATTTTTCATTTTTTCAATTTTTTCTGATTCAAGTGATTTGAATTTTTCATTTTTAATTGAAAAAGGTATTTTCAATGATGGTGGGAAATTTGTTTCTGAATGAATTCGACTTGATCTTACTCTTCTACCAAGATGTTGTTGCTGTTGTTGTTGTTGTTGTTCACGGGAAAAATATTCATTATTGAGACGTTTTTTTTGAATTTCAAAATCTAGTTTACGAGAACGACGATCGTCAGATTTTTCTTGAGCGTGTCTGACCTTCTCTTGTGCTAAAGTGCCAAGTATCTCATGACTTCTACGTGCACCATCCCTGGCGTTTCTTTGATTACGATTTAAACCGGTTACAGTGAATTTTCCCAAATATGGACATTGTCGTGGCTCTGGTGAACTCGCTGAAACAAACAAGAGGAAATAAATTAATAATAATAAATAAATACTAAATAAATAATAAATAAATAATAATTAATAATAAATAAATAATAAATTAATAATAAATAAATAAAAATTAATAATAAATAAATAATAAATTAATAATAAATAAATAATAAATTAATAATAAATTAATAATAAATTAATAAATAATAAACAAAATAAAATTTAAAAAAAATTATTTCTGATGAAACAAAAATTGGAAAAAATGACGATAATTTAAAAATCGTTTCGTAAGAGATTTTCTATCTTTTTCGAAAAAAAAAAAAAGTGGAACAGTCTACCCTATTTTCTTAATCGTTTCTTTGGATTGCAAGGCACGTGGCGTGTCTTGTTTCATTGGGTGATTAACGATTGCGTTTTTCCTCCTATATAAAGGGTCAGAAGAGAGACACGGTTTCGTGAAAGTTGGACCTTGAGTTAATGAGTTGGAAAAATCAAGTCTCCCCTTGTAAGGGGGTGCCTTTGACGGTTCGCAATGGACACCTAATTAACCATAAAAATAACGAGATTTTTGCGGTCTCGAACTGAGACGCGACGGCATCAATAAGATCGAAAAAGGTACAGGGGGGAGGGGGATTGATAGCAGTGGGATGAAAGCAGCTCAACATTCGTTCGGAACTTTGAAAGCTCGTTTCCTGGGAACAAGGGGAAGTAAGAAAAGAGGAGAAAAAAGAGAACTCGGCCTCAGGGCGCTTGTCTCGTTAGAGTTTGCATTGTGTCCTTAGGGCCGATTTTCGCTCTCATTATTGACTCCACTTTTTTTTTCTCAATCTAGCCATAACTTTGTTTCTCTTTTTTCTTTATAAATCAATTTTTCAAAATTTGTATTTTTAAATAGATTACCAAAAATTGAAACAATTTGGTAAATAATAATAATTTTCAGATTATTTAAATTGAATAATAAATAAATAAATAAAACAATGTAAATAATAAATAAATTGATAAAAATAATAAATAAAAAAAAAATAAATTAATATTTAAAATAGCTTTTGGAATTATTATTTATTTGATTTTACAGAGTGAGAGAAAATTTGAAATTTTTGATCCCTCTTTTTTTAGTTGGCAATTTGAAAATGTTATTACTTGAAGCAATTTTAAAGCGAGTTTAATTTACCGAAATTCGAAACAAATGTGTCCGGGAGCAATGGACTTGTGTTCGTATGTCGAAAACATTAACGGCAAACAAGCAAATCAAGTGACAACATATAGTACACACGAAAAATGGTAATAAATAGGAACAATCACCTCCCCTCTACAAATTACAAAAAAAAGGGATAATCAATATTCAGATGCAAATGGTACATCCAAACACAGAGAGAGAGAGGAAATAGAACATTAAAATTGGAAATCAAAAGTTGGAATCAAAAAAAATTTGATTTTCAAAATTATTATATATAATTTTTACAATAATAATAATAATAATACATTGAAAAAATTTATTTGAGTCAAATAATCGACTATTATTGAATAAATATTTATTTGTATCAAATAATTATTATTCATTTCAAACACAGAAATGATTAATACAATTTATTTAATTTAATTATATTTGGTTCAATTATTTACTTGATAATTGTCAACTAATCGATTTATTGAATCAAATAAATTTTTTTTTTTTCAATGTAATAATAATTATATTATTATTATTTAAAGACGGAAATGTCACAGTAGCAAAAGAGATGAAATTTATCGACAAAAATCTGAAGAGAGTGAGAAAAGATAAAATTGAAGTTGGTAAATCTGAAAAACCCTAGAGAAGTTTACTTCTTGAACTTTCGGATATTTTCGTTTGTATATTGTGTGACTCTTGTGTTGTCTGCGAAACTGTACTCGAGACTTTATACTCGATGCAAGAGTTTCACTATATCAAATAAATATAAATTTGACGCTCATTTTTTAGTGAAATAATTCTCGAAGACAAAATTTTATTTTAAGAATTGTCTTAATTTTCAATTAATTATACAAATAAATTAATATTTATTTTAAATTCTTTTAAATATTAATTACATCTATTTTGAAAAAGAATTTGATTTTTTTTTTAATTTTCTAAATAAATTTCTGAAAATTTGGTAAATTTCTTCGGGAACTATTTTTTTTATCTTATTAAAGTCTTAATGTCTAATTTGAGGTGATTTCACTTAATTACAAAATATCTCGAAGTTATAAAGGAAAATTAAATTACAAAGAAAAACTGACAAGGAAGATACAAGAAGTTACGAATTTAAAGTTTTGTGAGTCAGGTGACCCGTAAGTTCAAAGATGCTCTCTCTCTCTCTCTCTCTCTCTCTCTCTCTCTCTCTCTCTTTTCCCTTCTTCTTATTTCACTTTATTATAACGATCTTTATTGACATGGAATTTGCACAAAAAAAGAGTTCTTTGCCTTCTATATAACCAAATATAATAAAAGTGTTTCTAATTAGAAAGAATAAAAAAAAATTGTTTAAAAATTAATTTAAAAAATTTAAATTATAAAAAAAAGTTCTTAATTATAATATCAGACTTTTTAAATTAAATTTTAATTATAGAAAAAAAAATTTTTTTTTTTAATAATATGTTTAATTAAAAACTTTTACAATTTAATATTTAGTTTTTTAAAAAAAATGAATATAGAGAATTTGTATAATAAAAACTTTGAAATTTGATTTTTCAAGCAAATAGGATACTTTTAAAAAGATCTTTGCTTTAGATATATTATTGAGTTTCATTATATATATATATCCAAATTCGAAACTTTTCAATTAAAAGTTAAAAGCATTAGAGTTCGAATGTATATATAATGAAACTTGAAAAGTTAGAACAATTTATATGGCCAGTATTGATTTCATAAACGTAAAGAGAAAGGTTGTTCAAATTTTCAATCTCAAAAAAAAAAAAAAAAAAAAAACGTTAAAATTAAAACAATTGAATTTCAAGTGTTTCAATACATTCAATCTTTGTAATAAAATGCTTGAAAAACTAGCACAAGTATCAATTTTTCAAAAAAAAAAATTCTCTTCCATTATTGCCAGCTCTCTTGACAAAAAAAAAAGTAATTTCTTTTATTTAAAACCACTGACTAAAATATAAATTTTGAAAACATTAAATTTACGATTAAGAAAAAAATATTAATTTTAGAAAAAGTTAAAAAAAAAAAACTGTATTATTAGTTTTAATGATTTTTTACTTTTTCTTACCCCCCCCCCCCACCGGAAAAGAACGAAAAATATCCCAGTGAGGATTTTGACTGGGGTTCAAGGTAACGAGGGTAGATCTCTATCCCCTGTTACAAGAGGAACTGATTGACGGACAGCCAAAGGGAAAGTTACGAGTTTTCGCCTCCCGGTTATATACGTCACTCAATGATGAAAAGCAAGAGAAAATATTTGACAGGGTTTACAATATATATCCTAGCGAAATGTACCCTTCGACTAAACTTATACAAATTTCACTTTTTCTTAATTTATGTTAATTTATCATTTTAGCCATGTCATTGTGGGGAAAAGATTTGGACAGTCAAGACAAAAGTTATGTTTCGTTCTTTTAAATAGAAAAAAAAAATAATCAAAATATTTTTTACTACTGTGAAAAAAAAATTTATTTGATTCAAATAATCGGTTACTTGACTCGAATAAATATTTATAGTTGTGCCAAATAATTATTTGAATAATAATTATTTGAATTAAATAAACTGTATTTGAACCAATAATTTTTGTATTTAAAACAAATGCCATCTCAAATAATATTTATTTGATATAACCAAATATTTATTTGATACAACTAAATATTTATATGATACAAATACATTTTTTCTTGATAATAGCCAAGTACAAGATTATTTGAATCAAATAAACTGTATTTGAACCAATAATTTCTGTATTTAAAACAAATACCATCTCAAATTATTATTATTTAATACAAATAAATATTTAATTGATGCAGCTAAATATTTATTTGATACAAATAAATATTTATTTGATAATAGTTAAGTACAAGATTATTTGAATCAAATAAATTTTTTTTCCAATGATAAAACTTTCATAAATATTTTTTTTTTATTATCTGGTGTTAAATATTAAAATAACAATTTTTTTTTGCAAAAAAGAAATTAAAAATTCCACAAAATAATAATTTAATATAAAAATAATATTATTATTTTTAAATATTTATCTCACATTCTTTTGCAATCATTTTAAGATCCAAATTTCCTTAATACAGTCATATTTTTTCAATGCAAAAATTTCCCTATTACTCATATTTTTTTTTTATCTTTTTTATATTGAATTCCCCAATTTTAAATTGTAATTACAAACAATTTTAATTTTATTTTAATATTTAATAAAAAAAAATAATTTTATACAAATTTCCAGATGTAATTAATTGAGTTTTAAAAAAAGTGCTTTGGGCCTGCAATGAAAATAAAAGAGTTTCATCAGATAAAAAAAATAATAATAAAAGAACATCTTTTTTTTGCCAAGATCTCTATCGTGTTAATATTTGTCTCGTGACTAGGTACAAGTTGTTTATATTTAAAGTAAAAAGAGATGTTTTTAGTACAGTTAGTATAGTCGTCGCTTATGTAATCAATATACAAGGGTGAGAAGGGCATAGAGAGGGTTGAAGGGAAAAAGAGAAAAAAAAAGAAAACGAGAAAAAAAGAGAGGAACTGAGAATTGGGGAAGAAGTTATAAGGGTGCAGACTGTTAAAAAAAAAAACGAAAAAAAAAGAAACTGAATGAGGATGCTGCAATGTCCCTATCTCATCTCTCTATCAGTCTCTGTTTTTTTTTTTTTTTTTTTGCTTGTGTGTGTCGATATATGTAATGCAGAAATCCACGTGAGATTGTGTATAATTCTGAGTGCAACGTGAGCGAAAAGAAGTGGAAAACCCAAGCAAAAAACGAAACTGCAAGATGTGCCGAACGATGTTGGAATTGCTGGTGACATCAGCAAACTACTTTCGATCTTCTATCCTTTCATCCAA